ACAGTTATCGTAAAGGGAGACTCACCTTAAACACATAAATCGTCGCCTCGATAAAAGCAAGTTCTATATAGTAAACTAGACACTAGAACTTATTAGTAGATGCGTATATGAAGCGATAGTGATAAAAACAGTTAAGGGTTAGTAATCGCGCTTACGAGGCGACTATACACTTACTATTAAAGTTATTATTATTATTAAAAAAGAATACTATAAAATTATTAGTCTACGTATCGACGTAATTAATAATAATAAGATACTTACAATAAAGAGAAGTAGACTACTAATATAATAAGATATATTATACTTATATTAATATTAATATCGACGTTATAGCGCTAAAGTAAGTACTTATAAGAGAAGCGTTAGGAGTTATAAAGAATAAAAATAAATAATTCGAAAGGGGTTTTTATATTCTTTATTATAGCGCTAATATTAATAGATAGCACTTAGTAACGTAGATAATAGCGACGCGATAATATTTCGCTATTATCTATAGGGCCGCGTCGCCTAGCTACTATTATTATTTCTACTATTATTATTAATTAATAATTAAGAACGTTATCGCGAACGCGTCGCTCTATTAATCATTTCCTTTAAATTCTTATAATAAAGGTTGTTACTACGTTGCTTCGCTATGAACATAATATACTATAGAAACGACGTTGTCTATAAAAAAACTCTTCTCCCTTCTTTATCTATTAGATTTTTAAGATTTTATTATAAATTTCTAAATCTAATATTATTCGCTATAGGGGCTATTAACTAGCGCTACGAGAATATTAATACTAAGTATATCGACTTACTATAAATTACTATTAATTAATATTATAATAGCGATATTATTCTCGAAGATAGTATTAATGTTATTATATAATACATTAATAACGCGCCTACGACGTATAAGGATTAGTTCTATCGCGTTATCGAAACGATATTATAATTTTAACGAATTAACTCTTTTTTCTTATTTTCTTACTAGAATTTAAAGATTTTTTAATAAACGTTCTATTTTTACTTAGACGCCTAGAAATTAAGGCCTAGAAGAAAAGGTAATTATTAGACCTAATACGTTATAGGCCTTGGCGCTACTTACGTCAAGGCGCCAACATCGTATATTCTACGTTAGAGTCCCTTTTAGGGTCTAATTTCAATAACGTGCCCCGTTTACCTAGGGGCTTAACGGATATAAATCTACTTCGTATACCCCGAAGTTTTAGTATTTCTTAGAGATTAGTTCTACTATCAAATATACTATTAAACTTCATAACGACACTACGTCTTTTGTAGCCTATGCCCGCTAGCTAACCGCTAGTGAACTACGCCCTTACATATTTATTATTCTTTTATTATTTTATTAATTCTATTAATTCTACTAATTCTATTAATTCTATTAATTTCACTAATATAAATATAATTATCTTTAATATCTCTCGCTTAATTAGAGTCCCTTATTAATACTCTTAGATTATCTCTTAACGAATTTATTACTACTAGTAATTAAGATCGTAAGCGAGTTTAATAGCTATCTATTACTACTTATAAACGTATTAAAAAATTCTTAAAAAGAGTCTAAACGAATATATTCTCTTTTATATACTTCTTTTAAGCTAGCGATAGATAAGTTAAACTAATATTTAAATATTATAATTATATTAAACGCGTTTAGACGTTATATACTCTCTATAATTTTATATTAAATTATTATTTAATAAGCGAAGAATACGATTATAACTTAATCTATTATCTTTATTATATTAAGAAGTAAAAAAAAGAAACTATAATAGATAAATGCGAAGAATACTACGGAGAAATTAAGCGGTAATAAGATTACTATCATTAAGAATATAACTTAGCTCTTTAAGATTTTATATTATATTAATTATTTATTTAATTAATTACTTAGCTAGCTACTTAGCTAATTATTTAGCTAATTACTTAATTTAATACTTTATAAAAAAAGAAGTAAGAGAAGAAATTATAATAGATAAATATAAAGAATATTACGAAGAAATTAAGCGGTAATAAGACTCTTAGCATTAAGAATACGGCTTAGCTCTTTAAGATTCTATATTATATACTCTCTACGATTTTATATTAAATTATTACTTAATAAGCGAAGAATACTATTATAACTTAATCTATTATTCTTATTATATTAAGAAGTAAAAGAAGAAACTATAATAGATAAATACGGAGAATATTACGAAGAAACTAAGTGGTAATAAGACCTTTAATATTAAAAATATAGCTTAACTCTTTAAAATTCTATATTATATACTCTCTACGATTTTATATTAAATTATTACTTAATAAGCGAAGAATATTACTATAACTTAATCTATTATTTCTACTATATTAAAAAATAAGAAAAGAAACTATAATAGATAAATGTAAAGAATATTATAAAGAAATCAAGCGGTAATAAGACTACTATCGTCAAAAATACGGCTTAGCTCTTCAAGATTCTATCTTATATACTCTCCACGATTTCACATTAAATCATTACTTCGAAATAATATATATTTGAACGAATTAAAATCGTTCAATATCTTACTCTAATAGCTATTTTATTATTCGAAAGATTTTATTACGATAGAAGATAATATGAAATTTATACTACTAATTAGTATATTATCTTCATTTCTTTTTAATATTTTAATACTTCTTATTATAAGAATATAGCCTTTCTCTATTTTTTATAGGTAATTATTACGAATTAATTCTTTATACTCGATATATCTTTCTAATTAGACCTTAGCGCGCCTCTCTTCATATATATATATTTATATATAGATCAAAAACGCATAGTAAGTAATTAGAGTTCGATTTGACTTAGAAAAATCCAACTCCATAAATTTAATTTATGGGCCTTTACTTATATATACTAATATAGATAAGAATAATATCGACGATTAAGATAGCTATTAAAGACTATATGATAAAATAATAGACTATTAAATAGACTAATAAGAAGTAAGGCGATATTCTTAGAAGAATTTAATTAATATCGTCGAAATAAATATAACTTCTATATTCGAGAGTTAAGCGCGCTAAAATATCGCTGATAACGTAAATAAAAATTAAGAAAATAGGTCTTAAGGTCTTTCTTTATAATTAATAAATATCGAATATAGAGAATAAAGAATATAAGTGTAAAGCGAAGTAGATAATTTTATTTTTTTTTTTATTATTTTTATTTTTTTATTAAAAAAAAAAAATAAAAATTTAAAGAAAAAAAAAAAAAAAAAAAAAAATTTTTTTTTTATTTTTATTTAATAAAAAATATTTTTTTCCTCTTTTTTTTGGGGTTTTTTATAATTAATATATTTTTTATTTTATAATATAATTTTTTTAATAATTAATAATAAAAATTTTTTTTTATTATATAATTAAAAAAAAAAAAAAAAAATAAAGGGGGGTTTTGTTTTTTTAAAATATTTTTTTTTTTTTTTTTTTTTTTTAATAATTTAAAGTTTTATTTTTTTTTTTTTTTTATTTTCTTTTTTTTTTTTTTTTTTTTTTTTTGTTTTAAGGGTTTGTTAGGTTTTTTTAATTCGTTTAGTGGGCTAATAGGGCAAGGCTTAGGGGTGTTTGGGTAAAATAAATAAAAATAAATTTGCCTTATTCCACCGGACATCGTGGCACGATTGTTACCATCCACTGTGGAGCTTCTTACTACCAGGTATGCGGAGTCGGAGTCAAGATACAAGCGTCCGTCCAGCAAATTTTTATGGATTAACCGCTTCAGTCACGTCCTGGCAGGGGCAAATTACCGCGCAAGGCTCTCTATGAAACTTCGAAAAGCTCTACTCTAGATCTACTGGAGAAGGCTCTCAAAGCTTGGAGTGAATCCCTCTCCTGGTAAAATTACTTGATTTGGACTGACTATAGGCCGTTCATATTTCTGTTCAAGTCTCTTATGGTCCCTCTTTATCTAAACATCAGTAAGAGAATGTAGCAAATGTCATGCATGGAGGGAACCTCCAAATCTCCAAATCCCAAGAGGAGAAAGCTCTCTTGCTTTTAGTTTAAGCATACTTTTGTGGGTAGAGACCAGAATCAATCGGCTCTTCCTATCAAAGGATATTGAATCAAAAGGGAAAAAAACGCATCAAAAACAACTCCCTTGCAGATTGAGACGAAGTTTCCAATAATTTTTTTGTTAACAGGGTCACTTTTTGTACCGCCCCTAAATCGTAGGACTTTCGTCAATTTCATTCAGAATTTCTCCTTCTATGCACGAATGTTGCTACATTCTCTTACTGTTCCTGCAATTAAGTCGAGTCTGTCTGAAGAGCAGACTGTCTCGAAGCCAAAATACGTACACTCCTTGACCAGATCTAGTGGATTCGTGAAAGAGACTGTTCTCGTTCGAGAAGAAGCCACTGTGCTATCGATTATGGTGATGCCTAGAGTTCAGCTTGCGAATTTGCTGTTCAAACGTTGGGCAATGGGGACCTCACGGGTGGACACAGCGCTTTATCGGCTCCATTCCACGAAGCTATACGGCACCGATGCCGTTGCCAAAGAATAATTCTGGCGTGAACGATGACTTACGCAGGCTGTGAAAGATTTTGCTTGCGCCACCGTGCTCCGAGTTAGGCAAACATTATCTCGTCTCTGGTTCCAGAAACCAAAAGCCGATTGAAAGTCAGATAACTCGAGAAACGTCAGGCAAGCTGCCAGAAGATTTTGCAGCTGCGGCGGGATCAACCCTCAGCTCCTGAAATGAATCTTCTCCATTCGGAAAAAAGGCGAACATGCTTCTTGTTCTAAGCCTCGATACCCGAATCGACTCTACGCCTCACCTGTATACTCTCACGTTCTTCGGAACAAAACGAAGGATGACGTTCTTTCTACAGCGTCAAGCCTCCACTCGTTGCGGATAATGCCTCAATTCTATTTCATACATCTATCACTTGCCGTAAGATTTTCACCTGGGATGCTAGCGAGATCTGGATGTCACCAAAGCTTCTTGGTTTCCTGTTTCTCAGCCTGTGTCAATCCCACCCCATTGATGCTAACGTTGAATCAGCCAAACCAGTTCTTGCTCTCTTGCCCTCTAGCGCTTTTCTTCCCCTTTCCACCATCTTCCGTGCGCGATTTGCCTTGTCCACGACTCCTCCCTTTTCCCTCGAGCTACCTACCGGTCTGTCCGCCGATTCGCCTACAGACCTTTCCACAGACTTGCCCGCTGCCTTCTCCCCCGCGCCCTCGGCCACCCCCTCTGCTGTTTTGTCCCGCAGATCGTGCGCGGCTTTGACACGGACAGATGTGTACTCAATCCCCTTCGCCTTGAGAAACTTCAACACCCCTCGGCTATCGCAGAGCGGGCATCGCCCAGTCTCCCCCGTCGCCTCACAAGTTTCGAGTTCGGGACAATCGAGCCCATTCGGCACTATGTCATAATGCTTCATATCGACGCTCATGTAGTCGACACCGTTGAAGAAAAGATCCAAGTCTTGGCAGTGCCCCGTGAGGAGCTTGGGGCTGAAAGTGGTCCTGTTCCTGTTCTCGGCAAGGCCGGTGAAGAGGGAGCAGAGCACGACGGTGCCGGAGACGTAGACGCAGTCACAGACGGGTTGCTGGGCGTAGTAAACGATGCACATGGTCCTTGAAGTCTGGAAGAAGAAGCAGCAGCAGCAGCAGCAGCTTCTGAGATGCTTGGACATGGAAGGCAGAGGAGTATGACCATGAAAGGGGGTTTAAAGAGTCGAGGTCAGGCAACAAGACGCGACACGAAGGACAACTTTTCCACCACGTCGGAATGACATGACGAGAATGTACGAAAACAATGTCCATGTTACTCGGGCCCTCATCCCGACGCACGGTGCCATCTCTTTCATCCCCTTCTCCGGCGTTGGCCCAATTTCGACGGAGCACTCCAGTTGGCCAATGCAGCCGTGTCGGATGATGACCAACAGCGTTCTTCGTCACTGACCTTTGTATGCGACTGCGCCGAGAACTCATACATGAAACGTCGTCAATGAAGCGATTTGCTTTTACACTGTTGGTAATGGTGATGCCTAGGGAGCATGTGGTCCTGCGAAGGGTGTCTAGGAGGTGTGAGCATTGTGTGTCGATGGGTATTGGAGATGCCACGGGAGTAGGGGAAGGACATGGAGTATATCAGACGACTGAAAACCGAGGAAGAAACCAGAGATTTCAGTGATGCGAAAGATTTTAAGCATGAGGCAAAGGAATGTTTCTATAAACCGATAATCCAGACTGCTAGGATCCCTATCTATGTGAGATGCCTCTAAAACTCCCAGTAGCCCCTGATCGATGCTCTAAAAAAAACTACCTTGGTCTCCAACCCATCATATTTTCGCGCCATCGCTTTCAATGAACGTGACCCTAGCTTTAAAACCGGACCTTGATGAGACGAAGGGAAATCTTAAAGGTCATCGTCGTACTGATCCATCAAGCCATTCGCTTCGGCGTCTCGACCACGACTGCTTGTGGGCAGCTGGTTGTAGCCTCGGCGGCGGGGGATGAAGCGTGCGCAGGAGGAGGTTAGGATGACGAAAATGTCCTGTCGATTGTGTCAGAGACAAGACTCACACGGAGCGTCTTGCTTGGGTTGGGCTCACGGAAATGAAACCAAACATTCCAGCCCATAGAGTGTAATTGGGCAACTGCCGCCAACCCCTCTGATGCATGACCGTGCGCTGGTAAGCGATACCACCTAGGAGATAAACGGCCGCCGCAATTAAGGCAATAACCCCGAATACACCACCCGGGCCCAGCGTTTGTTGCGCTTCACTGACACCTCCACAAGCAGCCATTGAGCGCGCTTCAAAGAAGAACGTGCACTCGTCTGGGTCGGAGCCTATGAACGAGAGATGCACTTTTGGCGCAAGCGAATCTCGATCGCAGGTGAACGAGATTAGCGTTGACTTCCGTCGGACTGGTTCTTTGGTTTTAGAGCCCTTGTGACCTTTGCGGTCATCGTCCCAATCATCTTCATCATCATCATCGTCGTCGTCGTCTGGGACGTTCAGCTTGCGTGGGAGAAGGCGGTCAGAGTTTGACTCGCAGGGTGAGCCGTCAGTGTAATTCAGGACGAGTTTGCGGCCACGGAAAAATGGCTCTGTCGATGCTTGCCTGTTTGGTGCATCTGTTAGAAGTGTCCCAGACTGCTCGGGGATTGCTTAGAGAACATACCCCATCGAATATGTCTTCTTCCCAACTGTGTAGAACGCACTAACGTTCTTCCAAAGTGGCTCTTCTACCCCTACAACATCCTCCATAGCCTCAATGACTGGCGCGCAGAAATTCATGGTGAAGTTGGTATCATAGTCGTAACCTCGGGCATGCCAGCTTTCTATCCGGTCATCTTTGTGCGCTTTCTTGTGATCTATCAAGGGTTGGACTGTGATAGTGTTGAGGTCGTAGGTATTCCCATTGGAGGGGTTGTAGACGGTACATGGTTTCGTCTCTTTCAGGTCTGCTGCGAGGGTTGTAGAGCTGAGGAGGAGTGGGAGGAGGGCGGCGGGGAGCTTGGGGCGCATTGCGACCTCGAGCGAAGAATACGTCAGTCAGGTCAGGATCGTAACACGCACTTTATTCAGTTTCTTGTACTATAGTTGCATCGGTTTCTTTGGAAGGATGTCGTCGAGTATAACCGTAGAATCGTATTCAGGCAGTTGCTGATCTGGTTCTTTCAGGACCGAGGGTGACAGGGATTCATAAACCCTGCATAAACTAGATAGCATGTCAGCCCTGTATGATTTGCGCACAAATTTAATGCAAAATGAGCTACTCCGTACTAGAACGTCCTATCATAGGGATATTGCAACTTGCAACTTCGGGTGAGGTTATAACCTGAAGCTGTTTACATCCTAGCTTGACTGATTCTTTCACCTTTTCAAGGTAGAAAACCACTGTACCCTTCAATTTGACAAATACCTGAAATTGGAAAAAGCTCAAATTTCCTGCAGCAATGTCAAAGAGTGAGCGGAAATCGGTGCTTCCATCGGAACCCTCTCATGGCTATGAGTTTGGCGGACCGTAAGCTTTCCGCGAAAGCAGCGGAAGTCTTTAACAAAACTAATGGATACTCAGTCTCGGGGCATTTGCGACATCTCTCGGGCTACCACTTGTCTGCTACCTAGCAACGTTCCTCTGCAATGACATCTCCGGCTGTCCTGTACCCTCTGCTCTACACCCTTGGAGCCTCACGGTAGCCAAGTTGAAGGAAGAAACTGGTTGGCCGGGCTTCCAAGGATTGATCAGCACCAAGGTCACAGTATGGGTATTAGGCTACTACTTCTTGAGCCTGGTGCTCCAGGCTGCTCTTCCTGGTGTACTGACCGAGGGTGTGGAGCTTTCATCTGGTGGAAGGCTAAAGTACAAATTCAATGGTAGATGAAGCCAGTCTGGCTGTGCAGGACCTCGCTAATTTTGCAACAGCGTTCAGCTCTGCTGTGACTGTGATTGGCGCTGCTGCTTTGGGGACCTTCGTACAAGGACCAGACTTCCCTTTGTGGACTTTCATTTGGGACAACTACACGCAACTCATCACTGTGAACCTGGGCGTCGCCTTCTCGCTCGCATGTTTCGTGTACGCCCGAAGCTTCTCGGTGAAAGCAGGCAACAAAGAACAGAGAGAACTGGCACCTGGTGGACACTCTGGGAATCTCGTCTACGACTGGTTCATCGGCCGCGAACTCAACCCTCGTGTGACTCTACCTGTGTTCGGCACTATCGACATCAAAGCTTTCTGCGAGCTTCGACCGGGCATGTTGGGTTGGGTGTTACTCAATCTGGCTTTCTGTGCGCACCAGTACAAAGTCTATGGCTATGTCAGTGACAGCATCATCTTCATCACATTTTTCCAGGCATTATACGTCTTCGACGCCCTATACATGGAACCGGCCATCTTGACAACTATGGACATAACCACTGACGGCTTCGGCTTTATGCTGGCCTTTGGAGATCTTGCGTGGCTACCATTCATCTATTCGTTGCAAGCGCGCTACCTCGCAGTGTTTCCTGTCCATCTCGGATACGCAGGTCTCGCTGGTTTATTCGCAGTCCAAGGCTTTGGTTACTATATTTTCCGTGGCGCAAACAACGAGAAGAACCGATTCCGGACCAATCCTAAGGATCCCAAGGTCGCACACCTGAAATACATAGAGACAAAATCTGGAAGCAAGCTCCTAATCTCTGGCTGGTGGGGTATAACAAGACACATTAACTATCTCGGCGATTGGATCATGGCATGGTCATACTGCTTGCCAACGGGGATTGCTGGGTATATGGTGCAGCAGAGCTCTTCATTGAGTGATCATCCAGCTGATGGGTCCATATTCGGAGGTACACCAACGCGCTCTCCAGTCGTACAAGGCGAGGCAAGAGGTTGGGGCATGGCCATCACATACTTCTATGTTGTGTATTTTGCTATTCTCCTTGTACATCGCGAGATGAGGGACGAAGAGAAGTGCATGAGGAAGTACGGAAAGGATTGGGAGGTATATAGGGAGAAGGTCCCCTGGAGGCTCATTCCTTATATTTATTGAATTAGAAAAGGAAAACGTTGAGCTCATCTGGTCTCAGACCAAACGAATATATGAAAATTGCGGGCAGAACGACATGGCGCGGTAGAGGGAGCACGGACTGAGATCTCGGGCTAGTTTCTAGAAACAGACAGTTAACCCCTCTACTCAACTTTCGCGGACTTCACGTCCTCCTAGATCATTCCTCTGTCAATCTCAAGCTCCTTCGAGTTTCCATCGCTGTCCTCGTGCTGTTGGTGCCAGACTCGTGATTTTCATCGACACGAACACGCCATACGCGTTTTCGAACACGCTCTAAGCTCGACGTACACGTGAATTGAAGAACCGCGGGCATTCCTTAGTGCATTATGCAACTATGACTCCAAGAAGCATTTGCATCACCGGATATCTGAAACGTTCTCAGCCGTTTCAGATTGACGGAAGGCACTTCTCGGCGCTCGCGAGCACCTACTTTATGAAGGTTGAAGAAAAAAGAAGTCTGGTTGACTGATTGCTTCGCCGTAGCTAAGCGCGGAGAAGCGGGAACCCTCGATTTCCCCCCACCGCTATCAGGGTCGTGTCTTTGAATGACAAAATGCGATACTGATATCGCGTGGCAAAAGCCCGGCGGTTATCGATACCTAGTGTGGGTTTGTGAAGATCGACACATAGATTCGATATTGAAAAATGTAGGATAATTATCATCGATACGCTGTTGCAAAGGTGGCGGTCCTTCCGGTGCCGATTATTAATGTTTCTGTCTCATGACTGAACTTGGTGAGTCCCGGCGCTTCAACCAGGATATCGTTTCGTCCGCATCTGCACCAGTACGACTGCACGGTCTGCACTGCGCTTTCGCGACCTCCGAAAATCTACAATTAGAACCGGCGCTAGTGAACGATCTTCCCAGCGCACAGCCACCACTGATCAGCCACATGGCAGCATCCCGGAAGTCGTCATGAGCCTTGGAAACGGTCGCCATCTGTGAGAGTGGTGAGTGTGAGATTCGAGGGTATCGTTATTGATTAGATCTATTGTTTTGTAGAGTAGGTAGTAGAATGAGTGAATAACACTGACTGCACAGAAAGTTAGTCCGAGGCCACGCGGCCAATCACACCACGCTGCAGGGGTTTTCAACATCAAGCTCATGTTCCTACCGCAAGTTCACTCCCACTCAACGAATCTCGTCCAAGAAGCGGCCAAAGCACACCCACACCATCACATGAACCTTTCAGCTATCACGCATCTATCGCGCACCAGGCCATCGACTGGTCCTCCAGGCATCTCCCTCTCCAACTACCAGTACCCCGTTTCCTCGCGTGGCTCGTGATCTCGCGGAATGCTGCCATCGTTGCTTTGATTGCTGCTCGCCCTTCTCAAAGAAGCAAAAAGGCCGTTCGTACTCTATACGTGGAGCTGAAAGGAGATTGATATTGTCCAACGCGGCAGTCCCCCCCGCACCAAGGGGCAACATGCTGCTGCCGCCGCCATGACCCCCCCGGGTGATCAGGAGGCATTCTTTCATTTGTTTCGTACCGAGGCAAGCAGTAACGCAGATGCATCAATAGCTCTGAATCTACATAACACACTTCTGCACGCCGCCACCTAGGTACCACGGTGTCGCCCGCACTCGCTGCTACTCTTAGGTACCTACCGCCGCCGCAGGGTGTGGAAGACTCGAGGATGACTGATGTGTTCTATTTCAATTCAAATGGTTTGGCGAAAGTCTATGTACGAGTACGTGTGACTTTCTTTTTCCGGGTTACCGCCCTCGCCTTCACAGCGATTTGATGATGGTCATGATCTTTTATACAATTTTCATACTCGCGAACCACTGCAAGGCTGCTTGCTTCGAATTCCCAGCGGAAGCAAAAAGAATTCTCAAGTTACCGTACTGTTATTTTCTTAGCAACTTACATTCTTAGCATGGAAAAAAGTCTTTGGTTTCTAGTTGCATGACGGATCCACCCTGACGGCAAGCCTTGGGGGCTGTGGAGGTCCAGCCTGGCGCGGCCTTTTTGCCGAGGATGGCACAAGTGCAAGAATCAGCGCGCATCTCACGCAACTGTATGCGTGTTTTGGGTTTACTTCCATAACAAGCTGCATAACACTGCTGAATCCCAACTGGAACTTGCATGATGCTAAATCGCTCTGGTCTTGCGGGAAACCGACTGCGCTTGCCCAGTCAAATCATTCCGTTCGTTATAATATGATGCGACCCCCGCAGAATATCGTGCCCTTACTCCTCATTCTCCTTCGGTGCCACCACATCCACCACCGACTCTTTTTTCTTCCTTCCATATTTCTTCTACCTCTTTACCTCAGGCGTGCACATTATTTCCCTCGTCTTGGGACCGCCACTTAATTTATTCTTTTTCTTGTGACCATTTCCTTCATACTTCCCACAAATCCCACCGCTCTACATCCTGTCGCATATCATCAACATAACCCTTCACAACACAATGCCTGCTCAACTACTACCCGCCTCCGCTGCTGCTTTCGCAACCCGTTCCGCTCCTAATATAGTACTCAACACCAAGGTAGATCCATGGTTGACCGCTACTCTCAAGAGGATAAATAAGATCAAGAGGCCGCTCAACAGTGTACCACAGCACTTTCGATGCCTCACTGAGACTCTCTCATCCCCTTCGGCGATATGGACTCTCTGCTCGCTCCTGCTTCCAAAGGCACCAGACTCAGAACTCGTGCATGACGATAATCCTTTGATAGAAGCCGTCTTCAATTACAGGATGGTCTCCATCGAAGCTTATATCGTCCATGTCGACATGGTCTCACAGAACGAAGTCGCTTTCAAGCTCACGCCAGAGACGATAGAGTCGTTGGTAGAGTTCCACAAGGAGGTTCACTCCAAAGACACTTCAGACCATACTTACAACTGGTCGGAGAAGGAGGTCCAGCTCAAGAAATTGCAAGAGGACTTCGTTCAAGCCGCCAACAAGTATGTCTACCGTACGAGTGCCATGGCCCTAGAAGGATTGGAAGAGGATGGTGCTGGCGAGTTGCTTTGCGGAAGGAGTGAAGAGGTCAAGACCGCGATCATGGGCATGTTCCTCCCACTTCTACCACCACCGCCGCGACCCGTCGAAACCGTCCGTCCAACTCCAGTCCTTCCAAGCTCAACAGGTGCCGAGGACTGGTGGCAGCCAAGTTTGCCCTCGCATTACTCTGCTGCACCAGAGTCGTGGAAGTACGCTTCGTCAAGTACTGTGTACACATCAGCGGATTCTGGGTACGGGACGGGCACTTGGACAAGCATGGACCTGGATCCCAACCTGTACTTTGGTGATGTCCCAGCTATGAATTCGCCGACGACGTCATACAGCAGCGATCCATACACTGCGGAAAGCCCAAGTCCACCACAGTACTACAGCCTTCCGGTTTCGTCGGCGCCAATGTCTCAGGAGCTACCTTTACCTAGCACGCTTATGCAATCACAACAGTGTGGCACGAGTATGAGCTGGGGTGGCTTCGGTGGCTTTGGATGGGACAACTACCAGAGCTTCGCGCCGATACCATATGCCATGTGAAAGTCACGTTGGATACATTGGGCATCTCTTCACAGCATTAGCGGCTACAGCTTGGGCCTCAACAGGACTTTGAGCGGATCAGACTTCTTTCACGAGTCCACGAGACGAACCCGCGCCACAAGCTTACAGGCGTCATCATCAGAATCATCGACATGGACTAGAGCCGAATACCCACTTCTTTGCTTTTGTGTTGTTTGCTGCGTCATTCTAGCGAGCGTTGCTGTTCTTCTTGGTTTCCCTGCATTGGCATCGGCTGGTCCGGACCACCCCCTTCACTTCTCTCGATCGACTCTTTGGGAGGTTCAAAATCCTGCATTTATACAAGATCGGCGGCCTCACGGCAACGGAATGAGTAGACAAATGTCCGGCCTTTTCTGTCTTTTTCTTTCATCATGTCGTCTCACAGGGAGCGCCCAGCTCAAAGGTGGTAAGATCCTGAGAGTCGGTTCGCATTACCTGGCGTCTTGTCTACTCTGGCACTGTGTGCTAGCTGGCTGGTAGGCAGACGACGACAATACCTAATAGGAGAGGGGAGCATACTGGTATGCCGGGGTGGCTGCGTTGTTGCCGGCGGATATCGGACCGAGTCTCGGTGGATAGCGCATCGAGGGAAGCCTGTGGCGGAACTCGAGGGAGGGTCTGTGGTCTTCTTTGTGGTCGTACCCAAACTCGGGACTGTGGAAGCTGGCAGCAACGTGGATTGTAGGGTCATCTCCTACGCTTGGAACTGGGTTCTGGGAAGCCGACCATTGATTGGGAGGAACCGGGTGCTGGACATGAGCTGCGCTCTTTACATATAAATGTAATAAAAATGTGAAATACAGACATTCTTACCGAGACTACCCTTGCTCGTTCATGACACTTGATATAAATTCTCGCTCACTCACTCACTCACTCAACAGAGATGACAGGTATGCCAAGTCGGACTTGTGTTGAAGCGCGAAAGGGAAGAATTGACCCGAATTCCGAAACTCCTGTTAAAAAGCTGCCCACCTTGACAAACGAGCATGATATATATACCACATTGCCACGATTCAATGACTTTTTGATGCTCTGTAAATAGCCAACATGTTCCTAGGTACCTATTCACTCCCTTCACTTGATCCTACCATACTCCTCCAGCCATTTACCTGCAACTCGAGGATACATCGCTTCTGCTTGCCGTCTTACTAAGATCATTACGCTTACCATAAGCTGCATCGAAAAAAGAAAATTCTTCTTTCCCATTTGCTCAGATATTTTAGAGATTCATCCTTCTTTCAATCCAGCATACTTTCCCCACCATGGCCGCCCTTCACAGCGCTCTCCAGTCCCTCAGTCCGACTCCATTCTCCTCCGTTCCAGCAGCGGAATCAGAAACCATATCCTACCTACAAAATGCCTTCACTGAAGCCCAAACAATAATCGACTCGGTCCCCCTCCCACCTCCAAATGATCCACTCGTCTCCACCAGACCCCGCTCCTCCACCAGCGCATCCATAGCCTCAAATGTCTCCGAGATCTCTTCTTCCTCCGCTCGCTCAGAACCGCTCGATCCCTCACATATCAGCTTACAGAAAGAATGGGGCAAGCCGATCAAATTAAATGCCAAGGACAATCCGCTGGGTATGGCGGTCTACAAGCTGGGTGGCAAGGACGGGAACGGGGCGTGGTTTGCCAGGAGGAGCGTACATGAGGGGCTGGGCTTTAAGAAGTGGAAGCTGGGTTTGCAGAGAGAGTTTCCGGAGACGTTGGAGGTGCAAGGAGGGCCTGGGGAAGGTAACATACGGGGAATTGGTGGGGAGAGAAGGGTGGAGCGGAGGCGCATTGAGGGGGTAGGGACAATTGAGGGTAAGTCTTTGGTTCTTGTGGGATGGGATTGTTGTTGACAAGATGGCAGTGTACCATTTATCTGCACAATTTCCAGGACCTACGACACCGCGGGATTTCGTCACATTGCTCCTCACGTCCTCTTCTGCTTTAAGCGAAACCCAGTCTTTAGCTTCGCGACCTTCTTCTTCGGCATCTGATGGCGCTAAATCAAGAACTCAACGATATACCGATACCCCTAGGCACTTCATGGTCATCTCCAAGCCGTGCAGACATCCGGATTGCCCACCAAGGGACGGTTTCATAAGAGGGCAGTACGAATCAGTCGAGTTCATACGCGAGATACCTAGAAAGTCAAAGAAGGCATTGTCTACTACAGATCTGCTCGAAGTCACTCGACCACGAGAACATTCTCCGCCTCTTGAGAAAGAGCTCCTTCTACGCAATGCGGAGCGCAAACTTAAGGAGTCCGGGGAAGAGTTGTTGGACGGAGACGGTGAGCTAACGCCAGCTGCAGCAGACGAGGTGGCTAAGGAGGGTCGGAAAAGAGGCAAGACAATTTCCTTCGCCGGCTCCAGGGGGGCTAGTGCGAAGGGAGAAGCGATGGATGATCCTGACGCCCATGACGACGCTGAGTTGAACCCGGTAGAATGGATCATGATTACGAGGAGTGACCCGGGAGGGAGCGTGCCGCGATTCATGGTCGAGCGAGGGACGCCCGGAAGCATTGTCGCTGATGCGAGCAAATTCCTCGATTGGGCATGTAAAAAAGAACATCCACAGGACGAAGTGGAAGCCTTGGAAAACGGCGACTTGGAGCATGTCCAGAGCAAGACGCGCGAGGGGCTAGAAGCCTACGACACCAATGGTCATTTGGCTGGCTTGGACGGCGAGGCTGATGGGGCCGAAGCGCCTTCGAAAGCAGTCCCTCAGCGGACGAGCGTTGAGATGGCAACAGCACCCGCTGATCCGGCCCAGCAAGGAGGACTGGTAGCTACAGTGGCCAATGCTGCATATGCCGGCCTTGAGAGCTATGCCCCTCAAGCTGTCATCGACCGCCTTCCCAGTCATCAGCATACGCAGTCTATGCAATCTATCGATGAGGTAACAGGTATTCCTAATGGCATAAGTGCTACCCTCAGCCGCACCGTCAGCTCCGCCTCCAGCGTTGCGTCGTTTGCGAGCGCAGAAGACCACTTCGACGACACGCTATCTGCCAAGTCAGCCACTTCGCAGACCAAATCATCCAACTCCAAAGACATTGCCGCAATGTCACCGCACGAAAAGGAACTCGCGAAGCTCAACGAGCGCAAAAAGAAACTAGATGAAACCCTTGCGAAAGCTCGAGAGAAGGAGCTGAAAGACAAAGAGGATCTCACCTCAAAAGAGGAAGAACGAATCAAAAGAGCCGAAGAAAAACACGCAAAGGAGGTTGCGAAGCAAGAAGAAAAGTACAAGAAGGAAGTCGCAAAGCTGGAAGCGAAGCGCCAAAAGGAGGCAACCAAAGCGGAAGAGCGAAAAAGAAAGGAGGAGGACAAGGACGAGAAAAGGCGACTAACCAGGGAGAAAGATGAGATGAAGCAGGCGCTCGAGGTCGTGAGTAAGGAGAGAGATATACTGAGGGAACAGGTCGGGGCGCTGCAGAGGGAGAATACAGGACTAGTGCTGCGACTGGGGAAGATGGACGAGGGGAAAGAACTTCTGAAGGAGGCCAAGAAGGAGACGGAGGAAGGAGGGAGGAGTAGGAGCGGGAGTCTGAGGAGGGAGAAAGGTTCGGGGGTGAAGGGCAAGGAGGCGACGGTCCTAGCAGGGGAGAAGCTGGTGGATGGGGAGACGACGAGTTGAGTGGATCTTGTTCAGTTAGCATTGGTGCTTTGTGTACATGATGGAAGCTAATATGTATCTCTTGTTGAATACCGTGTGCAAGCTTCCACTCCTTGACAAAACCCAGTCGAAGATCACATACTAGATTTCTCAATTCTGTTTCGGAAGGCCCACGACCCCTATTGAGAAACCGGAACGGATCTGATGCTCGTCATCTCGTTGAATAGAAGACTTGTGGGCACTGTTATTGGCGTAGAGGGACAGAGCATTGTACAACGTGTTGTTCCTTGCGTAAGAAAGATCTGTGATCTCAACCCCTTCTATGATAAAGCGTATGATATCGATTCGTAGTTCGGAGATGCCCCTCCTGTATGCCTGATTCGGCATGCTGTGGTTCCGATTGAATGCCGCCCCCTCTAGACAGTGAATCGGTTCCCCTTTCCAAACAGAATGTACGGCGGACACTCGATCATCTTCCTTCTCTCTGCTCACACACTTCGGCTCCCTCAGTCTCAGAATCCAAAGCCACCCGGCATCCCCCCGGAAAAGCCACCCCTCTGCCTCGACCTCCCACCTCCACCGCCAGCCGCCCCAAACGGACTGCCTCCTCCCATGCCCCCAGTTTGGAACGAAAACCCACCGCCACCACCTCCTGCACCACCCATCATATTGAACAGCATCTCCGGACTGATATTCATACCTGGGCCCCCTTGCATCGGGAAGCCACCACCCTGTTGTGCAAACATCTCGCTAGGGTCGATGAGGTCTTCACCACTGTCATATCGCCCGCGTTTTTCAGGATCACTCAATGTCTCGTACGCTTCTCCGATATCCTTGAATCTCTCCGCTGCACTCTCATCGTCGGGGTTTTTATCGGGGTGATGCACAATCGCCAACTTTCTATACGCCTTCTTGATCTCATTGTCAGTGGCATCCTTCTCCACTCCAAGGATCTTATAGTAGTCCTTGCGTTTCGCTTTCTTGAGCTCGAGCTCTGCGTTGCGGATTTCCTTTGCAATACCAGGCTCCTCAGGGTAAGATTCAGCAATGGCTTTGTATTCGTTGACGGCGGTTTGCCAGTCGCCGGATTCGCCGAGGGCGCGAGCTTTGGTTTTGCGGGCTTTGGTGTAGGAGGGGTCGAGAGTGAGGGCGCGGGTGCAGTCTGAGATGGCGGATTTGTAGTTTTTGAGCTGTAATGGGTATTAGACGTTGTAGCTATATGAAAGAGAAGGTATAGAAAATACCTTTATCGTTGCCATGGCTCTGTTTTGCAGAATCTTAGAGTTTGTGCCCTTGTTGTTCGGGTCGATCTCCAGAGCCTGGCTGTACAGACCGACAGCTTGCTTGAATCTGCCTCCCTTGAAAGCTGTATTGCCCTCTTCCTTCATCCGATCCAGCTTCTGCACCATTCGGAGGTACTTCACGCCATCCTTGAAGTCAGGATCGCAGCTCAGGGCTTGTCGGAAATGTTGCAAAGCCTTCTCGTTCTCCCCTTGACTGTACAGAGCTCTTCCCCTCAATACCAAAGCCTCTGGATCCTGGTTGTTCTTGCGTAGTAATGACATTGCCACATTTTGCGCCTCACCCAGTGCATTGGGGTTGCCCATCTTCAGATAAGCTTCTCCTCGCAGCAATTGCCATTTTCTTGGCTTCGCGACACCAACTCCCAATCCTCGCTCAGCTTGATTCAGTGCGTGTATTGCCATAGAGCCAGTAGTTCCTTCTCGTACAGCATCTTCTGCTCGCTTTATGTCGGTCTGCATCGACTGTGCTGGTGACCGGTCCTGTTGTGTTACTGTTTGGAAGGAGGCTATACGGTCGAGAACATCGATGGCTTCCGATGGCCGACCAAGGCTGGTGTATATTCGGGCTAATCGGTGAAGGACTTTTGGATTCCGTGTTTCTACTTCATCGGCGGTCTTTGAGTCTTCTAGTGCTTCCTCGAATCGGTTTGCGGACATGTAAGCAGCGGCTCGGTTGGAGAGGTAAGTGACCGATCGAGGTTCAACAGCGAGGGCTAGAGGGTGCAATAGGTATTAGCCAACCCCATACATGAAGCGAGGTGGATCCTAAGAACCGGGCGGCGGTCTTCACCTTTCGTGTACTCTTGGACAGCCCTTGTGTAGTCCTTCGCTTTGAAATACTTATTTCCTGTAGCCTTGCACGCCTCAGGATCGTATGCTGGCTTTGGCGGCGGTGACGGTGTCTTGTGTGGTGGAGGAATAGGACTGCCATCGCCATTCATTTGGTCGTGATCCGACAGTCCGTTGGTATGCTGATATGTTCCCGAGGTCTCGGAATCGACATCCATTTGGTACCTGTCCTCATCCTGCTCGCCATCTGAAGACATTGCCGAGCGACGGCGCTCCCGCTCGTCAGGCGGCAGATTCAAAGGATGTGTGTCGGCGGAATATTGTGTGCGGTGTGTGCTTCGTGACCAGGAACCTTTTCGGTATGGTTGCTCCTGGCCCCGGATAGACTTTGTGGGTGATGGTGCCGAGGACTTTGCTGGAGATTTTGAGGGAGACTTTCGTGGTCGTGGTCGTGGTCGTGGTGAAGAAGAGGAAGATGACGTCTTATTTTCCTTGGTGTCAGGCTCGGTCTTCTTCTTGGGTGAGGATTTAGTGAAAAGGCCCATAAGTGTTAATGGCGCCGGGTAGGTGCAAAGTAAGGTAGTGGAGGGAAGGTTTTCGTGCCCAGGCGATCCCTGCAGTTAAGCTCAATCTACAACAGCACCAGACAGTAGTACAACTTCTCTAGGGTACAGCACCAAAGATCAAGATGGTGGGGGCCAATTGTGCTTTGGTAGATTTCTTCAACTATTGCCTAAAACAGTTGGGGGAAAAAAAGAATGAAATTCAAGGATCAAGATGGTTGGAGCTCTGAGCTTGCTTGGCCTCATACGTGGACAAGGCTCGCTTCTCCGCTTCCAGAAGCTTCCAAAATGTCACTTTGTTTATGCGGTAGCCAATCTCATCTCGAATGGATTCATTCAATATTTGCTTGATTTCTATTGGAGATGGCCAAAAGGTGTTGATGGAAGACACATGACTCCGACGGCTGCTTCTTACAAAATGATCAAAATCACCCCCTTTATTCACCCAAGACAGATGCTCCAGCATCTCCAGTCATCACCCTTGTCTTATCATGCCGTCATCATCCTTTCTCATAGAAGAGCTCCTGGCTTGTATCCGAGTCTCATCCTCCCCAATACCTGCTGAGGCGGGCCTTTTCCATAGACCACCTCAAACCTTCCTCCCAGCAAATACACCTCCGCCACTATCTCCACCCAAGTTCACCCTCCCCGATCTGCCAGAGAAAATCAATTGACTCTCCCCTTCTCCTCTGACAGCCTCGATCGTCCTCTTAACCCAGCCCCTCTTCTCATCCTTAACCACTTTTAGTCCATCCCAATCTAGATCGATACCCCCACTCAAAGTACTGCCCTTAACCGTCCCTTGCCACTGTGCTGGATACCATAGATTCAAACTGCCCGACAAGCCATGATGTTCAGAGTAGAGCTTCCTAATCGGATCGATTGGATGGGAGAGGGATGAGTGGACAGTGATATCGGTACTGCCGCTTTGGGAATGCGTGTTGATATCTGTACGGGAGTCATTGTGGCCGTAGGGATATAGATCTGCGTTGATGCGTCCGTTGTTTGACCGCAATGAGGTTCGTGATCCGTGCAGAAGTGTAGCGTCGATACTACCGCTGAGCGATTTGACTGTCATTTGGTAGTCTCGAGCGGGTACCGAAACTGTGGATGTCAAGGCGCGGATGGAGCCACTCTGGGAGGAGAGGCGAAGAACAGCAGGTTGAACATTGCCTTCCTCGGCATCTTTGGGTTCGACGTCAATATCGATGGAGCCTGATGTGGTCGAGATGTCCAAGGTGTCATAGAGAGGGTATGAACCAGTGACTGAGCCGGAGTTCAGATGTATCCTTGTCTCTCGGGAATTGATAACGATAGATGGAGGTTCGTCTGTTGCAAGTGACAAGGAAGCGGAGTGTGCATTGATCTCGGTACGATTTGTGATGGCGTAGTCTAGCCCGGGAAAAAATGTAACTGACAGGGTCTCGGTCTTGATTCCAAGATTCTCAAGAGTCGTCCCTGGAGGTATCGATACAGTTGCAGCTACGTAGATGCATGGCAATTCAGCTCCACCGGCTGACGATGACTCTCTCGGCGTCCTCCTTGGGGTCTTGACCGTCAGAGCCGAGCCTGACTTTACAACGCTCAACGACTCGGAGCTCGTAAGCTGAGGATCGGAGCTCCTGATATCAAGAGCGATTCTGACATTCGAGAGTGAATCCTGTTTGAGGACTTCTACTTTGCCGACTGTACGTACGAAACCGAAGTCAGGGCCATGGCGTTTGGGATCGTGAGATTCCTGCGCGAACGCCAATTCGGTCGGCTTGTTGAAGTCGAAGCTCAAGGTCTTCCTATGTTTGGTGCCCGGACAAGTCTTGGGTATTTCGCCATAATAGCTATGCTGGAATGCAGGACTCTGCATCGTCTGTTAGTGATCCACATACACAGTCTTTCTAAGAGAACGACGTGCCTTGCTGCTTTGGGGTTCAAAAAGCTCCAAGGTAAAGGTCATTGCCAGAACAATGAGAGTGCATATAAGAGCCCATTTCACAAACACTCTGATTGGAGACGCGGATGCTTCGGTCTCAGATCCTACGGAAAAGTACTTTGCAGAGGGTCTCAGCTTATCGTCATTCTTCGAGTAATCTGGGTAACCTTCAACGTCCTCAGGCTTCTCGTCTGAGAGGAAAATAGCTTGGCGGCCCATGATGCTTCGAAAGGACAGATGAAAGTAGCGTCAAAGCAAGAATACAGCTTGGTATTCAGAGACTCGTAAGCTTATGATGGGTATGAACGCTCAAGGAACAGACCCTTTCCTAGATACATATCAGAGAGCCGCAAGGCAGCAACTACTGATAGGGAAGGTAGTGAGGGAAACTATCAGTCCGCCCGCTCTACAAAGGCGGTCGGGGACCCCGCAGCTTACGTCCTCACAGTGTCCAATGAAGGCGAAGATTGCATTGTTGGAAGGATTGATGCCCGCTCTGGTGGCTGGCGGCTGGTGGTCGAGGTGGTCAGACCGGCAGCGGGATGATATCAGAGCACAAACAGGCTAAGCCTTTTTGGAAACTGCTACACCACTACTTACATTATTGTCAACATATCTTGGAAGTTTGGCCTCCTTTGTGATAATCGAGAGGCCAGTATCATATCATAGTATATCGTAGGATGACTTTCAATCCTTTTTTCTCAGGCTTCTTGAGGCGTGTATCCTACCTTAGTAGATGCAGTTGACGCTTGGTTCTCTGCCCTCGATACTATCAAATTTCGTCTCTATCAAGCCTTTGCAACCATCATATTGAGACATCACTTCCCCCATAATCACCATCCTCGCCGCTACCATCCTTCTCATCTCTTCGACCAGATCGTCCACATCAAATGCATGATCATTTGACTCTCAGTCCCCCTTCCATTTAACACGACCCTGGCCAACTCCCCACTCGGCCTGTCCCACATCCAGGTAATGTCTTCCTTTTCCTGGGTAGCGAAACCTGGGCCTCCAATCCACACTTTCAATGCCACTCCGAACTTCTCCATCAATTGGCGAATCACAACTCCGACTTGATAATTTCGGTGTCAGCATTACTATTTCGCGAGGAATTCTGAGTCGCGAGACATGTCTTAGGAGCAGACAACTCTTGAGACATGTCTGGCGGCCCATGGGACATGAATGGGGAAGATAGAACGTACCGGCCATTGCCTCCTTGACTGATCGTTTCTTTATACCTTCAGGGTCATTTGCGAGGATTTCTGGGGTACAAATCTCAATGTCGAGGCGGTCCAACTTCGTGCAAGACAGGAGGCTGGCAAGTTCGAGTGGGGTTTTATTCGGCGTTTGAGGTTCGTAGTGATCGAGAAGGATGTGGACGCTGCGGAACAGGAGGTGTGGTTGGATTGTCTCACGCATTATCCACGTGTTTGTCTGATCTAGGACCATGTGAGGAAGCCAACGAGAGGACAGAATGAACGTATTGTTCTGAGAAAGAGGAAGTAAGAGTCCCGTCCATTGACACATCTGATGGGACTGTATCTACCTGATAGAACACTTCACAGGCCTCTCGAGCGATCTGCTTGTTGGTGCAGATGTCATAGAGCAAGGGCATTGCCCCGTGAATGGGGTTGTATTCCGTGGCAAAATTGTATCCGCCGTCCACTTCTACGATGAAAAGCGAATCGGAGCTGGTAAGCAATCTCGAAAGAATGGCTGTTCGCTCGGACAATGGCAGGTTGCAAAACTCCGTTGGTGTCCATTTGCGCCTGAAACCAGCACAAGACTGCGGGTTGATGTCCTCTGCTTTTACGGTTGAACTGGTCAAACCCCACTGTGCCTTCTTCGGTGGCATGATGATATCGTGCGGTTCATCAGAATCTTGTTTGTTGACCATGGATATGTGTCTGAGCCTCGGGGTTGTAGCACACGGAATGAACAAGTGTTGTGGGCAAAGAGTATTGTGAGATGAGATTCAACGGGACTTTCACAACTTTCGAGAATCCTAACGCTTTAGTTTTCATGCTATCGCTTTACACCTCCTTTCCAATCCTTCATATGCTCAACAATGATCTTAGCAGCGCGCTCCGCGCTATGCTGTCGACCTATAGCTTCAACGAAATCGCCTTCTGGGTCTGTCCTTCCATTAGCTACACAACGATCATGTGAGAAACCGGTCTTACCCATTAAATAGAAATATATACTATGATCTACCAAGTAATCCATCCCCGGTTTCACACCCTCTGGCGTACTGAAATACACCCTATATTTCTTACACACATCCTTGACTTGTTCCCATGTCCCCGTCAAGCCTACAAGACCTGGATGGAATTCCGCCAGATAATGCTTCAAAACAGCAGGCGTGTCTCGGGCCGGGTCACAAGTAATAAAGAGCGGTAGAAGAGGAGCTTTGCGTGACGATGGATCGACGAAGGAGTTGGCCCCGATGCGGTTTTGCGTGGTAGAGGCAACCAGATCGATCATGTTGGCCATTTTGTCAAGCTCTTCAGGGCAAATATCTGGGCAGTGGGAGAAGCCGAAGTAGACCTAAAGATAAACATCGATCAGACGAGTCCTCCCGTAGAGGCGGTTAGAGACACTCACCAAACTATAACCCCCCTTCATATCCTCATCTGTGAATGTCTTTCCCTCCTGATCCAGTAATGCAAATTTTCCCCCAACTTTCGGTCTCCCTACCCCTTTTGCAGCTTCAGCCACCCTTTGCCGTTCCAATCGTGCCTTTTCATTTCTGAAATAAAAAGTTATTGCGACGCCGGCAGCAAGGAAGGCGACAGCTCCCCAGGCGGAGAAGGGCTGTTGTAGATTGAATCAGCATCTGGGGCCTGCCAATGGGCATTTGGTAAGGCTTACGCCGGATCGTGCACGAGCTTTAGCTTGCTGGATGGTTTTGATTGCAGCGCGGCGTGGAGCGGTGCTAAATGGACGAGATCGTAATCTGAAAGATTGTTTATTACCGGGACTTGGGATTGGTGGCCACGGACCAGGCTCTCGAAGGCAGCGGGCAACAGAGGATGTTGTATGGCGAGCAGTGTCTATTACAGTCGAGTTTGAGAGATGAAATGCCCTTGGGCACAGGGAGGACATTGTAGAGACCTGCATTGTCGAAGATTTACGGGTTTTTGGAGACAATTTAGAGATGACATCCCATTCAGGCTAGCGCGGGTTTCTTTTCATATCGAGCATACCATGACTTACATACATCATTACGAGTTTAAACCTCGTCTGAGAAACAGACTCATGAGTACTCCGTATGGTTGTGTACAAGGCTGAAGGGGAAAGTCTTGTTTATTCTAGCTGGCTTATGATGCACTACATTTTTTGTACAGACAAAGGTATATTCAACCCTTGTGACATGCCGTCAAACGTATTTCTCAAGAAGTGAACGCATAAAATCGCTCAAGATGATCACCTGAAGTAGCGCCTCCGCTTAGGTGCTACCAATGCGACCACTCAACGCCCTTCGAACATTAGTGTATGCAGGTAGAGAAGCAGCCAAAACGACATAGTCCATCAGCGCATGCCTCTGCTGTTTTGGCTAGCCCTGCTTGGTGTTGCACGGCTTCTCTCGTCCTCCTCTAGAACATCGCTGAGTCGCGTAGGATGATGATGTCGCGGCAGAGCCTCCCATCCTGCGCCGAACCCACTTCCGGAATAATCTGGCGCACTCGATTCTTGGCGGCCTGGAGCGGCAGGGGGACCAGAACCATATTCAACGCCAGCAATCCCAGAGCCATAGCTTCGACCGTACATGCGCTCACGATCGAGCTGCTCCTGGACATCGTATTCATCGCTGTCTTCGGAGCCGGGGCCACGACGCGCGTGGATTGGACGACCGTGAGAGTCTCGTTGTATTTCACCGTTCTCATCAAGATCATAGTCCTCTTCACTAAGCGTATCACCCACAGATGGGACGTAAGAACGTTCATCGCCTTCACTGACACGGGGCTGGTCTTGGAGAGAAGTGAAGTCGGGACCATGGAGCGAGGTTCCCTCGTGTTGATAGAAAGACGAGCTCCCAGCCTGTGTCGTGACGGGAGCAGATCCTTCAGGCCTGTAATTGAGATAGGTACCGCCACTTGGCGCAGACGAAGCAGGCATTGTTCTTGTCTGAGAGTTAGGCTGTTGTGGGCCTGACGATGTTGCTGTTCGGGCTGCTTGAACAGCAGCAGCTGACGTGTTCGAGGTCTGTTGGAAAGGCTGGGACGTCGCGTTTGCTTGTAATGGACGATCAGCCTCAGGACGGACACCCTGGGGAAGGTTGACACGGCCGCCCTCGGTGAACGGGTCAGTGTCTGTCTCGGATCTGGCTGGATCATAGGTCGTATAGCCCGGCTCATCATCCGTTGGACTTTCAACCTGTGCCGATCGCGACGGAATAGAACCAGCGACAGGACCCTCTCTCGTAGGTGGCCTATTACTGCTCCCTCCCTGCACCATTGGCACTACGTGAACGCCACCTACCGAAGTGGCCTGCCCTTTCTTCAGTGACAGGGTGCGATCTCGCTCTTCTTGCTCTCTACGGCCAAGCTCCTCCCATGCTCGCCGGGCTTCTTCCTTGGCGATCGATAGTTCACGATTCTTTTCTCTGACAAGAATCTCTGCAGTCTTTCTCTGGGATATGGCTGCATCTCTTTCCTTCTGTATCCTCGAAAGATCAGCATGGGCGTTGGTGGCAGCGGAACGCTCTTCTTGTATCCGCTGCTCGAATTTGCTTTGATTTTCTCGAAAACGTTCTTGCTCGGCCCTGGTCTCAAAGAACCACCGCTGAAATTTGCGCTCCGAAGAAGCTCGAAGTCGCTGTAGTTCGACGACGGCGTGGAATAGATTAGCTCCAGCAGCAGATAGGTCAGTCACTTGACGCGCCATTTGTTGATTTAAAGGCTCTCGATCTAGATCATCTTTGTTTTGTTCTAGTCGATGAATCCAGAAGGAAGTCAGACCTTCCCAGTGCGAAGATAACGTTTCCCATCTTTCGAAGGCGTGAGGAAATGAGGACGTGGTGCTCCGTTGCTGAGAGCCGCTAGTCGAATCCTGTGCAGGTTGGGACTGGCCAGGTGGCACTGTTCCACGGTCCAATCGTAGCTGGGAAGTCCCTGCAGTCGCATTAATCGATGCGTTCTTGTATTCTTTCTGACCACTGGCCACTGCAGCTGCCGCAGAGACGGCACGAGGCGTTTGTCTGGGTTTGGCTTCAACAGGTCTTGGCTGTCCCGTCGAGAGTGTTGCTCCACGAGGTCTTGTCCTAGGCTGGGGAACACTACTCACGCCTGCGCCATCGTCTGGGACAATTGCGGATGGCTTTTCGGCGCGACCGTTACTAGGCGCATAGACTGCGGGCTGGGTTGTTGAAGGTATGTTTGCCCTGGTACTGCCACCGCTTCCTCGGTCTCCCGACCTTCTCTCGCTTGTATCTTGTGGTGTGGGTTCAACGGTAGATCTCCTGACTGCTCCTCCTGATCTCCGATAGTTTGTCCCCTCACCACTTTGGGCAACGCCAGCAGCGGCAGCCACTCTATCTTGTTCCAACTGTTGCTCCGTTTGGATTCGTCGCTGTTCCTCCTCGTCTTGTTCTTTTTGCCGTCGGTCACTCTCAGCTTTCTTCCTGGCTTCTCGATCTCTACGCTCTCTCATGATGTCCGTCGGTGTACGAACACGATCACCACCGGCAAAAGGCACGGGTACAGCAGCGCGAGAGCCACCATTCTGTGAGCGCCCATTGCTCACCCCAGGAGCCGAATCGGACATTGAAGCGTTCAACTCAACGTTGTCAGGTGTGAACGGTTTAGATATCCACCGTGGGCGTTTGTCACCCTCGATCAAGGGGTGCGAACCTTCGGGATCTGCGCGGACGGCTTCGAGGGCGTAGCGTATGGCGTTCGCTGTATGTTTCGAGACTCGGGTGGTTCTCTTGGGCCAGTAAGAAGAGAGAAGGCTTTGTGTGGAAGAAGCAGGAGTATTCGAGCCCCCGAGGCTTTGGCTGTAGGGCCTATCACGGGAGTACAGTGGTGCTGTAGGTTTAGCAAATCGTGCTGTTGAACTTTGATCTTCTCGCCCGCCGACGATCGGGGTCCGACTGCGCGTCTCAAATCGTGGAGTTCTTCTGAGAGTATGAGCGCTTCCTGATGAGCTCGAGGGCCGTGATTGAGGTTGTTGAGACAGTGGTTGCTGACGCTGCTGGCGTTGCGATGATGGGTTGGTGGATTCGTGAATTTCGTAGGCCTCGTCAGTCGTGAGTAGATTCGGTCGAGGCAGTGCAGCCAATCGAGGTGTAGGTGCAACAGAATTCGAAGACAAGTTGTGTATTTATCTTGAAGAGCTTAATTTTTGCTGGTAGGGACGAACTTCGGCAGCATGCGCACAATAGGATCGCACGAGATGTCTAGGAATTTAGAGACAATGGTCTGATGGTGCGAACACTGCAGTTGGTTAGTAGATCGAAGATAATGAAGGGCGACGGAGATTTGGGCGTGTTGTTGAGATGGCTGGGGGGGCTGGGAGACAAGCGAGCGCAACGCTCGAGGTAATCCAAATCATGGGGAAGCCTACCACTGACCCGGACTGAAGCTGCAGTCGCCCGTGGGAGATTGTTTCGCATAGACAAGAGGAAGAACTCCAGGGCTTCGTTTGTTTTGTATCTTCCCGAAGAGTCTTGAATGTACGGTAAGCTGCTCATACCCTTGTCGACCACCACCCCACCAGCGCCTCCTGACGTTCGGAGACAGGGCGATGCTATGTGAAAAGTCAATAGAATCTCAGACAACCACCTCCGAGTGTTTGAAGCAACAATAGAGGCCTTCAGTGACCGCAATGGCTCACTCAATCTCGGAAGCTCGAAGGTCTCGGAAGCTCAGCGCAGCCGGAAAAATCGAGCTGCATACTCTTGGCGGTGTTTGCGCCGGAGAAGCACGAGTTGCTGCGAGCTTCTCGGACCATTCAATTGGCCACAATGAAGTGTTTGATCTCCAGAGTTTTGGAGAAAACAGGTCATGATGGCGCACACTTCCCAGATCCACTTTTTGGTACGAATGCCAGCGCACAGCGCTAATCGTTATGTAGGTAAGACCCTGACACGGCCGATGGCTTGCTTTTCTCGGTTCGAGGGGTTCTAGATTTAAGGCTGAGCTGGTCCACTCGGTAATATTGAACGTAACATCACGGCGCGCATATTTTTCCATTGAACGTGAAAGACTCAATCAATTCTACGGAGTTACAACATCCATTAGACAATAAATCACAATCGTTATTGTCTACCTCGATACGCAGCTCAATCATTGATACTCGAGACAGATTCTAATACACCTCCCCACCAGTCCCTGTCAATTGCCTTCTGGGGTTGCATAGAGCTATTAGCATCCCCGTAGATTCGATATGCTATTCACGACGTTTTCTGATATAGTCAAGCATCCGAATATGATGGAATCTGCTCCAAAAGCCCAATCCGAGTTCTGCCAAACGGGTCGAGCACCGCTGACCCCCTTTCTTTGCGGAATTCACGGAGCTCTAATCATCAGCATTAGGCCTATTTCCCAATCGTTTCCATATCTTTCGTGATACTCTTAGGACTTTAGCCAAAATCGGTCAAAGTTAGGACTATTCCCCCTTCCTTCGCCGCCGGAGGATTCTGGTATTATCCCCGTTCAACGCTATAAACCAATCTCCAAGCCTCGCATCTGCCTTGGTGTTCGGGTTTCTGTGCTGCTACTCTTACGCTTTTCTTTCAGATGTTTCTTGACGAGAGCGGCGTTATCTCGATATAAGACATGATCAAAGTCTACCTTAGTGACAAAATTTCACAGCTCGGTATTTTCCGTCTGGGTGGCTTAGCCCCCTTGCTTTATGTAAACACATCACGTCCCCATGGGGTGGTTTTGCGGGGAACTTTGGAATGCTTTTACCGCGCTGGTATCAGTTGTGGAGGGATCAAGGTCGCGATCCTTCAGAAGTGCTGGATTGCCATTATTCCCATTGCTTTTTAAAACAAGACCTCGAATGAATCTTGCTTCATCTTCCCACTTATGGAAACCGGTCTTTCACCTGTCTGCGACTCCAGGCAATGCCCGGTCCCATTGTACCTCGGAGCCAGGAGCCAATCATTCCCTCGGCGAGAACCTTGCGTTCTTGTTACAGATCAAGGCAATGACTTGATTGAGCGGCGTACCTGTTATAGCGAACACGTACCCCGTGCTCCACCACCATCACCTACTAAGCTCACTCCATTGACCTGTGCCGAACTTAACGAAGCTTGTCCATCCGCCTCTTGCGCTCTGCTTCTCGTCGACCGAAAGATCGAGGCACACCGGGCAAGGCTGTCACCAACAGAGCACAGAAAACCCCCAGGCTGGTACTCTCACGCCCTTATGAGTGATAGCGTTTCCAGGATGAAGCTCGAGACTTCCGATGAACAGATGCACAGAATGACTCCACTGCAACAGATCTCATCGGCATCTGACGATGATGATACAACAGTGACGAACTCGAGCTGTCCCTCGTCAAGAAGCAGCGGCACTAATACTCTTGTGAATGACCTTCCAGGCGACAGAGAAGTCGCTCCCCATTCCACAGCCATCGGCGTCCACTATCAGCGCAAAATAGCAACCTGTCCGCAGTTGGCTACCCAGCCTCCCTCTCCAAAGTCACCCACCTTCAGTCTTTTCAATCTACGATCTTCAAGGACTGCTATGGCAGACGCGCCAAGCAGGTTACGTTCCCCTTCACAAAGTAGCGATTCCTTAGGACCTCGACCCACTGTCACCGGCAGCCAAATTTCTTCGCTAACACCGATTGGCTCAAGCGCCATTCCGGACATAGCAGGACTACCGCTGGTGTACGAGCAAAGCAAGACGAAGTCTTGGCCAGGCTCATGCAGCTCGCTTCCAGGACCGGACATTGTCAGCATGCCCAAGTTTACAACGAGGCCAAAATCGCGCGACTGCGACTTCGCTTATGCTTACTGTAGAGAACGCAAGGCAGAACGTGATGGTGTGATACCCAGCTGCCGGAAGTGCCTCTCGAGAAGCGAGACTTGCTCTTTCAACAAATACTGTACAAGTCTGCAACCTTTAGAAGAGCACGCGAGAGGAAAAGAAACGATGGACGAGCAAGAGGCGGCGACAATGGAAGAGGAGCATTCTCATTTTTCTGATTACAGCACGGACGAGGATGATGACGGCGAGAAGATACCATCGAACGCTCGGCTCTTCAATTCCCTAGGCAGGCTACACTCAAGGTCGAAACCCAGGTTGTCCTGGGGCAATTTGTTCTCTAGGTCTTGATGGCACATACAGCCGGCATGGACTTCTGCGATTGTTCAGTTGGTCTCTAAAATCTCAATGTTTGGACGAGTTTTTTCTTTGGACCAAAAATTTGATGTAATTCGGGTCGATTCCATAGTGGAGGCTTTCTTTGATGGATTTGCACACATAGATGCTGTTGTACTTGACGACTTTCCATAGTTTTGTTTAGGCGTTGATGGCGACGCTTAGCCTCTCGAATTTTGTTCAAATGGATAGTTTTCGGTATCTACCTCTCGGCTCTATCGAGCAGATCCTCTTCCGGGCGACTCCAGCAATGAAGCAAGGGGCGATACTTGGGCCCAGTGCCCGCATCATCGATGAACTCACCCCAACCCTGCCTCCTTGCCCACTCTTCCCTCTTCCCACTCCCTTCCCTCGAACCTTCCCACCTTTACCCCTGCGATCTTTATCTCCTGGTCTACTCTCTCTACCCAGCTCCTCACAAGCGGATGCGCATCAACCACCTCCCGAAACGTAACCTCCTCTTCCTTTCCCTGGACCTGATACCTCCAGATCCCATCCTCGCCCCACCACTCCCTCCCAAAAATCTTCTCAATGGCCAGATGCTCTCTCGCCTCCTTCACCAACTGCCCGAGTCCCTTCCTGTCCACACTCTCCTGCGAATGGGCAGCACATAATCCCTCTAACGCCCCAAGTATGTAACCCACACGCAGCCCGAAGACTGCGCCGAGGGAGTATCCTTCGTCGAAACCGGGCTGCAGGGACCGCTGTTTGGAAGCGGAGATTCCGGCCCGGTAGCCGGCTGTGGAGTGCGTGCTACGGAGGCGCGGGATATCTGAAGGATCGGCTGTGGTGGGAGAGGTGGGGGACGAGTCGGAGAAGATGTCCGAGAAGTTGTTGTTGATGGTGGGTGAGGAAGGAGAGGGTGGGGTGGAGGGGGGTGTGAGAGCCATAGTGTGATAGTATGGTAGATACCCTCTCATAAGAGTAGTGAGGTTGAAAAGAGCGTTGAGAAGCAGGGATGTGATTGGTTCGAGCTGTCCTCGGGTATGGATCCTCATAGCAAGGGTACGACGGGAGGCCTAAGGTTGTCATCGTGATCCCTGCGATATGACTGAGCCACCACGTCAGAAAATCCCTGTTTCTTGCTTCTGAACGTTGTTTTGGATTGCATAGCTTTCTCAGAGTCAGAAGCAAAGCAAGAGCAACAAGCGCCGCCGCAGTCAAGGCAAGGTGCCGTGATGAAGCCCGAGGTTGTCTGTGGCGCTACCAGGCGTCCCGTTGCTGTGCATGAAGCCCCCAATGCGGTCAGACTATGCCACCAGAGGTTGAGACAACCGTGCCTGATTCAGAAACTCTCCCTATTACTTGCATTCGTTATATTTTCCAAGGCCCGAACAGCCGCTGACTGTCCAACACGTATTCTTTCCCCTCTGCGGCCCAGAGAAAGGTTTAAGCTATTTTGAGCCTCCAGCAGCTCAGCGTCCTACTTATAAAAGCTTCCTCCACCTTCTCGTATTCTTCGTATCTTGTATATCGTGTCATTTCCTTCTCCAAACTTTTGAAAAGCTATTGGAATCACCATGGCTTCTCTCATTTACGACTCTAGGAAAGAGATACTATCAGAAGCCCTCCACAAAGCTGAAAACGCCGTCTTCTTCGACGACCGTGGAAACTATGCTGATGCCATCCGGGCTTACGGCAGTTCATGCGCGCTGTTAGGACAGGTGATGAGGACGACTCTTAAGAGCGTGGATCGAGCTACGGTCGAAACCATCGTCAGTAGCTTTTTGAAAAGAACATGTGAATGTGTCTAATGATTTTGACGCAGCGGACCTCCTACATAAAGCGGATATACGAACTCCAAGGGAGCTTGGGACCCATGTCGCCCAGGTTCTGAAGTGGTAATGGGCGCTCTTGCTGCCATCGGTGTCAAAAGAGGAGCTGGTTGACCTCCCGGGTCTCGGGATGGGAGCTCCTTCCTGCCCAATGTCTCGGGACCGGATCTCTACATCTCTCCTCGAGGAACGTTGATCAGTCATACATGTTCATTCTGATAAAACTGCTTCCCCTCAACATATTTCAACAGTTGTTTGGTCACTCATTCTTCAAGATGCCAACGCCAACGGACTCAATGCCCTTAAAGCATGCTGACATTGGGCCTTTCCGTCCTCGAGCTCTATGCCCGCTCCCAAAAGATGGCACACCGAGTCATCCAGGTCTATTACCATTCCTACTGATAAGCCCACCCATGCCAGGCTGGATATCTTGAAGCAGGCGCCTAAGCAGTACGAACGAGGCCTCAAGGACCTACAGGAAGGACAAACGAGAGGATGAGTTCCGAGGACTACGAGCCAGCGAAGAGGCCTTGCAATGTTACTTGATGGCCCTTGAGAGCCAGATGGTCGAACTATGAGTGGAGTTCAAGAGACTTCGCAATGGCTCTCGCGTCTTTCGAGGGCTAGATCCCCTCAAAGGCTTCGCATTCTGCAAAACATGGGGACGATCGGTCGCTCAAACGAGAGCTTCACAATTCCCAAGTTCTGATGGATCTGGAGGAAGATCTCCAGAAGATGGGCTATGCTCCTGCCATTGGAATGAGAGAGAATTTCGCTTCAACGCGAGAGAAACCACGCGACCTTTTCGAGGAGACCAAGGACACTACTGCCAAACTTAGCCAAGAGCGCCAACCATTCAAATATGTCATACAGCAACTCAATAGACATCTAGCTGAATCTCAAGGCGAGCAAGCCAAGCCAAGGGCGGAAATCGGGCTTCTTCAAAAACGAAATACCACTTACTTGGACTTCTTGAAGAGGGATATTCCCCAACGCGAGACATTGTTGGCGGCTTTCAGAGGAGTACAGGAGAGAGGTTGTTTGACGGCAGATGACATCCATGCAGTAGCTGCATGGCAAGCTAATCCATTGGATACTTACCCTGAACAAAGACGAATCAATGGATCTAGCCATCGGGAGTGGTCAGAATGGTTTTGCGGAGCTGTGAAGACAAGGGCCACGGCGACTGGTTGTGGAGGTGGGCGGACGAGTTCTGATTGTCACAGCATCGGCGAGTCCACGAAGATAACGACAGAGAGTCTTGGCTCGACGGCGACTCGTGGTTCACTACCATCCAACAAACGCAGACGAGGCGGATCAGAAGCAGGAGACGAGCGAGACAACTCCCCCTTTGCTTCTCAACGAACACGAATAGATCTAAACAGGAGATGTTCGAGGGGAAGAGGCCTTAAATTCTAGCCGGTTGGCATTGACTTTGAGCTTGGTCCCATCTCTGTGCTAGAGATCTGGCAGAAAGGACGAACATGGGTTGTCAAGGTTCTCATCTGGAAGTCCAGATTTTGCTGAGAACCTGTATGGAACAAAGACAGCAATAGATGCAATGCAACGGCTATGATTGCTAGTTTCCATCTTTTTAGACCCGCCTGTGACATGCAGCCAATACTGGCAAAAAGTCCCCCATCTTTCAACACATTACAAACACCGAACCTTAGCGTAGTCCAAACCCTCGCTTAAAGAGAGTGACAGTCACTTGCGCACAACTGAATGTCCAAAGTCCACTCTTTCCAAGGAACCTCGACCTTCCGTGCGATCCAAATAGCATATCAGTGCTCTCTCAAATGGCGTGTACACACGCGTTCTCACCTCGTATCTGTCAACATTCCGGGTGCTCAACCCTCGCGGCTGCTATGGCAGAGAGCGGTGCCTCAACGCTGGAATCTTCTGACTCCGAGGAGTCTGGCTCTTCTGAAGGGGACGAGGTAGAGATTGTTGTTGATAGTATGAAATCGACGAATCTTAGAGGAAATAACGGTATGTGATCGCTGGATATGTTTAATGCGTCTGGAACTTTCAAGGAGCCCTTCTGAACTTCTCATGTTTCACTGTCCTTTCATGCAAGAAGCCTAATGTTATTTGCGAACACTTTCCTTTGTTTGGAGAAGCATATATCTTGCAGTCCTCAGGTTCTAATTCTCTTTAGAATTCACCTTTGCAGTTCCAAATCCGACCAAAGCGAAAATGGCTGAAGCCTGGGACTCTGATCGCTATTATCACGAGAGTCTGGTGTCGTCTACCGACTCTTCAGACGCAGCTGACCGACACTTCAATGTCCATCGGGAAGAAATCCGGACAACGCCCCTCTTCTCAGCGGATGTGTTGGCAGGTGTCAACGAGACACAACCGGACGTGCTGCCCCAGTATAGCTTCCTCGCCAAAGTTCTGGACACATTCGGCGGCCAGGGTCAACAGAACACGCATGACCTCCTGACTCCAGACTTGGGCATTTCCGGCGTTACGCTCAACCCCAACTCTCAGTCCTCCACGACGAGGAGGGGCGACAGCCGGCTGTTCGTCAATATGAATGCTCCATGGTCTGCCTTCATCTGCGGTTCTCAAGGGAGTGGGAAGAGTCATACCTTATCATGCATGCTAGAGGCCGCTCTGAAGCCTTCTAGGCTGGGAAAACTCCCATGCCCACTGGCTGGGATGGTCTTTCACTACGATAAGTTCACGGGATTCTCGGCAAGCCAAATCTGCGAAGCGGCATACCTCGGCTCCACAGGCATCCCGGTGACGGTCCTGGTATCGCCAAGCAACCTCCATCGTATGCGGAGGGCCTATGAAAACATGCCGAGGTTACCTTCGAATGCACCCAAGCCGGTGGTGGCGCCATTGCTGCTCGAAGAGAAGCACCTAAACGTCGAGCGTATGATGAAGCTGATGGCTATTGACGAGAAAGAAGGAAAGGTTGCCCTATACATGGAGGTGAGTGATGGGATAGAGCCATGTCAGTGAGGTGCCACCAACGTCGTACTGACACTTGGACAGAGCGTATGCAGAATTCTTAGGTCGATGGCCATAAATGATCAGCACACCGCAGGTCTGAACTACCAGGAGTTCAGAGACAGACTCCAACTGGAGAATTTCAACGACGGCCAACGAGCGATGCTATACACACGTCTTCAGCTCTTGGAGAGTTTCATGCTCCAGCCAGGAGTATCAGGAAGCGGCTCAATATCAGAGGTCAGACCTGATTATGCGAACACAAAGAAAGGAAACGCCCAGAGACTTGAATGGCAGAACAAGGATGATGCACGACAGAGGGCGAAGATTGCGAAAGCAGGCATCTGGTCTTTCCAACCTGGGAGCCTGACTATTGTCGACCTGAGTTGTCCGTTCGTCGATGAGAGCGCGGCATGTGCTATGTTCAACATTTGCCTTGCCCTCTTCCTGGAAGACAGACAAGAAGCTGGACGGATTGTGGCGCTCGACGAGGCTCACAAAGTAAGGGATTTTCTGTACGCCGAGCGAGATACATGGCACTGACCGGTTCTAGTTCATGACTGGGACGGATTCGAGCTCAGTCTTCACCGAGAGTCTCCTATCGGTGATCCGCCAACAGCGCCATTTAGCCACACGAGTCATCATCGCGACCCAAGAGCCAACGATATCCCCCAGCCTTCTGGATCTAACTTCGATGACAATAGTGCACCGCTTTACCTCCCCAGCGTGGCTTGTGGCGCTCAAATCCCATCTTGCCGCCGTGTCCAGCGAAGGCGAGGCGTCCAAACGACAGGACATTCTCACGCAGATTGTGGAACTCGGTGTCGGTCAAGCCTTGGTCTTTTCACCTTCAGCCATGCTAGGGGTGGATGATCAGGACGGCAATGGGAGTCCAAGGATGCAGAAGCTGGGGACTCAGTACATCAAGGTGCGTGTCAGACAGAGAATGACCGTGGACGGAGGAAAGAGCATCCTCGCGACTTAGGCCCGATATCTTCCTGTGTCCTCTGGACTGCTGATTGGGTAGCTGGCAATTGCACACTTTCGAGATGGATGTTTGATTCAGATCAAAAGCACCTTCTGTTATGTTAGAGGTTGGATAGGTTCTGCTAGATAGTGTGAAGTGTGAATAGATAAAGTAGGTAGCCATGAGTCCGGTTACATCTTTTCTGCCAGAGCCACAAACACTATTTGCGGAATACATTCGGGTCGTGCCCAGCCTATCCACGTCCTTCTCGTCTTGATAGTGTGTCGTTTCGCCTTTTTGCCTTCTTCATCTCCAAAATCTAGACCGCCGGGTGGAGTGCAGATCTGCGGTTACGTAAGCAATTCCTACTTTCTCGCTCAAGCTTTCCCCTTCAACTTCCACCACTTTGCCTTTTAACTTTCTGCTTGACCGTGGCCGTGGAGATGGCTCCTTCTGACATCACAGCTATGCCTCGACGACATCATAGCCGGCTGAGGTCTTTGCGGGTGGTGTGCAAAAGGAAAACACTAGACAATTGACTGCATATAATCCACGCTCTCCCTTTTGTCCAACCAATGTGTCTTTGACTTTACAGCGCCTGTTATTCTCCTACATACAAATTTTCCACACGCTCAAAATGCCTACCACAAAGCGCTGCGGCACCGAAACCGCCGGTAACAAAGCCATCGGCGGCGTCCCAAGAATCCATTACTTCGATTTTCAGTCCCGAGGCCGGGGGCAGGTTATTCGCCTCATGTGGGAAGATGCCGGCATCGCCTACGATGACACGCGCTACAGCTTTGAGGAATACCCTGATTACAAGAAGACTCGCATTATGGAGATGAACCCGACGACCAACATCCCCGTCGTTGAGTTGAATGGGAGAATCCTGACGCAGAGCTATGCCATCCTGAGGCATTTTGCTAGACAGCTGGGGCACTATGATGGGGAGACCGAAGAAGAAAAGTACTGGGCTGATGCTATGTGCGATATCGTCATCGACTGTACGTGACCTTCAGTCTGTTACAAGGAAAATCTCTTAATAAGATTAGGGCGCTCCCTCTTCATCCAAGCTTTCTTTGCGGACAACATGGAAGAGACCTATCCCGAGCATCAAAAGACCGCTCGACCGAGATTCCTGAAAGCTTTGGAGACGCATCTGAAGACGCATCAGCTATCCACATCGGGGCCGTATATCATTGGGAAAAACATCACATATGCGGATCTGGTGCTCTACCAGATCTGCCATGATGAGAGTTTGACACAGGAGGGGAGAAAGGGGCTGAAGGATTACCCTAGGTTGGCGGAGCTGGTGGATGCAGTGGAGGCGAGGCCGAAGGTCAAGGCCTTTTTGCAGAGTGATAGGTATCTAGGTTGATACGAATCGATCTGAATGACAGCTTCGTATGGAATCTGCGAACCAATCTCTCCTACTCCATACATATTCGTGGCTATGCAGGGTCAGCATTTGTGCGCGGATACCATCTCATGGTGATGTTAGGGAATGACGGTCCACGATACTGAGCGGATGCCGCTGAGCCTGGGGAAGGAGCTTGGCCGAGCAGGTCTGCCGATGCTGAGGATCCACAAGATCCGAATGTTCCGAATATTCTCGCTCGTTGAGACCCGGCGCTGCAGGAATGATAGTCGCATATCTCTTGAACCCAAAGCGGGAGCTCGGCATATCTCTCTTTCGTTCATCGGAGGAGAAGGTCATCTCTCGAAAGCGTTTTCATCGACCTGATGCGGTATTGACTGACACATCTTAGGTCAATGAGTGGGTCAGCTTGGGTGCTGCCAACGTTGAAGCCGATTTGATTACGCCTGACATCAGACCGTTGAAGAGTGCATATTGAGAGCTAGATGCCCATTTCACTCTGCGCTCATATGTTGTTGGTTACTTACTGTCAGCCGCTGATACTATCATTTGGAGTGCGCTACGTGGGAATTAGGCCGCATGTTCCATGATCAAGCGAAGCAAGAAAAACATTTGTCCGTGGTTCAAATTTGTGGAATCGACCAATCGATGGATCGTCACTGCCGTGGCAGATTTCGATGCTTTAGCACACCGGAAGCGCTCCCTAGCAACTCCAGAGGGTAGTAATTATAACATCCGTCTCAGTCATGTGAAAGGCGGAGTAGTGACTCGGTTACCACCAGAGCCGTCGGGCTTCCTCCGCGTTGGTCATGCAAAAGCCGCCTTGCTGGTTGATTTCCTCGCGCGTGGGAAAGGCAATTGGAATCTGATCTGCCCTTTCGATGTCACCAACCCATCAGAAGAATTACAGGAGTTCGAGGATTCTATTGTTGATGATTTATAGATGATGTAGATCTATCCCAATAGAATATCGCACTCAAGCGACATCTCCCCGCAAATGTACGAGTATTGCATTCAACTATTGCGCAAAGGGAAAGTCTATGCCGACGATACCGAAAAAAAGGTTATGAGTAATGAAAGAAGGAACGGAATCGAGAGCAAGCGTCGTGGACCAAGTGCGATAGAGAGCCTTGCTCGATTCGAGGAAATGAGGGCAGGATCTAAAGAGGAATACCCGATGGTGCATCCGCGCGAGAATCTCCATTGATAATATTAACAAAGTCCTACGAGACCCTATTATCTATCGCTGTAATATTCAGCCTCATCATAGGACTGGCAGTACTTGGAGGGCCTATCCGGCCTACGATTTCTGTGCCCTTATCTTGGACTCCATCGAGGGTGTGACTCACGCTCTTCGAACGAACCAGTATCGTGATCGGAAGCTGCAATACGTTTGGTTTCAGAAAGCACTCGGCCTTCGAGAAGTTGAGACCTTTGACCTTGCGCGAACGCATTCCATGCGAATGTCCTATCAAAACGAGAGCTCAGCAAAATCGTCGATAGTGGGGTTGTCTAGGGCCAGAACGGCCTCAGAATGCCCACACTTCAGGGTATGCGGAGGCGAGGTATGACTATGAGTGCACTCCAGACTTTCTCATGAAGCAAGGACCTTCCCAGGACATCATCAATCAAGATTGGACCCAAATATGGGCAATCAACAAGAAACATATCGACCCTCTGGGTCTAAGACATACAGCTGTAACGAAAAATCGAATAATAGAAGTAATCATTTAAAGGTGGCCTTGAAAGGCGACTTCCGATACAAATCAAAGCACAGCAAGAGTCCAGAGCTCGGGAGCAAAAAGGTTGTCTACGGAAAATAGATTTTGATCGACCAAAAGGGTGCAGAGTCTTTTACTGAAGACGAAGAGATCACCCTAATGAATTGGGACAATGCGATTGGGCGAAAGATACACAGGACCATGAATCCTTCGAGGGGTGACTAACTGGGAGTTAGACCTCGTGCCGGTCCATCTGATCATTTGTGGCTACCTCATTACGAAGACAAATTTGAGAAATTCGACAATATCGAGAATCTCCTAACACCGCAGACGAAAATTTCGCCACTCTCGTGGTGGGCGAGACATTATCGCAAAGAGTATTTCAGAGTGGACCAGCCTTTGTTGGATGATAAGCCCGCAGTCTTGTTTGAGATTCCCACGGGTAAGATGAAATAGTCCACAATATTCAAAAGCTCGCAGAGACGCTTTGAAGCAAAGGAGAGGATACGACAGGCTTCCAAGAAGATGCCAAGTCCAGTCTCTACCGACTACTATCCACTATAAAAGCCTACCCTCGAACAGCAAAATGTACCCTTTAAAGTCAAGCACGTTGCTTTATGCTATACCGCTAGCGAAAGGCTTCCCCGGCAATCGCACCTGCTGTCTTTTCGAGTTCTCTGTACAGTAACGGCATGTTTTAGAGGAAAGCGTTTACTTTCTTTCAATCTATCAAGTCACAATCTATCCAACTTCAGGTTGAGTGACGAGTAGGATGAATGAATCATTCTGTCTCAGGGACCCCCCATGGGCCATGTTTTATACTTCATACAATACAGGTAGTTCATCCAGTACGTGACTTGGAGGAGGCTGGGAACCTTGGTTCGACAGTGCGTTTCACAATTTCGCATACTTACAATGTACTATGATGGGTATTCAGAGAGTGTAGAGGGGGCTGCAACTATGCTCGATGAAGCCGAGGGAAAGAGAAACACAAAAACCCCCCGTCTTATATAAGAAAGAATCCATCACCTTTCCTTAAGAAAAAAGGACCCACCCCATTGATCCTGCTTAGGGGCAACAGAATGCAAAAAAGTTGCACTCACGGCGGGGCTCGAACCCGCAGCCTCCAGATGTCAAGATAGAAGTCTGATGCGCTACCACTGTTGAACGATGAGTAACTTAATTGGCCGAGCAAAGGGTTCAGGGAAAACTAACTTGCGCCACGCGAGCTGGAAATATCTATTAATAGAAGAGTCCTAAACCAAGATATATTAAGGATTACAAGAGCCAGTGAGTCAATTTGAGCCCATCTTGCGTATATCTTCAATTGTGCTTGATATCAAACTGAACGAGGAACCGCCGCTAGCAGCCGTGCCTTCCAGAAACCCAGACATCACATCGTTGTCGTCAAAGGTGATCTGGCGGAAAAACAACGACCCTAGACCGGTTGGTCCGGCAGCTCGGTCTGAACGCGCCTGCAGGGGAAATACAACCACGGGAGCTCACAACGCCAACGATTGAGGGCTTTGTAGTTATCGCAATTGCCTGCTCAAGTAAAACACCAGAGGCGTAGATGCCATAGCAATTGGGACATCAGTGGAAGGGATTACTCTCTCACCACCGCAGCTTGTTGAGGAAACCATTCTCCACGTCAATTTCCTCGGCGTAGGGCTGGTTTTCCACCGTCACATTTCCACTCCTCGACCACTGACCGCGACGCATACATACATACATACATACATACACACCTTGACGCCTCCATTGCGACTCACGACAACTCTCACGGCACTCCTCCAGCGCCCATCCCTACCGCCAATGTCCAGCCCAGAAACCCCACGACCCCCCTCCTCCACCCGCACGCGCAACCAACTCAACATCTTCCTGACCGGCGCCGCCCTCCTCACCCTCTCCTCGCTCCTGACCCGTCGCTCCCTCCACCTCCGCCGACGATCCATCATCCCCCGCTTCTACCACCCCTCCAACCAACAGCCGTCTTTGAAGATCAACGGCAGGTTGGAAGCCTGCCAAGCGCTCGGGATTGCCACGGTCAATGTTGCGAGTTTTTTCACCATGGTGGGAGGGGGGTTGCTGTGGGCGTTTGATATCGGGAGCGTGGAGGATATCGGGAGGCGGGTTGGGGGTGGGAGGGGGGGAGATGGGAAATGGGGGGGGAGGGGAAGGAGGGGGGAGGATGAGGAGGAGTTTGAGAAGTGGGTTGCTTCGTTGACGGGGGGGAAGACGGCGGAGGAGAGGAGGTGGAGTGCTCGAGGACCTGAGGAGGAGGAGCGGGCGAGGGAGGAGGGGTATGCGGTGGTGGAGCCGCAGGGTACGAATGAGAGGGGAAAGCCAAGATGATGGTGGGGTTCCCGTTGGCCTACATCGGGCCCTTGAAGACTTCGGCTTGTCTTGCACATGGGATCTGGCTGTGGCAATCCTGTCGTCGGTCAATCTTTCGCTCGTCTCCCAGATTTCTCACGACCTGGATGACTGAATTGATCCCTGCACCTGTTCGACTGCTCCAGGTCATTGTGTTCCCGATGATTTCACTGCGTTGCATGGTCCGCACCGCAGCCTGGAAGGCTTTGCAAGAACAGCCTCTTTGATTAGATTCATCACGATAAACATACCATCCAAGCAAGCCATTTTCGGCGGAACGAGAACCTTTTGTCACCGGGGGTTTTTGGGGCAAGACCTATCAAGATCAGTCACGGGATAGGGCTGTAGGACGTCACGTATTGCATCTGCTTCGAAACACGGATGGGGGCCGCTCTGATGGTCATCATTGTCAGGATCGGGATAATGAATGGGGAGCTAGTGGTTGGGGAGGCATGACTGCTCGTCGACGAAACGACGATTCGACGCTCAAGCTGCTGCTCGTCAACATCAGGGCAGCCATGGTCATGAGCTTGAGGCGCTGCTGCTGCTGGTTGGGTTAGCAGGAGGGCGGAAAACAGAAAGAAGCCCTTTGCTACGACCATTCCGTGAAGAACGAGGAGGGAGAGGGAATACGGAGATACACGCTGAGGAGTCACGCTGAAGGCAGATGCACATATGCAAGGCTCGGTTAGATGTCCCTTGCAGGGGGTCGAGAAAGACGATAGCACTGGTACATTTTTGAATGCTTGAGTAGACAGGAGCCCAGAGCAGTAGCACATATCGAGCGCAAAAACGTTGAAGCTAGTGTCTCGCGCACTCGTCTGTTCTACAAATTGTATCTCAGCCTCGTCGTCACTTTCGACAACTGGACAATTGAAGTGTAAGGAAATGGTATCTCTAACAAATGCACGCGATCGTATCGTAGGTACAAACCGAGACAGCGAAGGCCGTAACGCCGTGATCTCATCAAGAAGAAAATGTGTGGAGCATCGAGCCACTGCAAGCACCATCACCGCCGCCGCAGCCGTTGGGGAACCATCGTTGGTGGTTCTGCTCGTAGGAGTACCCCGTATGATCGTAACCGTCGTACTGTATGGCTTCCATGTCAGTCCCAGTGGGGAACATGTCATTAAAAGGCCCGGAAGCCGAGGTCGTTGGTACCTGGCAATAGGAGAGGACTTGATCGTAAGCCGAGAAAATTGGCTGGTGGAACGGTGCTGAGCTCGCGTAGCCATGTTGCGGAAGGAACATGCTCGATGAAGCCGGTCCCTGTGTGGAATGGGTGCATTGCATACCCTGCATCTGATCCGCTGCATTTCCTTGGTGATCTGAGACACCTCCGTAGGTTGAAGCTTCAGCCGGGCTTCTTCCAACCTTCGAGGCAACTTTGCGCAACATGTCATCGCACAGGGACCAAGCCCGCCTCGCCGCTTCATTCTCTGACAAACCCCGTAGCCAATCTGTTGCCTTCTTTGCCGAGTCGAAAATCTCGTCAACCTCGTTGGGCATATGATCCGAACGAAAGGAGAGTTCAAGCATCAAAATAGTGGCGGCCTGCATGAGATAATGCACTAGACACCACCAAGGAGCGACTGTATATAGACCAACTGGATTCGGCTCTTGGGGCAACATCTCCAACATATCTCGCGCCGCGTGTACGCTTTTAATAGCAGTCTCGCGGTTGAAATCTTTAGCTTTGTCTGATTGATTGGGGATCTTTCGGTCGACCCGACACAGACACGGCCGGTTGATGATTGCCAAGATGCTGTAATAAAAGAAACCGAGGCTCATTCGCTCACGAACAAATTGTTGGTCTCGTTGCTTTTTGGTGAAATCAAATACATTGGGCAGTTTGCCACGCCAGTCCTCGATTTTCGAGTTCAGGGACGCAATAGTGTTTTGGACATCAGCCCAGGACTTTGACATGGCATCAGCACGGTAAAGGCGGTTCAGGACATCGTTGCTAAAGGTGCTCAACTTCGTGTGGTATCCGAAGTAAAGTGCGTTGGTGGTAGGTATTGCTTGCTTCCGCTCTTGCGACGATGGCAGCGATAATGGTGACATTGAATCAGCTGGAGAATTTTTGGACTTTAACGAGTAGCTAATTGAGGACGGCGGGGTCGTTGTGCCATCAGTCTGTCGCGATTCTTCACTAGACATGCGCCGGAGCAGTGCGATATCCTGGGGACTGGGCGCATTATTTCCTACGAAGGAATCTTCTTCGAGAGGGAGCGGCGCCGGTGCAGTACAGTCGGTCTCCGAGAAAGATGTGGGACGTCCGGTCATGACGGCCAGTATACGTTCAAGACTGCACACCGCCCACCAAACACGGTATCGGATCTCTTTTGAGGTTTCCGGAACATCCTTGCTATCGTTTCGTAGGTTGAGGCCTAGGGTGGCAGCGTGCCTGATAGCGATGCCACTAGTTGACCAGGACCTATAGGTGGTGTCAGACGGAAATCGTCTCATTAAGTTGAGGCTACGACTTACCTATTAATCTGGTTCAAGGCCATCAGATAAAAAGACATGAGACCCGTAATCTGTACTTTCTGCAACTCAGCGTGGCCTAGTATGGCCTCCGAATTGAAGCCGAGTATCCGAGCACGAGTGAAGTAGACCAGGTGATCTGTTTCGTCGCCATTCCACTCGGCTTGGATGAGATGGGAGTATTTAGCACCGATGGCGAAAATCAGATTTAGGATGGCCAGCCAATTCTGGTTGATTTTTGATTGATCCTCACTGAGTTGGAATGCTTGGTACTGGCTGATGAAAGTACTCTTTCCAATAATTGGGAACGCAGGATGAACGGTTTCCAGATAGCTTTGAAACAGCATGTTCGCCGTTGCCTGTGATGGCATTTCGAACGGGTCAACGTGATGAGGAGGAGTCAAGGTCAAGTCATCGCAATGGTAGGTTGATTCACTAATCGGAGTAAGATCTGAACCGAAAATCTCGTTATGAAGAGCTGGCGATGACTGTCCACTGGGCAATGAGCCTTCATCGTCGTCCTCCTGCTCCTCAGAATCTTGTCTGGTCTGTCGCTTGAGCCGTTGCATCCAAGTCACTTCCGAGTTCTTGCCATGGTATCCTGTGGCACGGGCGGCGGGGTTTCGGTTGTAGTCTTCGTCAATGCAATCTAAGGATTCGGTAGAACCAGCTCGAGCGTTGGCTTTGAACTCCCCGGCCAGCTCTCGGTGCACACCTGACTTTTTGCTATGTGGGGTTGCTGATTCATCATCGTCCTCCGGAGATAGCTCCTGGAGGGGTCAGCCGGAGTGCCTATCGTGCAGTCTAAGCATTTTACTCTGTCCAAGGTTCTTCGGATCAAGGCTTGGTCTGCAAATCCAGCACGCAAGCTGAGCTCTTCGAGAAGGTGCTCGTACTCTTCGACCCTGCCGACCAGACTACCAAGTTGTCTATGGTCACAGATGTCAGCCAGGAAACACTTCTTTTCAACAAGTACTCACTTTTTGGTTTTATCGCGTTTGCCATCCGCATACATGCACGTGAGCTTGAAGTCTTCGCAGTGCTGGCAAACCGGACGTTCTCCACTGCACTTTGTCTTCCTTTGCCTGCATGGCTCACATGCGTGAGCGACACGATTTTTGTCCGCTGATGCAGATCCTTTGGAGAGACACATTTCTTCGCTATTGCGACGTAGGCGAGGTATGGCTACCTTGGGCGGATTCTGTGATTGCGCACTGCCCTGGTGGGATGGAGCAGCGATGGGGAGGGCAGCGGTCGGTGTGTAAGGCGAAGGCTGTGGTTGAGACGGCTCTGGTTGCTGGCCTGTTGTGTTGGTGAGGGATACCGAGGCTGGCGGCTTGCCGGCCTGCTTGGAACCTGCCTGCTTCATCTTTTCTCGGGTGACCATTCTTTGGGCGGCCCCTCGCGGAAAGTGTAGAGACGTTCTTCGATAATTCAAGCAGCAATGTAACAGCGCTTTCCAAACATCCAACCAAAAATTTCCTCTGTTAATCGTGATGTTGTGTATGGCGGCGTATGGAGCGTGACGGGCTCTGGGGGAGTAGTGACGAAGATGGAGATAATTTGGCGCAATTCATGGCGGGCTCGGGCGATAATTGGGAGATGTGTGCAGTGTCCTGTTGTCCTGTGATCTTAGGAGGGTTAATATCAGCACGGCACTGCAAAGACTCTAGCTGAGAAGGATAGGTGGCAGATGTAGAGTGGTGAAGGAGGAAAAGTTGACGTGCCACGAATGCGATGACACGATGACCAAGCAGACTTTTGCCATTGAACCCTGGGCATGGAAATGTTTGAATTGCTACCTACTCTGATTCTGGTGTCGGAATAAAAGATGATCGCCACTATGTCGATGGTGCAGCGACGCTTTCTCTTCAGTCTAGCCAGGTGAAGGTGGGATGTGGGAGGCGGGGACGAAAGGGAGGAGAAAGACGAGGGAATGAGATCGCCTAAAGGCAGGAGCACGACGGACATGTTTGCAGTCCATGCTAGCGCCGCAGCGAGACTTTCTTCGATTCAATGACATGCGATGCCTAGGTAAGGTAGAGATTGTGGTAAACATTCGGACACAGCAACGGGTTTGCGACTCCTGGCGGAATTATGCAAGTACGACGACCGGCTTGCTTCTAGAGTTCTTGGAGTACATTATTCTAATTATTAATAAAGTCAACTACTCATTAATTATTGCGCAGCCAGGTAGCCATAGCCAATATTAATGTCGAATCTGAGCAGAGAGATCGCTGATGAGATGGCACGATGGATCATGGATGTGATGGCTGAACGGAACGCTAAACTAAACTAACCGCCACACCTTTCTCCTTTTCTCCTGGTGCCACCAAGACCCTGACCGGGCGAACCTCCGATGAATACTAGTACTGTAGTACGGCATTCGGAGATGTCGACAAGTACTAGTACCCTGACTCCTGACTCGCTTGGCTGCTGAAGCTTCATTGGAATTGCATCACCTGTCCGGCACAAGGCAGTCCGTCTCTGCCCTGTCTACTCCACCTCTGCAATTTCAACCCGAATACCGAAGCGCTTCGTTTGGTCAAGATTTCAGAAACAAGAAAGAGGTCATGGGTAAGATTACTTCAAATTAGGGTAACGTTCGAGTACCTAGGTACTTATTTAGAAGAGGATGTAGAATTTCTATGAACCCTCGGAAGCAGGCTCCGGAGAAGAGGTACCCCTCCAAGCCAAAGCAAGCTATACTCTATATGGTTAGCCAATCAGTCGAAATCTCCTGCTACCTATTCTTCTATCTCTCCCAGTGTGCCAGTGTCCTGCTTAAACGCTCAGACCTTGGAAGGTTTTTCTTATGGACGCGATTTGCCGCCAAGTCCGTAGAACACAAACATGTAGTTTGTCCACTGAATTCTTCCAACATATACCCCTTCCTTATATGCCCGAATCTCGCTCTAGATGATGTTGGATGGCCCTAGTTGACAAGTCTTGCGGAGATTGAGCGTTGAGCTTGTCCATTCTGCCTTCTGTAGTGCAACATTGCTTCCACCCCCCCCAGAATCTTACACGATGGGAGCTCTAGACGCCGTATCGTCCTTCCTGCCACCTCCAGAGAAGGATTACTTCGACCAAAACCCACCCCCAGAGACTCTTGACTTTCACGGCAAGCTTGCAAAAGCGTTCATCTCTCACCACCTCCAATCCAACAGGGCTGTGGTGCTGGTGACCTCGGGCGGAACAACGGTGCCTCTTGAGAATCAGACCGTGAGATTCATTGACAACTTCTCCGCTGGTACCCGTGGGGCCACATCCGCAGAGTGTTTCCTAGAAGCTGGCTATGCTGTTATTTTCCTTCACCGGCAATTCTCTCTACTGCCATATTCGAGGCATTATAGCCATTCTACGAATTGTTTCCTAGACTATATGGTAGAGGGGGAGAACAGCGAGGTCGTAGTGAATCCAGAATATCAGAAAAAGATGCTAGGCGTCTTGCGTGAATACAACGCAGCGAGGCGGAACAACACTCTGCTGCTGATCTCCTTTACGACAGTGACAGAGTATCTATGGGAGCTCAGAAAGATTTCGATGTCGATGAGACCTCTGGGTCCGAAGGCGCTCTTTTACTTGGCCGCAGCAGTCTCAGATTTCTTCCTACCAAGAGACCGGCTTTCCGAGCACAAAATTCAGTCGTCGGAGACAAACAGAGCTGGTGGAGCGGCAGAACCAGGGTCATCCGGCAATGCAGATACCTCCCAAGGGAAACAGCTCATGATTAACTTGGATCCAGTCCCTAAATTCTTGAAGAGCCTGGTCGACGGCTGGGCACCCGAGGGCATGATCATCAGTTTCAAGCTTGAGACTGATCCGTCTTTGCTGGTGTCCAAAGCTCAACAAGCGCTGGAGAAGTACTCCCATCATCTCGTCATTGGCAATCTCTTGTCGACGAGGAAATTTGAGGTGGTCTTTGTTGCTCCCGGAAAAGAAGAGCGGTGGATCAGAGTGCCCGTCCATAGAAGGGTCAAAAGCGTCTCCGGAGTTAGACCCACCATCGATGCGGTGAACAATGGAGATATGCCAGAACAAGAATGGATGAACGGGGATTTAGAGCAGGAGATTGAATCACTCATTGTACCTGAAGTCGCCAAAATGCATCGATTATTCACCCAGATGTCGCAGCAGCACAAAGAAGAGGATGAAGATGATCTATTGGCAAAAGCACTCGCGTGGGCAGAGTTTGGCAACGCAGATTGAGGATGCTCCATTTATGGACAGACTATGACTATATAAGGCTAGGCGCTATCACGGTGATTTCTGTGCCCTGCGGAGCCGGCAAATGATTACGGAGTGGCAAGTTCAAATGGGCAAATCCAAGGGTACAATACCATGGCGAAGGTCCTACAGGATGCCACGCAGGTTTCAAGGCACTCTCCAGCAGCTAGACACCAATGCAAGGAGAAAGCCTGATTAAAGACATGAAGAGACTGGTTCGGGTTGAGTAACGACGACTCATCTGGCCCGGTAGACATCAACAATGGTCAGGACCAAGAAATCTCAAAGGACGCTCTGGGTTTTACTGACAAGGCTTTGTATCCCGGCTCTAGTCTTTGAGCTGGAATGACATCCCCTCTGCTGAGCCAATGGATTGTGGCTCTCGCTCCATCTCTTTCTCGGTTTGCTGTCTTTAACAGTCACCCACAAATCGAAAAACGGGCTTTTTTGGATGGGCATTGCGTTTCATTGCCATGCCAACCCATGTCTATGTTGGAAATCCAACGTGGCCTTCAGTCCTGAGATGTTTGGGTTGAGACTTTGGCTCAAACCCTGGGAGCTTGACATGTAGTAAATGACCCCTACTCTTGCTGAACATCTCGAATTGTTAAAAGTAGATTGCTGCTGATGGCGCCCTTCCAATTTCCCATGTATCACACTTGTCATTCTCCATCCTTCCCATTACACGTATGGATCCCTTTCTTGCGTTTGACCATCGTCTGTGTCAACTATTGGATAGCTCATAACGCAATACCTAGCTCAGAGAGAGACGAGGAAATCAGCAACAGCGTAAAGTCATGAACTTCAAAGAATGATTCCTTGGCGGTCCACTCGGCTACTCAGCCCTACGGCGATCATAAACTCCCACACAAAATCAGGAACTCAACTTGAACCTCGATCCAAGGACAGCTACAATTCCACGACCGCAATTATGGCTGCCCTCAATAAGATCGCATCAACGAGTCCTTCGAGGCAAACGCCTTCTGAGCTCGAGACCAGCATCGCAAACGCCCTTTATGACCTGGAGTCAAATATTCCGGACATGAAGACCGCGCTGAGGCCTCTGCAGTTCGTTTCTGCTCGTGAGGTAAGCATTTCTTTCAAACACGATCTCTGCCTGATACAGCAGTATCTCTCCGAATGCTGAGCTCGCCCCATCTATCTGAGCTGTGAATCTGGAGTCGTACCTTGACCGTACAACCCATCTGAACCGGCAAGGCCGCAAGCTAACGAAACCTCTCCTCAACCCGCAGCTCGAAGTGGGCCACGGCAAGAAAGCCATCGTCATCTTCGTCCCCGTGCCCCTCCTCCCCGGCTTCCACAAAGTCCAGCAACGGTACCTCTTTCCATCCCCTCATCCCCACTGCCCCAAACCCCCCCTTACCAACCACCACTGACCCCCCCCCCTTCCTCCTTTCCAGTCTCACACGCGAACTCGAAAAGAAGTTTTCCGACCGCCACGTCCTCTTCCTCGCCTCGCGCCGCATCCTCCCCCGCCCGAAACGGTCCAACCGCTCGCGCACCTCGCAGACCCAAAAACGCCCCCACAGCCGTACCTTGACCGCCGTGCACGATGCCATCCTGAGCGATGTGGTGTACCCGGTCGAGATTGTGGGGAAGCGGACTCGGACGAGGGAGGACGGGAGTAAGGTGTTGAAGGTGGTGTTGGATGAGAAGGAGAGGGGTGGGGTGGATTACAGGCTTGATACGTATGCGGAGGTGTATCGGAAGTTGACGGGGAAGGGGGTCGGGTTTGAGTTCCCGTTGGGAGGGCCTGCTGAGTACTAGGGAATTGTGGCCGAGGAGACAGGTGTGGAAGCTCGCTATACTTCAGCTTTCGGTAAAGAGACTGGCATGGCAGAACAAACTCCAGCAGAAGGTGCACTAGGTGAAAATGGATCAGAATCTTGCAATGTGTAAAAATCCCTCCTTTCGGGTATCTCAAGCCACGTCTGGCTCCGCTAGGATGATGCTGCGTCGAGCTTCCCTACCCTCCCAACACCAAGAACAGTCCAGTAAGCTAGTTCTCTCTTCTCCTTCTTCTCGCCCTTTGCCTCATCTTTCCCTTCCCGTTCCAAATCAGCCTCCCATTCCATTCTCACAAACATGGGTATTTCGAGCACATCTACATCGTCTTCCAATTCCTCACTCTCCGCAATAGCTGCACAAGCGACCTCGACCACAACACTTGTCCAGTTCCTCCCTTTCTCCCAGACCTTACCAGCCTCGGCTATCCTTCCACCCTCACCTCCCGCATACTCAACTTTCGAAATGCTAAAGAGCTTACTGGATCTTCGGCTCTTACCATCACCGAGAGCCTCATCCCACTGGTCTACGTTGGAGCCAATGTCAAACTCTGGGCAGAGAACGGTCACTTTGTGGCTATATTTCCCAGGAGTTTGTACAGGTGTTGCAAGGGTGACTTTGACAGCGTCAAAGAGAGGGTTCTTGAGAGTGACCAGAAATTGGCTTGGTCGCAGTGGCGTCAACGCTTTGAGATCAATCAGCGGTAGCTCGGCAGAAGGTGATGGCTGTAATGGCTTAAGTGATATGGTTGGAATGTAATTCAAGGCTACAAGCCTGATCCTGAAGCGTGTACTTTGGACCTTCTGTTCTGGCCTCACGAGCAAGTGCCGGCAAGCCCGACAGCGTTTGCTGCGTTTCGTGCGGAGGAGGGGGCCCATTGGACGTAGGTCATCGACGAACCGAGACACATGACGCTGTTCGGCTTGTTGAGCTACGCTCGCAATTCCTGTCCAGCCTTCGGTACGTAGCTTTTTCACAGCTTCGTCATCAGAAGTAGGATACACAATCCTGAGTCCTTCTGGAATTTCGGCAGTTTCTCGCATGAGGGTGGATTTTCCCGTATCCTTCTTGCCAAAGGAGCGGCCAGTATAGAGGCTCATGATACGTGCAAGACTGCTCGGAGAGCTATAATTGTAACCTCCGGAGGGAGTGAGAAGTGGGTCCGAAGGATTGGAAGCTGACAGCTGAGAGGAGTAGAAAGATCTAACTGCAGCGAACGCGGCGTCAGGATCGTTGTCCAGCGCAGACAAAGACGTTGACTCAGTCTCGGATGGAGGTCCGGATCCCACAGATTTGGCGAAGTCCGTAGGCATTACGCGAGTAGACCTGGGCCGTCCTCCAACCTTGAGCTTGGCCATCTGTTGGTGCATGTTCTTGTTGCTTTCGAACCGCCAGCCAATGTCAAGGGTCGACCAATTGCAGTACCCGCAGCTCAGGATCCAGGGTTCGCTGACCGCTCTTTCCTCTGGATCTGGATTAATGAAACTGGTAGCCAATGGAGATGTGCAGATGGGGCAATCAAAGCAATTTCTTGAACATCTGCAATTCAATCAGCTCTCTATGCCGTCAATACAGGTGGAGACAGTCACGGCTTACCTACCTAGGTCCTTCGCTCTTTACCACGCTCAGTGGCATCTCGAAGAGGCAGCTTGGGCAGTACCAACACACTATCTCCTCTATGGTGCAGCGTGGACATCTTATCTGCTGGCAATCTTCACAGTATAGAAGATGCTCAAGGGGGTAGAGGGAGAAGCCCGCTCGCGGCGACCTGGGGTCGAACATCCGTTCTTGCTCCTCTTCATCATCTTGAATTTGTATACGTGCATTAACGGGTGTAGAGACATCGTTGCAGGGGCAGCTGATGTATGTGTATGGGAAATTCATCGTTATAGAATGGCTAGCATAGGCACTGCTTTGGACAACCAAATGTAAACATCGCAAAGTGATATGAAGCCGAGCGGAGCATTTCCGCTGCCAAACCATCTGCGCTTGCCTACGGCCCACTCTCGCCGTTCTCGCCGTTCTCTCCAAAGTCTACAGCCGTAGCTCAGGATCCCTTCAAGCAGCCCCTCCACCCTCCTCCCTAGCTATCATGGCAACAATGAACTGGCGCACCATAAACGTTGACCTCTTCGACCCCGAGTCCCCCGCAAACTTCGACATATCCTCCCTCTTGCCCTCCATTCCTTCAGTCTCAGCTTCAGAGGTGCAAACATTGTCAAGCCAAATCAAGCAACTGTTACGAGGGGGAGATTCGGAGGGTGCATTAAGGGGGGCTTTGGAGAATGCGCCGTACGGAGGGGACGCGCAGGCGAAGGTGAGCAACCCCCCCCCCCCCCCCCCCCCCAATTTGAGGAAATCAGGTGTAGTGGAGGAGAACAGAAATCAGGGATACGAGAGAGTGCATTTAAAATTGGAGCACATTGCTGATTAGTCGGACAGGATGTACATCTAGCAACGGTAGTGGAAACGCTGCAATCGATCAAACAATCCGACATGTCGCCCATGCTCAGCAGGATATACGGCTCAGAAGGTGGTCCTGAAACTCTGGATGTTCTCATGAAGTACTTGTATGCCGTCCTCTCTCCGACGCCCCGATCGTTTTTAATCCTTCCGCTGACGTATACCTCCGCCCCTTAGATACAAGGGAATGGCGCACACCTCACAGCCTAGCTCTGGCCGGTCATCTATAACACCCCAAGCAACTGGTGGGTTTTCACAAATACAATCAAGGGGGGGAGGAGAGGGAGGTGGACAAGCGATGAGCGTGCTGCTTAGCTGGCATGAAAAATTAGTGGAGATCGCGGGAGCAGGGTCAATCGTACGGGTCATGACGGATCGGAGGACAGTGTGAAGATACCAGAAGGATTCAAATCCTCCAGATTACTCTATGGGGAGTTTCAACCCGCCCGAAGCTGCCTGCGCTTGTGAAAAACCACAGTGCCAGTGCTCTCACGGTCTCAGCGGCAACGGTAGTAGCTTACGACTGTACAACGTAGCTGTATGCACCAAGCCTCTGACTACGACTTCTTCTCTCCAGGCGCCTCCAAGATCTCCTTGATATTAAGCTGCCCTGTCCCCCTCTCCAACGGCTTCGGCTGGTTCTCCCCCTCTGTCCACCCAATCATGTAGATAATCCTGAAAGTCGCCGGCACCGTCTCCCCTCCCTCCGCATGCAGCGCTCGGTAAATTGCCTCTGCCGCCGCCATCACGTCTCTCCTCAGTCCTCCCGGCTCCCTAGTCAGCGCCGCATTGCTCTCTCCCATCGCCTGCAGATCCGTCATCAAGGCGAAAATGTTCGGATAGTCGACGATGATGTCGTCAACGTCGACCGTTAGCATTTTGAACCCGGCCTTTGTAAGTAAGCCGCCGATGTCACGGACGTCAGCGAGGGGGGAGACGTGAGTGGAGACACCGCCGCGGAGTGCGAGGTCGGCGAGTTGGAGAGAGGTGCGAAGTTCGAAGAGGGAGTCACCGCCCAACATGGCGGCCAGGAAAGGGGAGTCTGGTTTTAGGACGCGGTTTATTTGGGAGAGCATGCCGGGTAGATCATTGACCCAATGGAGGGAGAGGGAGGAGAGGACGGCATTGAACGATCGAGGCTTGAAGGGGAGAGGCTGGTCTGGTGGGCCGAGTGTGGTGCGTGTGTGAGATGGGAGGAGCGAGTTAAATGGGAGGGAAGCGTCCCGGTGGAGGAGGGTCGGCGACGAGTCCGCGGACGTGAGATGTGACAGCCTGGTGGAGAGGGGTGGAGAATCTGGGACAGGAACAGTGAGAGCGTGGCCTATGTTACAGGCATTGGCGCCGAGATCAAGAACGCTGGGGAAATGGCGTTTGATATCCTAGCAATAGCTGTAAGTTCGTACCTCTTGTGGAACGTTGGGGAAGGATAATTACAAGTAATCGCTCGCAGAGTCTGGAAGCCACTTCATCTCGAAGATAGTCGACTTTCCGGCTGCTTTCTACATCCGCTGCCGCTCGTTCTCGTTGTAGGTGCTTGGTATTGTCGTTGAAGACTTGGAGGATTGGCGCTCCTGGTGCTTGCCTTGCATAATGCCGGCTGGAAGAAATTCGCCGCCGGCGTATAGCGGGTCTCGGGAGGAATGGTCTCAAAGATGCAGGTTTCATATTGGAGCTACTTGTGAGGGCCAGGGACGTCGTGAAGCTCCATTATTCATAGGCATTCACACCATAATCCGATGATTCCTCATTGCATCATGAAGCTTTTGCCAAGGCGGCGGTATCTCCGTGGCTAAAAGCCTTTCTGCCTCTTTGCCTTTTTGCCCAAATAACTGCATAATAGAGAGGAACGCGAGCTCAAGCCGAGAATTCCTGCGACGCTTATTATTCAACTTGATGCTGTCAATGTAAGAAACTCCTTGATCCTGTATTGCTAAGCATGGAAGAACCAGCGACGATTGTCAACCCTCTATCCCTACAAATCAAGAGGCTTGTTTCATCTTCAATCCTCATCACACATTAGAAATGCTCAAGGTCATGGCTTAGATATACAGTACCAAAAAGACTCATGGTCATGGCTTAGATCAACCTGCAGCACATCCATCAGCCTCTAGCGCAATGAAATGAATTCCTATCTTGATGTCCGTGGATGAGCATGCAGGAGTCTCGGTTACTGTACAGTCCCAGTGAGAGAGATTAAAAATGTAACGAGCCCTCCGTACTCTGTACGACTATCGTGGATTCCAAAAGCCTCTTCTAAGAAAAAAAGAAGTGAAAGCTCAAGATCAGAGGATTCATCTCTGATCTTGTGCTTTCACTTCCCGCGATTGGGCCACTGATGTTTACGGCTTTCGCAATCTTCAATGAGGCTGTACAAAAGCTATTTGGTTTAAGAAGAATAATGATGAATGAGTCATCCCATGGCACAATGCTGACAGTTGGAAGCGATTAGATAGCAAGACTCCAGCCTTGCTCGGGGCTCCCCATGAGTCAGTCAGCAAAACTCCAATCAGTCAGCGGAAGGATGCAGATTTAGGTAACGAGGGGAGGGGGATTTTTTTCCCCTTAAAGATCTGAGGTTCTGTAGATCAGTCTACTGCTTATGCATTATGCACACGTGGCTGCCATGTGTGTGACGGTTGGGTGCCGGGAACCTTCCGCAACGCCTGATTGGCAGTCTGGCAGTCTGGCACATCTTACGCCGCGACGTCGCAGCAGCCGACCCTGCGCAGTAGACAACTAGACTTTGCATAATGAACGGGCGGCACAGACTGTACTCTGTCTGCAGGGTCGACGGTAATTGAGCCTTGCAGATTGCAACGCCCTGTTTCATGTGCTGACCATTTCCGGGTAGAACTTGCTGCACAAACATCTTCGGTACACAGACACTTCGGAATTGTGATACCGGTCCATTCACGGATTTGTGGGGTGCGATAGGTCAGAGCAGAAGTCTTTAAACGGTCCTCAACGTCCGAGACAGGGTTAAGATTGAGATCTGATGTATCAAAAACGCCGGCGCCTCGGGGAAGTCTGATGCCAAGACGGCAGTTCTCCTTTCTCGACAGCCATCCGCCCGGAAAGCCACATGGAGGCAGCGAAGAACCAGGGATCATCCTGTCATTTCATTTTCTCTTCGGACTCCTTCGTGCGTGGCTTGGGTGCGCAAAGCAGACTTGAGAGTGAAAGAGGACGCGTAAAGCGGATTAGTGAACGCTTGGGTTGCGCATTCTCGTAGCCGCAACGATGAGCCTCTTCCGGGCGTATCCAGCAAAAGGATGATAGCGCACGGGGTTACAGAAATGGAGAGAATGAAGAAGAAGGTAGATGATGGAGGAATGGCCCACACGTTGAAAGCCAAGATGCCATCAGCCTACGGGCACAGTAGTCAAGTGGTCAGCATAGCTTGTGGCTTTCGTTTATTTGGAGACCAGCGGTTCCACCACATGGCAAAATGCAACCAAGCCGTTCCCGAAGACGCATCCTTGTTCTAGCGGCCTTCTAGATACATGATCGTTTACCCAAGAGGTCGGTACGGACTACGGACGATACAGCCACAGCCTAGGATGTATGGGCTGATAGATAACGGATTGCTGATGAGTGCAATCTTGGGGGAGAAGCCGAGAGGGTCATTGATTCCATCCGAGCCGCGTTGCGCACACACCTCGGAAAAGGATTTTGGAATTAATAATACTCATTGCTTTGATGTACCTATAGAGAGTAGTGAAAGGAAATAGAAAGCGGTAGAAAAAGAATGTGTCACACAGTGTATCACTTCGTATTGCTTTGCGGTCGGCTCACATCGATGGATGATTATGCGGGAATTGTTATTTTCGTCTCTCGACGCACATGGCGCGGCGCCCAGGCCTCGGGCCCAGTAGCTAAGGTCAGTATGGTTTCTGTTCTTTGCGGAGATGGTGTCAGCACAGAAGGGACATTTCATGGCTCATGTACCTATTATGACTCTGCTATGACTCAATTATGTTTCTGGTCGAATCTGACAATTTTTAATCGTAGTGTCAGTCAGCATTATTCAGGCAGCATACCTACTTTACGGAGTAGTGTCACAAGATACCTGAGCTAATTTAGTTTTCGATACCTCATTATCTCGGGGGGGGGGCAGTGGCACCAGGGAAAGGGTGTGTGACAGATAGACTTTCAGCCAACCTACCGGGAACGCTTCCGTCATCTAGTCCCTTCATTTAGTGGCTTACCAACTTTCCTACTGATGCAGGAACGAGCCCTAAGGCAGGGATCATTTGCGACCCGAGGGAAAAAAGGGAAAAAAGGGAAAAAAAATCGAAAAAAAAATCACACTTTCTGCGCCCAAAGCTGAGAAGATGATTATTTCGTAGGCATCAGCCATAGCTCGTAAAAGAAAATTCAAAAAAACCAAAATACCAAAATACCCAATCGCTAGGTCCTTGGAGCCCGTTTAACTAGTTTCGTGCCCTTCGTGCCCTTCGTGCCGTTGGCATCTTGAAACCGGCCGCAGACCCCTGTAGAAAGAATAAATGTTACCTAGGTGTCAAGTCGCTAATTCGATTCAAGTTCAAAGTACAGCCAATCCAATCTCTGCGTCATCTTGCATCTCCTTCCTCCAATTGGTACTTGGATTGTAGACAACCACAAACCAACCGGACGCAAAAGTTGCCCTTTACTCTCATTCATGTCTCAAAGAGGCATCTGAACTCTGTCCAATATCCATCACATTGGGCATCAAGGTCTCGCTTGCTTCAAGGGGTGCCGGCATTACACAAATTACATATCCGCTCACAAACTCTTCCTGTCATTTTTGACTCCTCCCACTCTCTTTCACCTTGCATAAGTCTTTCTCTTGCTGCCAATTGATATAACACCGCCCGGACCTCCTACACCACCCAAGCTCCGTCTCACCATTGCGAGAACAGAAAATTCAAAAGTACAACCTGACAAACCACAAGATTACTCAAGCTGGCTTCCATTCCCAGAGGAGTCCATACCCTCATTTCTCCACAATCTAAACGGCGGACACTATCACACCACCACAATCCTGAGCTTGACAAAGAAAAGGCATCTTTCGGAATCGGAGACGGATCTTACCTGCATGCACAGTTACATCGTAAACGATTGTAAACAGTGTCGACTCAGCTCTCATTACGAGTAGTTGCAGGAACGGACACAGCCCAGTCTATTTGTGAGTCAGGTCAGCAACCGGCGCCGTCTATGTCTAGATTCCCTATATAATACAATTCCCCCATGCCTTGTTTCATTTCTTCAGACCAACAACCACAGCTAACGCTCATACCGCAAAGACACTCAGAACGCTTTCATGATCTTCAGAGCAATCGACGCACCAATGAATATGGGACGAGGCGCATACGATACCACCGGCGTGCCAAAGCCAAAGCCACCACCAAAACCTCGATAAGTCATAGTATGGCCTTCCAAGGTCGTGAGGATACACTGCTGTCATTTCGCCCACTCGACAACAATCTCTGCAACCTGCCGTCTTTTCGCAAGCAGCCTGGCAGTGTACCTCATTGGACCTTGGAAGTGGAAGGAATGGATCCCCAGCGAGGTACGTACTACTTAGGCCACCGTCACCCTTACTGCCTAGCCCTGCACGAACCCTGCTAACGTACGTACCGCACAGGCTCATCATTCATCCGCACCATCCGCAATCAGCCATCGGTTTCTTCGATTCTCAGCCACTACCACTCGTTTCCTCCTTTTATTCCGGTTTCCAGCGTCCGCATTTCGCACCATAAATTGTACCATCATCACCAGCGACATTCGCCCTTACTCGAGCGTTGTACCACCACCAATCGTTCTAGCGATACCCAGCGATTGAGCGAACTTCGGGCACTTTTCTCGACCCTTACCACAGCCACGAATTCCCTTGCATCATCAGTACATTCGCTATCCAAAAAGTCATTTCCCGGAGTTCGCTTATAGAAAGAGCATGGAATTAGGGAGATACCACACATAGATCATTCGACTTCACAGTCACTGCATTCAGGGGGAAAACACTGTATCATTTTCAACATAGCGTTTCTTTTTTTTTCTCCCTTGTTCGGTGGAAGGAACAGCTTGAGGTTGGCATCGCTTGAGGGTTTCGGGGCATTGTCTACGCTGCAGCGAGACAGGCGGGGGCATGGCGGTCTGGTACCAAGGAACTGGCGATGACTGTACATTAGGTTCGGCGCTGCACTCATAGATTTCTCTCGCTCATGCCATTACTCTAAATTTTCACGATACAAACCTTTCTGTGTTTTGTCGATGCGAGAGTGAGATATCATACATGGGAAAAAAATCCTCATTATGTAGTTGATTGGCCCCACTATCCCCTCTACCCCAGAGCTCCAGATCTCCCAAGGCAATTCACAGAATCAAGTACCGATCGATAGACAGATTTATCTAAACCATTAAATCCGTAGGATTCGTGGAGTGGCGCTAAACCAGGTTTGGCACGCATCGTCATCTTCACGGGGGTAGGAGAGTACGAGAACTACGAGTACAGCAGGCATCGACAAATCTCATTCCTACAAAAGCAAGTCCAACCAGTCAATCCCCACCAATCGGTCATTCCCACGCGATTCCGCGACACCGGTGTGAAAAGAGAAGAAAAAAAAGAAAAGAGAATTTTTACTCAGCCTTCTCGACACTATTCTAGTAGGATAGTAGTGCTCACTCCTTCTGCTCGACTGTCACATCTGCCACATCCCTAATAGGTGTGAAACCATCCTGCGCTAAGTCCGGCTCTCTCTTGATTTCTCAGCCGCGGACAACTCCGTCTCCTCGTGCTGGCAAAACCGGCCACTACGCCCTCCCATTCGTGTACCTGCATACATCTCCTACAGTCATGGCAGACTCGGCCTCTGCGCCACCGAAGCCTAGCAGCAGTGTCAAGCTTGTGCTGCTGGGCGAGGCGGCCGTTGGGAAGGTATGAGTCTTCTGTTTGCCTTATCCTCGCCTGCTTTTATACTACGGCAGAACCGAGGTGGATACCGGCTAATGGACCTGCTGCGCTTTACAGTCATCCCTCGTCCTCCGCTTTGTCAATAATGATTTCCAAGAAAACAAGGAGCCTACCATCGGTGGTACGTGGTACATCCATATGTCCTGTGGCACTGGCATCTGGCCTCGGGCTCTCCTCCTGAGACTGCTTCTTCCATGTCACACCCTACAATCCACTCGATTTCAATAAAGCCCCGCACTTGCCTTTGATCAGCCAAGCTGACGCTCCCATCTCAAGCTGCCTTTCTAACCCAAAAATCCCATCTCCCCCACCGCACCATAAAGTTCGAAATATGGGACACAGCCGGACAAGAGCGCTTCGCCTCGCTCGCTCCCATGTACTACCGCAACGCCCAATCCGCCCTGGTTGTATACGATCTCACTAAACCCACCTCTCTCGTGAAAGCGAAACACTGGGTCGCCGAACTACAGCGGCAGGCGAGCCCCGGCATCGTGATCGCCTTAGTGGGTAACAAGCTGGACCTTACCAACGAGGACGCCGCGGCCTCGCGGGAAGCGACTTCTGGTGATGGAGCTGACGCCGTGGGCGAAGAGGTGGCCGAGGAGAGTGGCGATGCGAGGAAGATTAGTACGAAGGAAGGGAGGGAATATGCGGAGGAAGAGGGACTACTGTTCTTTGAGACGAGTGCGAAGACAGGGGTGAATGTTCAAGAGGTATTTACGGCTATTGCGAACGCGATTCCGGAGACGCAGATGAAAGGTGCGAAAGGCCCTGGAGCTACGGGTGCTGGCACGGGACAAACAGCTCTGGGCTCGGAGAGAGTCAATCTGAACCAGAGAGCGGAGGGGGCGAAGGAGGGATGCGCTTGTTAAATGACTTGGCTTGCTGGAAGACGACCACGCAGAAGGGATGCATTGGAGTGTTTGGAGGAGTCGTGGAGTAAGTGTGGAATATCACGATGGCACTTGTCCGCTTTTCTATTCTGTCTGTACCAAGTGTAACATCCGAGATCTCTCATTCCCCATTGCGGTATACTCTTTCCTAGTTCAAGATTGGAACGAGACAAATTCATGCAGTTTTCTGTTGTCCTTCTTCCTTCTACCGCGCTAGATAAGGAGTTTCTGCGACCTCAGTGTATGTCCCACCTTGCCGGCTTGCAATCATTGATCTTCATCACCCTTTTCTCGAAGAACAGAGACATGGACCTATCCCCACCCCCCTCTCTTTTATCCTGACCACGCCATCACGGCAATCACTCCTCCCCTCTCCTCTTTGTACGTCGCAAAAACACACATATCGCCCACCATGCCCCGTCCTTTTCCAACCCGAGAGCTCCAAACACCGCCGTTCCGTCACCATCCACTCCACCTCATCCCACCGATCAGCAAGCACATTCGCAATGATGACCATAGTCCCCCCCCCTCCAACTACGGTGCGGCTGGCGAAAGACCGGTCCTAAATAAACCCGTTTGGCCTCTCTCTCTCTCTCTCTCTCTCTTCTCTCTGCATTAATCAACCAACTACGAAACCCCCCCCCCCCCCTCCCTCGCCTCAGCCAGACAGCAAATCTCCTCGACAAGCTAACCCCTACCATCGAACAGATCCCCCCCCCCAAAACCCGGCCTCCCCTCAGACGAAACTACCATACCATACCATACCATACCTCACCTCCCCCAAACCCCGACCACCAACCCCCCTCCCACACCCTCCCCTTCCACTCCCTCGGCCACTGACAAAAAAAGGCATCCGATGCGAAGAAAGAAAGACAGCAGCGCAGCGCCACACCCCTCCCCCTCCCCGCTCGCTCCACGTGGGCCCGGAACGAAACGAAACGAACGGACGATCGATCGATCGGTCGGTACATCGCTTGCTTCCTTCCTTCCTTCCTTCCTTCCTTCCTTCCTCCCTCCTTCCTTCCTTCCTTCCTTCCTTCCTTCCTTCCTTCCTTCCTTCCTTCCTTCCTTCCTTCCTTCCTTCCTCAGTCACCCCGGACCGGGACATCCGTTCCGATTCCCCGGCCGGGCCTTGTGAGTGGTTGGCGTGCGGCGGCCTGGACGGCATGGTGCCTCTGCTGTGATTGATTCAATTTGGTGTGGGTGTGGTGTGTTTGGGGCCGGGGGAAGGGAGGGATACGGGTTTTGGAGTTTGGGGGTTTTGCTGTTGGGCGGGGCGGGAGGGGATGGGATGGGATGGGATGGGATGGGATGGGATGGAATGGATGGGATGGGAGAAGGGGGGGGTTTTTGCTGTGGGTGGGTTGGGCTCGGGGGTGGGAAGATCGTGGTGGGGTACTGGTACTGGGTGGGTCAGTGGGCCTTTTTTTTTTTTTCTCTCTCTGTTGTTGGATGATGAGTGTGACGAGGTGCTTAGGTCACCGTGGTTACTCTAGGATGGAAATGCCTGATATGGCGGGACGGGTGCGGCGAAGTTCGCGTTTGACGGTGAACCGTGCTTCCATGGCTGCTGGAGAAGTTGTCCCTTGCGTGTGGATGTGAAAGCTGAACAGGTCCGGGTATCACATGACACTCACGGGGATTACATCTAAGAGACCATGGAGTGTTCGTGAACGTTGAAGAGTGCTTGTTATACCGATGTATCTGATATGGTTTTTTCTTATTCACAGGCCTGAGTTAGTGATGAGCTGCACTAGCACTAGCACTAGCACTAGGCATCTATCAATCTATATATATATACCCAATGCTTCGAAGGCTCAAACGAGATGATGATGCTTCATAATATACCACCCTCCAGCGCCAACGCTATGAAGCTATTTACAGCGTTCTGATCCTTCCATTTCATACATTCATGTCATCCGAGAGCGGGCCTCACTCATGCGGTCGTAAGTGTGATAGGTGGAGGTTGCAGCGGCAGCTCCGACGGCGTCACGGGAGAGGTTGGTGACGAGAACTTTCCCATGTTGATCCCGAGCCCAGATTCCTCGTCTGGACATGCGGTGTCGTCTGTGGCCCCCGTTTTGCGTACGACTTTTGATGTTGTCCGTTGCATGAAGCGTTTCGTGACTCGCCAGGCTTGAGCGACAGGTCTGAAAAAAACATTTAAGCCCTTGAGGAGCGGGCTCGCAAGCGCAAGCCAGACCTTGTTGACAAAGCAGAATACTGCTGCGGCATACCGGTCGGGTATGTACCGTAGGACTATGGCCCACAAAAGGCATGGCAGCGCACATAGAATGCAGATAACCCACTGCGTGCCGTCTATCCTCTTGATCTGAAAAGCCGCGCCACCAACGAAGATAATCATAATCTGACCAGCGACCATGATAATATTAATAATGATAAAGAAAGCGTTACGGTGAACGCCTTCGAAGATATTCAGCTTGTTGTCGAGGCGGCGGTTGTTGAATTCATTAAAAATCTGCATCCAGACAAAAGTGTTGAACACTATTGTGTCCAGCTCGGTCTGGAGGAGAGTGTCACTCTTCGAGTATCCCAGAATCGAAGAGCCGGCGAAATAGAGAACGAACGTAACGAGTAATTGATATATCGCTTGGCCAATGATCATCTTCCACATATTAGTCGTAATCAGCGCCGCAGACTTGGGGGTGGGTTTGCGGTTCAGGATTTTCTCCGTTGGGGCATCCGTTGCGAGAGCAAGAGCGGCGAACGTATCCATAATAAGGTTCACCCACAAGAGCTGAACGGCGGAGAGGACGGAGTGCATGTCTGGGGATGACACAGCGGAGACGAAGGCCAGGACCACAGCTGTGATGTTGACGGTAATCTGGAATTGTAAGAATTTAGCAACCGCGTCGTTGACTGAACGCCCCCACATGATGGCTTTGATGATGCTGGAAAAGTTGTCATCCATAAGAATGATGGCACTGGCTTCTTTGGCAACCTCTGTGCCGGCTATACCCATGGAAAAGCCGACATCTGCAGTCTTCAAAGCTGGTCCGTCGTTCGTGCCATCGCCAGTGACAGCTACAGTCTCCCCGAGCTCCTTGAGACGCGCGACCAGGAGGCGTTTGTCCTCCGGAGAAGAACGGGCAAGGACTTCAAGCCGGGGTATGGCTTCGTCCATCTGCTCGTCAGACATCTGGCGAAATCTAGGTCCCTCCAGGACTAGCCCGTCAGGTGTTTTGATACCGCACTCCAGAGCAATTGCGCTGGCTGTCATTACGTTGTCTCCAGTAACCATTCGAACCTTGACTCCAGCGTCTTGGCATTGCTTCACTGCCTTTGCGACACCGTCTCTCAAAGGATCCTGGATGCCAACGATAGCAAGGAGTGTCATATCGCAGAATACGTCTTCGAACAGAGCGACTTTTCTGTCCTCATCCAAGGTACGGGCACCAAGTGGCGGCCACTGTTGGAAATCCTTGTAGAGCAAAGCAATGGTCCGTAGTGATTTCCTAGCGAATTCATCTATGCTCGCAGACACTTGGGCTCTGGAAGAGTCTGTGAGAGTGCATTGATGAAGAGCTTCTCCCGCTGTATCGACCAGTTCTGAGGTCGCTTTTTCCAGAAGTATCTCAGCAGCGCCTTTAACCAGTAGGCGGTAAGTGCCCGACACAAGTCGAATCACCACGCCCATGCACTTGCGATCCGAGTCGAAAGGTATGAGCTGCACAACCTCAACGCCGTTTCGCTCTTCAGCCACTGGTCCCATTCCGAGTTGCTCTTTAGCCATTATGAGTAGTGCAGTCTCTGTCTTGGAGCCAATGAAAGTACTCTTTCCGTCCTCCTCTCCCTCAAAAGCGGTAGAGTTGATGGCACATGACTGCAGAATGAGTGTTCTTACAATCGACGACAGTCGCTTGAACGCGGCGGGAAATGGAATGACATTGCGTTCTGCGTCCCCAAGATTTACTTCTCTGGCGAACTCGACTTTTGAACCCATGATACCAGCGACCACTGTCATCTTGTTCTGTGTGAGCGTACCTGTCTTGTCTGAGCAGATCGTTGTAGCATTGCCCATGGTCTCGCAAGCCCGCAGATGGCGTACCAGATTTTTCTCCTGGAGCATCTTTTTGGTAGCGAATGACAAGGCAAGCGTGACCGCCACAGGAAGGCCCTCTGGAACCGCCACGACGATGATCGTGATAGCAACGATGAGTATATCTAAGAATTTCGAGCCTTTCATAGCAGGAGTATTAGTATCCCCAGAAAGTCCGGCAAGAAACCGAATGAGCAGAATGAAAAAAAGAAGTCCAGCTGCTGCGGTCCCTAGGTATCCAATCCAATTGGCCATCTTCGCAAGTTTAATTTGTAACGGGGTTTCTTCGTCCCCGGTCTGCGACCCGATCATGACTTTACCAAAACTGCTGTTGACACCGACCGAGGTGACCAGGTACGTTCCAACACCTTCAAGAACTTTGCTGCCGGAGATGACAAATGGATCCAGCTTCGATGTGGCAGTTCCTTCTTCGATGCGGTTCCAGACTTCCTGTCCCCCAGTCTTCCTCATTGCGTCTGATTCTCCCGTAGCTGAAGACTCGTCGCATCTGATGCCATGACCATTAATCAAAATGCCGTCTGCTGGGATGGAGTCGCCTGATTCCAGATGGAGGACATCGCCAACCATTACGTCAAAAACCGAAATCAGTACCGATTTACCAGACCGAATAGCTTTCACCTGCCGGTCCTCCTTTTTCTCGTTGAGTGCCACAAACTGTTTTTCTCTTCTGTAGTCGTTCAAGCCAGTCACAAGCACCACTATTACAACCGCGACTTCGATCGCCAAACCTTCGACCCAGTCCAACGATGGACCCTGCCCAGGAGCTGGCGTTTGACCAACGGCTTCGTAAATACCGAGGGCCAGTGAAATGACCGCTGCAATGGTCAGGATAATGAGCACTCGGTCGTTGAAGGCGTTCCAAAACAAGTTCCATATACTCAGAGATTTCTTTGTTGGTAGTCGGTTATCCTTGAAAATTCGTATCCGGTCATGGTATTGGCCTTTGACTTCATGATCCGTCACCATAACATCCTGCGCAATTAATGTCCCCGCGTCCGGGGGCTTTTTCGTCCTTGCACCCCGAGTCGCCTCCTCAAGATTGATTTTTCCTGATATTGACGTCTCATCTACGCTCAAGCCAGCTACCGTATCTGTCCGTAGCCCTCGCTCTAGACCTCTGAGACCTCCCAATGCTCTGTATGCAGCGAGTGACTTTGGGCTGAGAAGTTTGTTCAGTTGACGTGTTGAAAAAGCGAATGGGTTATCAGCCACTTCCAAATCTTTCTCGTCGGTCTTATCAGGTCTCAAGGCTTCTTCTGGGCTTAAGTCGTCCCCTTCAAATCTTGACCGTATTGTCTGAACGTCAGAGTTCTTTCTCGACCTTGCGGTCTCTGTTGTTGAATTAACAGAAGTCGCTCTCGACCTTGCGGTCTCCGCTTCGGAATTGAATGAGTCTGCTCTTGATCGTAACGTGCTACCACCCAAGGAACGTGATGGCGATGGAGGTACTTGGAGGGACAACGATATCTCCGTCGTAGAGTCCTCCCGGTCAGCACTAGTTGTAGGACTGTCATGGTGTAAGGGCTGCGACATGTCAGTGCGGTCGCTGGATGGATTGCCAGAACAACTAACTGTAGTATGTGTAAAGATGGGAGGGACAAGTAATCTATTAGAAGTCATGTTGTACTTTGTAGAAGCATAAAATGAGAACTGTGTCTGTGGACTCGTCTATGTAGCTGAAAGGGAGAGGGTGCTGTGCAACGGCCGCAAAAGCTGAAGGAAGCTGATGAAGGAAGATAAGTCCATGCGGAGTGGGGCGAATGCCTTGTAGATGCAGTGCCCGAGCAAAGGGGATATAGGAAGTGGTCATTGGCCTGGTCCGCCATCCGGTCGCCAAGAAGTAGGCTGTGCAATTGCAATTGCCTCTAAAGGATCGGCACCCCGCAATGCGCAGAATTTTTGTCAGTCCAAGAGTCCGAAATGACCATAGCCTTGCTCACAGTTACCATAGGCTCAAACAGCAGAACTTTACGCGCCGAATGTCTCTTGGTCAAGCTGGAAAGGGGCTCTGGACAAGAGCTTCATCAATCATCACTGCAGCCGGTTGGAAACATTTGAAACGGTACAACCGCCCATACTAAGAACAGCGCTAATATAAAATCCCTGTCACCTGCAGTAACAAGTCTAGAAGACCTATCATTTTCACCGAGGCCCAATCATCCTTCTAACCTGCATAAGTGCTTTTTCTTTGCAAATAATGAATCGAAGTGCTTTTTGTATGAGACCTTTCTACAATCAGAGGGTCCAATCTTCGGATGCCATGCAGCAATGTCCAAGAGAAGTGGCAAGACTTGGAGATCATTTGGCAGTGCGCTTCTCTCGGTGGGGAAGGCACAGCATTTCTACCAGACCTCTGCTCTTCTACCAACACATCTCTTGCGCGGCACCAGAGCGAAGATTACTAGAGACAGAGACCGAACACCTGACGACCGATGACATCCCTTGCCTTTCCGGAGAAAACGTAATCATGCTTCCTGAGCCACCATATCTGCCACCGCCGCCTGATCAAAGGCTGATCAAAGGCCGCTATCGGCATCGATTTGTGACCGCAGTCGCTTGGCATTATGGATTCGAAGCTCCTTTCCGAGAGTCCCTTGTCCGGCTCGATGAGTTGCGCTTTCCATGACATTCCTGAAGATGGCTGTGGCGCCACAGGCCTGTGGCTGTGCCTTTAGGTTTCTCCAGAATCCGGCAATAACCGATTCCGGTGCTCCAACATCTTCTGCGTCGTCTCTCGTCTCTCGTCTCTCAAAATTCGTCTCTCAAAACTCGTCGCTCAAAAATCTTTGGTCGGACTCGGTTGTTTGCTTTTCATAGGACTGCGTTGCTAAGCAGTGGAGGTACTACCATGTTGCGGCGGCTGCTCACCGAAAATACCCGTACCGGGACGGGGTAAATGGCTGCTCCTTAGTGTACGCCCCATCGTTGTACATGCTCTCATGGGAAATTCCGCCAGTATGACATTCAATCACAACATACAATACTATCTTCTGCTGCATTCAAAGCGTATTTTCAATATCCATCACCTCCTTCATCTTCTCCGCCAGACTGTCCACCTCTGCATCACCGACCCTCCGCAAAGGCTTCCTCGCATAACCCCCATACCCAAAGAACCTCTGCAGCGCTGCCTTCGTCCCCGGTACCCCTGGCTTCCCTAATAACCAATCTCCTCTACTGACAACTTCTTGCAACTTCATCGCGTCCTCCGTCTTACCCTCCGTCCAAAGATTCCATGCCTCAACCACTATCTTGGGCATCACGTTCGCTGCTCCACTAACAATGCCACTGCCGCCACTGACCCACGTTTGCACGGTGAAATCAGCCATACCTCCGAAAGCCATGAAGCCACTCCCCTTCTTCTTGGGCGTACACGCATCCGTCGCACTTGCGACTCTCGTCAATTTGCCCGTGTTCCCGCACGTAAACTTCGTCCCAACGATGTTCGAATGCTGTGCGACGCGAATAATGAAATCGGAGTCCATATCAATCCCTGCCACTGCACCAGGATAGTTGTAAAGTAGGACCGGCACCGGACTCTCGTCTGCAACCGCGTTATAATATTCTTCCAGTTGCCCTTCATTCATTGCAGCCCGATAGTAGCTGGGGGGCACAAGCAGTACGTAATCCGCCCCTGCCTCTGCGCCCTCTCTGCACAATTCTAAAGTACCGCGAACGGATTGCTCCGCCGCTCCGCAAATCACGGGGACGTCTCTGTAGCCAGCTTCGTCGAGTGCTTGCCTCGTCGTGCGAGTCACGGCGGCCTTTTCGGATCGAGAAAGGTGGACTGCTTCTCCATTCGAGCCGAGGGTTACGAGGCCAACGAGACCAGCGCGGGCGAGCCGAACGGAGTGCTTGGCTATGGTTGGGAGGTCGAGATCTTCAGTTGTAGGGTCGAAGAAGGTGAGGGTGGGACAGTATATACCCGGACGGAGGGGCGTGCGCGACTTTGTGGCCATTTCGTGGGTCGATGAGATCGAGATTGGAGCGGGCTGTCAATGACACACTGTTGAGAGGGGAACAGCTGGGGCATATAAGACTTATATCAGTCCATTCCACACGTATGTGGGGTCCCCGCCGATGGCATCATCCCGCTTGTCGCCATTGACCTCAGGCTAAGCTGCACATCCAACATTCGCGGGGACGTCTTATCTCCGGCATCTCAACGTCCGTTGCCCGTCTCAAGGATGTCGTGACGATAATCATGGCAGACCAAGGGATCTGCGGTTGTCCGAAACGCACAGACATGATGTTAGGGACTTGGTGCTAAGTGTGGGGATGTTTAAGCGGAAGTGAGTCCGCCCCGGCTAAGTTCCAAGCGTGCCGGGAGAATATCCCTGAGCGAGGAAGAATTGATAGTTTGCCGAGTATTTATAATAGAAAGTAATGGGTGTAATAAGTATATGACGTATCTTTCTACAGATGAGTGTGTGGTTCCCTGAGTTTCTGTGTTTTATCGTCCTCTGTAAAGTAAATTGGGAAGCTTTTATGAAACCATCAAAACTCTTTGCTCTGGTTGAAAAGCAGTGCTACTAATTGCAATATCGTTTTCCTCTCATATTTTGTCATCATGGCTCCCCTTAACGTTCTCATGGTAAGCTTGATTCTCTCATACCTCACCTTCGAATACTGAAGCTAGAATCAGGTTGGTACCGGCGAATACACGACGGGTTTCGTGGGCGGCGGCATGTCAGGCTCTGACAAGAAGGTCGGTGTTGTGGGACTCACTCTGTTCGATCTGCGGAGGAGAGGTAAGGTGGGCAAGTTGAGTATGGTAGGAACGTCGGGGAAAAAGTATCCTGCGATTCGCGAACATCTCCAAAAGAACATCGCCGCTGTCTACAACAACCTAGACGTCTCCTTCGATTCCTTCCCCTCAGACACTACAGCTCGTGACACAGACTCCTACAAAACGGCCATCGACGCTCTCTCCCCGGGGGATGCCATCACCATCTTCACCCCCGACACTACCCACTACCCGATCGCTCTGTATGCAATAGAGCGGGGCATCCACGTCTTGATCACCAAACCAGCCGTCAAGCTTCTATCCGAGCACCAACAGCTCCTCCGCGAAGCCCGAAAGCACAACGTTTTCGTCTTCGTCGAACACCACAAGCGTTTCGACCCGGCCTACGCAGACGCCAGAGCACGAGCAAAGACCTTGGGCAATTTCAACTACTTTTACAGCTACATGAGCCAACCCAAATTCCAGCTAGACACTTTTAAAGCGTGGGCTGGTAAGGAAAGTGATATTTCTTACTACCTGAACTCGCATCATGTGGATGTATGCGAGTCGATGGTGCCGGATTACAAGCCAGTCAAGGTGACAGCTAGCGGTTCAAAGGGTACGGCTGAAAACCTGGGCTGCGTGCCTGGGACAGAGGACACGATTTCGCTGCTTGTAGAATGGGTGAAGCGCGATGAGCCGGGAAGGAGAGCGACGGGGGTATATACGGCGAGTTGGACTGCTCCGCAGAAGGCCGGAGTCCATTCAAATCAGTATTTCCATTGTAAGCCAGGAAATCCCTCTGCCATCTTCGTGGTTGCTCACCTTCGCAGACCTAGCATCCAACGGCGAAATCCGCGTCGACCAAGCCAAACGCGGCTACGACGTCGCTGACGACTCCCAGGGCCAGTTAATGTGGTATAACCCCTTCTACATGAAGTATGCACCTGACGAAGAAGGGTATTTCAATGGGCAGACGGGATATGGCTATATAAGCTTTGAGAAATTCGTTGATGCGGTGACCGCGTTCAAGGAGGGGAGAGTGACGCTTGATGAGCTAGATAGGAGGGGGCTACCGACGCTGAAGAACACGATTGCTACGACTGCAATTTTGGAAGCGGGAAGGAGGAGTCTGGATGAGGAGAGGGGGGTGGAGATTTTGGTGGGGGAGGATGGGGTTTGGGATTTGAGGTGATGGAGTTGATTGGAATTTCTTGAAGTTCGCGCATGCTTCTTGGTGAGCGGATTAGATGGGTGTAAAGGTGTGTTTTGATGTCGCTACCTGGGTCCAGAGATCTATCCGTCAACTGATCTGCGCTGATTACAAAACGTTCAATTTGCAGCTGCTTGAGCATGGAGTATCAAGCAGGCGAAGACGCACGTCCAGAGTACCACCATATTGTCTATTGCTCGGTTTCGAATTGCCCCAGAGCCATAAGGTCAAACCCTACGACATCTTCCGAAATTCGTGCTTCCCAAGCCTGGTCACAGTACATGCACCGGGACCAATTTTTAATGTACTACAGAAAATACCATCTCTCAGACCTGGTAGGGTACACATTTCGTGCTGATCACTTGAGTTCTGATGCCATCCGCGTTGTCTCCAAGCCCGCGAACATGGCAAGCGAGCAGTAATCCGTATCCCGTGAATTGGAGCCTCACTGGGGTGGGCAGCTCTAGATCGTGTGATCATAGGCTCAAGCTGCTTTTGACCTGCTGGATGTCCTTATCAGCGTCTTTTGATTTCATCTTCGCTGTTGCTCTTCAGGGTGCAGTGAGCCTGTAAGTTCTCTGTCCTTGGGAGTCGTCACCAGCTCAGACATGTTTCCTTCAAATTTCAGGGAAAAGCGGTGACAGATACAACAATTGGGCGGAATTGAGGGTTTCGGTCAAACAGGGTTGATGTAGAGCGAGCAATATGAGAGCAATGCTGGCCCTTCGAGGCTGACAAGAGTGAGAATTTGATGGTAGACGAAGACATGCTTGAGGAAGTGAAAGAATCCCAGGGAAAACAGTTCAGAGATACAATTCCGACGGCTCAAGGCCCACTAGTGTGAGGCAAACTTCTTCGAACTGTCTTGACTCAATTTCCAGCCTTGAGACCCAGGTAGACTTGGCGTTTGGGCTATCAAGCCAATATCAGTCTATTCCGCGGTCAATCCCTTCGTCAAGAGATAAATAGTGCTGAGCCATCAAAGCCTAGCCTGTAATTCTGGACGATGGTCTTTTTCTCCGAGTGCTGCGTCTGACCGCCTGCCTACCCGAAGGACCCACCCCCAAGCCGGACAGAAAACAGATGCGCATCGTAGCTCCAACATACACGAAAGCGACGTTGCCCCAGTCAATGGCGTTCCACCGGAGCACGTTCCAGTAGATGTGCCATCCCACAGCATGGACGCTGTAGAGATGACCGAAGTCTGCGACAAGCAAGCAGAAAAGTAGAGTCCGCCAGACCTTCAAATCGGATGATGCGCGTAGGACGAGAGCTTCATTAATGGCAAAACAGAGATACAGGTTCGACAATTGCATGAGAACAATTTGGGTTGAGACGGGTATGCCGTTTTGGGGGCTTGAAGTCGCATGAGTGAGGTCAAGATAGGTTTGCTGTTGCAAGGAAGAGTAGTAGGCGCCGAGGATGGTGGAGAGGGGTTCGATGTAGAGGAAAAAGTACTTGTAGACACTTCGCATTACACCATGCGTCGATGCCGACATCGAGGCAAGTGGTTGTTGAAAATGTGAGCCACGGAATATTTACGATATCAGGATTGGCTATGTAGGCGTTGTTTGTCCTTTGGTGGTAGTTTTAGGAGTATGAATTATCCAAGACGGCTAACAATCAGTGCTAAATGGCGCGTTTGCTAAAGGGCCTGAACATGCCAAGACACGCTATCAGAAGCCCTAACCCTATTCTCGGAAGACAGCCCTATAGTTGAAAGCCATAAGGGTAACCCTGGGAAATGGTTTTTAAGGGCTCTATTAGGCTCGATAGCCTCAAGCTGAGCCCCGAGCTATGCTCAGATGTGATTGTGACCCAGTCCCACTGTCAATCTAAGCGCATTGTCCCGGCAACTTATCCGAATCTTCGGGTGGGGCGGTATCCGATTTGCCTAAGCGTCTTGACAGATCCAGGACTTTCTACACCAACCTTGGTACCTTATCAAGGTTTAATGCTCTGCGTGTTTCATCAGCCGCCAAACATCGGGAGCATCACCGTCTTGTTCTCGGGCAATTTCAGATCCTGGCTAATAGAAGCCGGACAGACAACTGTCGGCAAAAGTTTCTTCAAGGCTATCAATGCAAGCTTAAAGATCACTCTACGAAGAGGTCAGGTGGACGTGTCTTCTGCATGCAATTTGTCTCCCGAGTCCCAGCAGTAATCTACGCCCGGATCCTCGACAACAAGGTCGTTCTCCAAGGCTTTCTAGAACCAAAAGGTCCGCACCCTGAAAAATATGCAGCTGCGGCCTCGAATGACTCCGCTGGGGCACGGCTAGGAGTCAATATGACAGCCCTGACGTCGAAAGGTGTAGAGTCCTTTTGGCTAGATTACAAGGGAGGACAGGAAGTCAAGCGCATGAACACGCTCGTAGATCAACTTGATGGCTACCGGCTTGAAGAGATAGAGAAGAGATCGAATAGGTTTCTAGGCGCAGCCCCCGGCCGAGGGAGCCCTATAGACATGTACACCTGACTTATGATAGGAAATCGAGAGGACTGAGATGGCTATACGGATCGTTTGACTACGACCAACGCCATATTATCCTGTCAAGATACTCGTCATGGCGTTGACAACAGCACGAGCTACTGCTCCTTTGAAGCCCGAGATCAAGTTGTCTCAAGTAACCAGCGAGTATGAAGCTTCCTTATTGCCAGAACAGAAATCATCCTCTGGACAGTCGCCACCAAAATCAACTGCCGTGATAGCGCTTACATGTCAAGTCGATTGTTAGAAAGCTCGTCGGAAAAGTCGTCAATTATCGAATTGGTGTATGGCTATTGAGATTTTCAAATTCATTGAAATTGTTTATAGGGGCTGTGGATACGAACTTCGGGAGCACTGGGAACTTGATTGCAGGGACATTCTGGGGAGAGTCGGTGAGTGAAGATGACCATTCAGCTGGGTAGCGCTTTAGACACTTAGCAAGATAAGGGTCTTAAGTCAATTAAGTAGTTATCGGCCTTGGCGATATTTACAAATTTTCAGTGTTCGGAGAAGCTCTTATTCCTCAAAGCTTTCAGCGAACTTGGTAATTACTGCATTAGATACCTAGGTCACGTCCGCGGTGAAGTTTACGCCGGGTGAAGTTTTGATCCTTTTCGACAGGGAAACGCCTTCTCAAGCTGTGCTTGGCACTTTAACAGCCTTGAAGGATTGCAGCCGTACAATATGATGTTATAACCGCGAGAAGCTGAGCTCTTGCGCAATGCCAAAGCCTATTAACGTCGCTGGCCCCAATAACAATGACCCATAGCGAACTACCATGCCTATAGTGAGTAGTGGACTAAGAGAGGGTGTATGAAATGACGTTTCATACAATTTTCATTGAACAAATAGGCAAAATACCACCAATGCGAAGAAAAGGCAAGCTGGCGGCTTCGAAACCCATTCTCGCTTGATTATAAGGTTAAGGAAGAGAATAGAAGTAGTACTAGCACATTTAGGGCTTGTAGAAATTCGCTAATTCCGTGCTAAAAATTATTATAGATAGTAAAATAAGTCAAAAATTTACATGCGCTCATGGCCAAATGGTAAGGCGCGTGACTAGTAATCACGGTAAGTCAATTGCAAATCAAGAGAAAAATTCTAATGACTAATCCATTCTTAGAGATTCTAGGTTCGATTCCTAGTGGGCGCATGTTTTTGCTCTTTCTGTTCTTTCAATGCTGACTTGGGATTTTGCTAAATTACACTGAACGACGAAGTGTGATTTATTGTGTAACCCACAGGTGTGTTGACCAAAATGTGAGACTTGCTTAGTCAACCTGGAGTGGGATGGCAGAAGTTCTCTAAAGTTATTGCTTCTTTTTATCCAATTTTCTCAACCTTCTTGTGGTAGATGATAGTATATAAAAGAATCTTTGGTTCGTTTTTAGTCTTGAACAGCCTATTATATACACCTCGTCTACGGTTTCAAGGCATATGGTCAAATTAAAAGTATCTACCTCAGGAAAGCTGTCTCCTTGGCACAGAGGCGGTCCCTACGAGTAACGACGACAGCAAGACCTCCTGCAATTTCGTTATAAGTCACCGATCTTGGCCGCAACCAAGCTTCAGCCCGGAGGTAGAAGTGTTGGAGAAGGAGCGCCAACGGTCAAAAGGGACCTGTACCTAGACATGGTGGAGGGAAACTGATAGTAAATCCCATCAGAATAGGATTTTAATATGTCATGGCAAAGAGACAGCTTTTAAGGTGTACGTGCGCGCGTTAACCTTCATTATTCAACCATTGCCGAGCTCAAAGAGCGGAGTGGTGGCGGAGGTGAAGGTCACCAAAGCTCCTTTTCTAGGCTTCAATCATTCTACAAGTCTACTCCTAGTATACTCTCACACTCCTGATGTGTCTGATGCTTTCTAGGAGCCTACTCTTAACATACCCCCACTTCTTCTCATCATCCCACGCACTCTATGAGCCTACTCATAACATGCCCCTACTCTTCTTCTGACCTTACGTGCTTCATGAGCCTACTCCTGCTTTGAGCCTACTCCTTGTTGTGAGCCTACTCCTGTTATGATCGCACGCGCTCAAATGCCCTGAGGTCTACTCCGGAGCCTACTCCTGTGTTATAATCCGACGCGCTCCAAATGCCTTGATGCTTTCTACATGCCCGTACTTCTCTTTTGGGCACCCAACCCAAAAAGGTGATAAGACAGATACATTTATTAAGGGGGCAGGAGAAAGGCACATGAGAAATCGTAACGCACTAGACTGCCATACCAATGGATCATTAATTCGTCTGACGTCTGTTATTGTTTTATTTATGCTTTGCTCACTGTAATGGGGGCTTTCGAAGTATCGGCTGCTCAACAGTTGTATAATACATGTTTGACTTATCTGAGAGTTTGTCCCTTGCAAGCAGCTTTGAGTCAGAGCGCTCAGACAAGCGTGCCTGCTTCGAGGACAGCCAACTCTCATACACTGACACAAGTGGTGGTGGGCCCATGTTGTCTTGAGAGCTATCAGATGCACTCTGTCTCGTAATCAAAGCCTCAATTTGAGACCAAGTAGAAGCGCTTGAACTACCCGTAATTTCAAACCCATGATCGCAAGATACTATCTCTCTATCGCTTCTGGGTTCATCTGACTCGACATCCGGGCTGTTAAGTCGAGGTTGCTGATACTCTGTCGATGCTCGAGACCCGTAGGAAGCTTGATTTGCGGATGCGACGCAGAAGCTGAGTCGCTGACGCAGTCAGGCTCGCATTTCCCTTCGGAACGCCTTGGTGGATAAATGCTTTGGCCGCACTGTGATGAAAACGAGGCACATCTTCGATTACTCAGTGAAAAGGTTTAGTCGCAGCCACAGATGACAGAAAATGACCTACTCACCTTGGCTTTAGTCGAAATTTATGTGTACGCTGATTTGTCCTTCGCAAGATGACTTCTCTATACTTAACGCGTGACGGATTGAACGGAGCACTTTCATCTCATAGATCAGTGATCTTATAGAAGGCAGACCTTGGCCCCTGCACTGGCACATAGAAAATGTCGATCTATTGTCAGTATTTCACCCCTTCACTCCTCGCACTAGTCCATATTTGGGTTTTCACCCCTTCACCCACTCTACCCCATTATCACCGGGCGCATAGAAAATGTCGATCTATTTTCAGCAATTTCACACCTTCACTTTGCAAGTCTCTACTTGGATTGTCAACCCTTCACCGCAGACTCCACCCGGAAATTTGTTGAGATTGCCAAACCATGAATCCGTACCACGAGCCAGCTCGAGCTGCCCTCTATAGAACAGAGGCTGGTCAAACATGTTGGGACCTTCAGGCTCTCCTGTGCAAAGAAATCCATCAAAAAAATCATGGTCCTCGGTCTCCCCGGCGCAAAGAAAATCATCAAAGACGTCATAATCATCGACTCCCCCTGTGCCTTCAAACGTATTGTCCTGTGAATGTTCAGACATGGGAAGGTCCACACCCCATTCAGAGATGGTCGTCGTTTGCGATTGTCCGGTCAAGTTCGATGATGGTGCTGAGGGTCCCTGTGTTTCGGTCTCTAAGATCCCTTCGATAGTTGACTCCAAAGCTATTGCTGGGAGTGGAGATGCTTCTGACTCAACATTGAAGGCATTCATGGCGTTGGCGAAAGCAGCATCTAAATTCATACCAATGTCATAGATCCGGAAAACATTTGAAGGGCAGGGAACGTCGCGGGGACCGACTGTTCGCCTTGGGCGATAGGGTTTCTTTTCGCCAACATCTGGCTTGATCTTCTTCTTCTTGTCATCTGTATCTCCTTCTTCGTGCTTCCGCTTCAACTGTTACGGCGGTAAAGAGTACTTGTCATGCGTGTCAACCATGTGGTGATCGAAGCTCTCCTTGTCTCCGATCTCGAGTCTGCAAAGCGAATATGGACAAGGTATTGGCCATAAAGTCGTTTGTAGATGTTTGCTAACATGCTTCTATAATTTCGTAGGCCACACAAACTGATGAAGTCTTGCCGCGGGTGAGAGTTGGCTGAATCCGATGCAAAACGGACAAAAGCCTGGTAGCACAAGCATGTAGCGATATTTTTATGTCTCACATCTTATATCAAGGTTGGAGAGACGCCATGCACAGTGTTGCTGCCAATCATCGGAACTCTGGAACCACTCCGAGCATCGGTAACAGAACTGGGCCAATCCTGACACCTCCCGCGTCCTGCATGAGTGGATGTGAGAGCTTCGTCCGATGGGGGGCATACTTTTAGTAGAATCAGCTTTAGATATAGCCTCTTACAAAGGATATGACGCGAGAACATACGTTAAGATTTGCTTTCTGCAATCCAAGACTGGACACTGTCCTTCCACTGTTGTTTCGTTCGGACGATATAAGACCTGCTAATCGGGTTGACTGCAGATAGCGATTAGGTCCTGGAGAGCATGTTTTCTTCTCTCATCAAAGGACGGAATCAATATTCCTATCATTCCAGCTAAGCGAACGCGTTCGGGCATAAAGCGCTGTAGGAAATCGAAATTCTTCTGGGCGCTGATCTGTTTTGCACAGTCCAATCCTCCGGTTGATACTGTTCACTGATACTCATCTCGAAGCCACTGATTCTGGTAATTTTTGAGAGCTTGCCTCCTCAGAATCTTTCGCTCTTTTATAGTCTTCTGATATTCTTTCTGGTCTCCTGGCAAGCGGCTTTCTAGCCTGTTACGAACGCTCCTCATTTTTTGACTTTGCTCATAAGCAGCGGCCTCTTTGGCCGGTAGGTTTTGAGGCAGATTGACATTTCGGTAACGACGAGCACTACTCGGACAATTGATCTGCTCTACGTCAGGAATATCCCCCAAGAACATAGCCTGACCGTCGATAGCGGATATTGTTGAGATGTAATCTTGCCCGAACCTATCATCTGCCAAGTAACTGAGCGCTTGCGTATGCTCCGCAATAGTGATATGTTCTTTTATTGATTTATCAGTAAAGTAAAGAGAAGAAGATCAGATTTGCAAAGGATCACACCCTGCTGTCTATGCAGCTGGCAAAGCCACGACGGATGCTATGAACGGTAATAGATTTCGCTTCATATCTGGCGATCCGGATCAACCCCCTAAGTAAATAATACATTGAGGTGTCATTCCACGCTTGTGAAATTCCCCCTGTAGAATCTGTCAATTGAAAGACAGGGGTATCCAGGACCGTGGGATTCCATTGGAAATCGAATTGCTTTCTGTTGCCTGAAGGTCGAATCATCCAGAATTGGTCCACAGAGTCGATACCCAGAAGAGCCTCGTCTACGAAAGCGAGAGCTAGGAAAAAGAAGACCGGATCACGAAGGAAGCCCTCTTTGTCCTTCATAATTACACGCATACTACGTGCATTGGTAACAGCGAAGCTCAAATAACGCAGCTTTCACTAACCTGTTCTCCATAGGATCGGGTTTCGCTTTGGTATACCGCTCAGTGAGCTCAAGCATCCATCCAGGAGTTCCGTTCGCTCGCCAATAGACGTGCAATCGGACGTCCTATTCGCACTGTCAGCCGTAGATCAGTAAGCTATCCCGTATCACTGACCTTGTTTGTTAAAGACTTCCCAGTGCCCTTGTGGAAGTATCCTTCGATGAAAGTGCTAGCCCGAGCACCGGTGTACGCGTGCAGCAAGAGAAACCATGTGAGTTGAGCTCGCATCCGGTCATGCTTCACATGGTACTCATTATTACGCCAGAGAGTTCGAGTCGGAATGTCTAGGTCGGTGACTGTCAGGTCGTATTTTCTCTTCTTGCCTGTTGACGATCCAAACTTTCGAGGGAGTTCTTGGACGATGTGCTATACGGAATTCGGTATTGTTAGTCGACGGCCTGGCCCTGCCACACACGGCTTAATGCACATACCTTGAGTGGATTTTGTCTTCGTTCTTTATCGAAGTGTGTACGTGTAATTTTCTCGTATGCCGGAACGAGCGATCTGTAGTAACCTTTGATAGTATGTACCGATTGTGTAATCGTACTCTTTCGCTTCCGTTCGACCATAAGTCTATGGACTCGCCCAATGCTCGCTTTGTGGGAAGGTGCCGGTAACGTCGAAGGCTTTCCTCTTCAGATACCCCCCGTATGCCCATGAAGCTATTCATTATCAATACGGTTGTTGAAGCAGCGGACAAATTTGGGTAGATTCGGGTATTATTTACTCTTTCCATATTTTCAAGACCCGCTCCTGTTTGGGTTGATAATTTATGGCCGGCCCTTTGGACTGGAAGACCAAATCATCCCCAGAATCCGTGTCAGAATCAGATGACTCCTTGTAATTAGTCGGATACTCTTTCTTTTTGAACGAGCTTGACATTCTCGGAGAGCTTGGGATGATGGCTTGTACAATTTATTAGTCAGTTGAGGTTCGTAAGTCGTAGAAATCTCAGTTGAGGAGCTTTAAAGATGAACATATGTCCTACCATGAGTGATTTTTTTAAATGCACTCCAGCGCTTAAGGGTGAGCTGTGCTCACCCTGAGTCACTACACTCACCATCATAATCACCTTTGAAAGGTGAAGCGGCATGTATAAAGCTAGTCGCGTAAGGTAATACACTGTAAAAGGGTAAGAGTCATTTGTAGACTCTGGCTACTTGGGGTCTAGGGGCGGTCATAGTGTATCTTGGAAGATATAGTCAACAGTGGACATTGGTCTTCCTCGGTGTCACTGTAACAATAATAAAAGGTAATCTAACTTGCGCATTTGCAGTCTGCACTCTGCAGAAGATGATGATGATGTGGAGGCGCAGGTCCTCGGTCATGCATGAAATCTTGGCCACGGATCTAGCCGTCGATCAAAATTTCCCGTACTCTACGGTCTACACCAATAGATAGTACCTAGACAATAATACAATGCGCCGCAGCCCTGCGCTTGAGCGTCCCTCTCGATCTTGCATAATGATTAACGACCATGTTACCCTCTCAACAAAGTCGCAGTTCGGTATATAAATTCTCAATCGCCGAGCGATACTCTATCTTTTCGCTGGAACATTGGCTATTTTAATTGCCCTGGACTTCCGGAGTCGTTCGCTACAGTCTTACACATAGCGCCCAAAGTCAGACTCAGAGCAACATCCGTATTGATACAGAGTAAGTCCGGACGCATACATCGGCTACCAGAGCCAGCAATGCAATTGCGAAGATTGTCTGACCATCGTCGCAGTTATTGAAACATGATTACGGGGGCGTAAACAAAGGGTTCGGTTAGCAGCAGAACAGATCAGTCAAGGCCAGGAAAATGTTCTCCAGAAGAAGAGGAGCGACTTCTTCAGACAAGAAACCAAGAAAAGAGAAGCCTACAGCGGGCGCCCACGAGCTCTTCTTGGAATACGAGGGATTCCTCGCACCATCAAAACCGCCCCCCGGCACGCCTTCAGCGCTTCTACCAACACCTTCTACACCTTTGACATACGGAGAACACAGCGGACACAGACTAGAGCTGTCAGAAGATACATTGAGGTCCTCAACGGCGTCGCATGGGAAACCGCGCAAAAGCTTTTCCGGGGTTGGCGATGCCAACGACGAATTACGATCACAGCCCAAGAGGACTCCATCGCAGCGCACGAAGAGCTTCCTCTCTTTCGGCAAAACGGCGTATGGAGAGCCAAGCCATAACATACACAATTTCTCGAGACCAGGCCCCAATTATATCGTGGAGAAAGAAGCGCTTGCTCAGTCCAAAACGTCAGGCTGGCTTCGACGCTGCATGAGTACGAGCCTGAAGCATCGCCCTTCTACACCATCTTCGTCAATGACATCACCGCCTCCATATGATGGATCGTTGGTTTTCGAGGACGGTGACTTCACTGCTTTGCCAGCAATGCCAGGCTGTGCTATCGAACTGGAACCATCGAAACCGTCGTTAAACCTCGCCAGCGGAGCAGCGGCACGAGCAGCAGCAGCCGCGCAGAATGAGATCCTGGACTCCATGCGAAACATCACACTGGCAGAACCGCACCTTACAAGAGACTCAGAGAGTGGAGTGGGAATCGAGGTTCGGGATGGCGGAGAGACAATGGCCGAATTCGACTTTGATATTCCGGTCGTTCGTCAAGGTATGGAGACCCGAGGCCATCACAACCCTACTTCGCTAACATCTGGGCAGATCCTCTATCTGCTCTTCCACAGGAACTCGTTGGACATATACTTTCTTATTTGGATGCTAGCTCGTTACTAAATGCAGAGCTGGTCTCGCACGATTGGCACCAGTCAGCTAGCTCTCGCCATGTTTGGAAGGATGTTTTTCATTCAGAATTCCAGGACATATCCCAAAGGAATACGACTATGGCAGGTAATGGCCGAGGCCCAGGCCTTGGCAAAGTGTTTTCTTGCCAAGAGTGGAAAAGCATGTGGCGAGCTCGAAAGGCACTACAGCAGCGCTGGAACGACGGATACGCGGCTGCTATCTATCTCGAAGGCCATACTGACAGTGTCTACTGCGTCCAATTCGACGAGGATAAGATTCTTACAGGTTCCAGGGACAGGACAATTCGGATCTGGGATGCTCGTACCTATGAGTGCATCAAGGTACTAGGAGTGCCTAGCAGAGGTGCTGGATCCGCAGTACCTCCACTCCCAGCAGATGTGGCAGATCGAGGCCAAAGACCGTTCGCGAAGGTCTTCTCGTCTCAATCCATTGTTGAACCTGAGCGCACCGCTCCTTGGCTCTTCATGTACCACAACGGATCAATCCTGTGCTTGCAATACGATGATAAAATCATGATCACCGGATCATCCGACTGCACCTTGATCATTTGGGACATCAAAGCCGGTTATCGGCCCATGCGACGGCTCAGAGAGCATACAGCCGGCGTTCTCGATGTTTGCTTTGACGAAAAGCACATCGTATCATGCTCGAAAGATGCGACTGTCTGTTTGTGGGATCGCAGCACTGGTGAACTTATGAAGAAATTGAGTGGGCATCGGGGGCCAGTGAACGCAGTGCAATTGAGAGGCAACCTTGTAGTATCTGCAAGCGGTGATGGCATCGCAAAGCTGTGGAACCTAACGTCCGGTCTCTGTATCAAGGAGTTTCCCAGCAAAGACAGAGGTATGGCTTGCGTGGAGTTCAGTCCCGATTCTCGAACCATCCTAGCTGGTGGAAACGATCAGGTCATTTACCAATTCGACACAAGCACTGGCGAGCTGGTTCGCGAAATGAAGGGTCACGAGGGCTTGGTTCGGTCTTTGCATCTCGACAGCGCCAGTGGTAGGGTCGTCAGTGGCAGCTACGATACCAGCGTGAAAGCCTATGACATGCGGAGTGGTGAAATGATCGTCAACTTTACCAAATGGACATCGAGTTGGATACTGAGCGCCAAAGCAGACTACAGGCGCATTATTGCTACCAGTCAAGATAGCCGGGCTGTGATAATGGATTTTGGATATCGGCTTCCTGGCATCGAATCGTTGGAGGCCTAATGCCACCTTAATTTCATGGAAAACTGGCGATTTAACAACGACTGATTTGTGATTGTGCGTCTTGACTGCCATGGTTATTGTACATATTTCCTCATATCCATTGAGCAAGAGATGGTGTGGGTGGCATCTGCTAATGAGTGGGATTTCGCTCGCGAGGTTGCCAGAATTTCAGGCGAGACTTCGTGTATATAGAGTCATCAACGTGATCAGGTAGTACCTTATACATTGCAATGATTCGAGCCATTTGTCAACTGGAGATTTGCGGAATATGCTCAAGTCTTAACCAATCAAGGCTGCCAAGATTTCGCCAAACTAGCGCGTTGATTGGTTCGTGCTCCGTGATCGACTATTTGGTGACGCTGCTCAAGTAAACACACCTCGAAATTAACCGCCTTGAACACCACGAGTCCCCTTTTCAGTGCAATCCCATTCTCTCTCCCTGAGATCGTCCTCCATCCTTAACTATCCATCAATCGCACATCGTGTGGTTCGTTCAACAACGGACCGCCCAAGATGGGGGAATCAAGGTGCGATCTATGAGTGCAAGGCTTTCCCGGGTTACAAGACGTCACTGACGGAGGGTTCCTTGCAGACAAGAGCTACTGGCATGGCTGAACAACCTCCTGCAGCTAAATGTCACCAAAGTCGAGCAATGCGGGACAGGGTACGGCACCCAAACATGTGGACGGACTGGGCGGAGAAAGGCAGCCACTGACTCGACTTTTACATCACAGCGCAGCTCTCTGTCAGATTTATGACAGTATCTTCCGTACGCATGCCCTATCTTCCCAGCGCAGCTTACTTCCGCGCTCACAATGAGGTCTTCAGAGGATCTACCCATGAGCAGAGTCAAATTCAATGTCAACACTGAATATGCCTATCTACAAAATTTCAAAATCCTCCAAAGTACGTACCACCAACGATATCTTACGCCAGCTCAGCTCAGCTTACACTCTTGTCACAAGATGCCTTTACGAAGCACCAAATCGAGCGCCCCGTTCCTGTCGAGTCCCTGGTCAAATGCAAGATGCAAGATAACCTTGAGTTCCTTCAATGGTCAAAGCGCTACTGGGATCAGTACTATCCAGGTGGCGACTACGATGCTCTTGCCCGACGGAAAGGAGCTGGAGGCGCTCCCGCAGCTGCTGCCCCAACACCCGTCTCTTCTCGCACTTCTGGTGCTGGCGTCAGCGCCACCAGCGCTGCTCGACGTGGTACCACCCCAACAACATCAACAACCTCAGCGGCGCGAGGAGCAAGACAGCCAACGGGAGGTGTATCCGCGGCTGTATCAGCGGAAAACACTCAGCTCAAGCAGACGGTCGAGGGGCTGGAGAGGGAACGGGACTTCTATTTTAGTAAACTAAGGGATATCGAGTTGCTGTTACAGCAGGCTGTCGACCAGGATCCTGAGATTGAGAAGGCTGAGGATGGATTGGTCAAGCATATTCAGGCAATTTTGTATTCAACAGAAGTACGCTTTGGGCATTCGTGCTTTCTTCTCTTAGACCAAGCAGCGCTAACTTACATGTTCTGCTACAGGAAGGATTTGAGATACCCGCAGAGGCAGAGGGCGGAGTGGTGGATGATCAGGAGACGTTCTAGAGGAGAGACCAGAACTTCGTGTGCAGAAAAGGTTCGGGACAAATGCCACTCAACGGAATAATGGCCTAGGGTCGACGACTAGCCTTGTCAAGGGTATAGTGAAGAATCGACGAGCAATAGTGGCAGCTCAAAGGCAGCTTAGAGCCGACTTTCTCAGGCTTCGCTTCCGGAGTTCTGGGCTACCGTTGGCCCCGTATTTCCAGCCGTCAAGCGATGCGCATTTCTCAATACAATGCTCATACCTTTCAAAAACTTGTATAGTTGTTCAGTAGAAAGACGAAGTTTCTCCCAATGCATTTACGATAGCGATAAATCATGACCAAGCAGGTCGAAATCTCCATCCCCACCACTCAAACCTCCTCCACCCCCAAACCCTACACCCTCTACAACATCACTCTCCGCCTTCCCCTCCGCTCCTTCACTCTCCAAAAACGCTACTCAGACTTCACCACCCTCCACAGCGGTCTGACATCCCAAGGAGGTGCCGCCCCACCAGCTCCGCTGCCCTCAAAATCATGGTTCACCCGCACGACCTCCTCCCCAGAACTCACAGAAGAGCGCCGCAAAGGGCTCGAAATATACCTTACGACTATAAACGAGTCGGATGATGAAAGGTGGCGGAACACCAGTGCATGGCGGATATTCCTGAACCTGCCCAGCAATACTTCCTCGCGCTCAAGCACATCGACGCTCCACAGCGCCCTAAACGGACCCGGCGGCAGCCAACCCATAACAGACCCTGTCGTATGGCTCGATCACCACCGGGACCTGAAAGCCCAACTACACGACGCCCGGCTCCATCTCACGCGGCGGGACCAAGCCTCCACCGCGCAAGCCCAGCACGAAGCCTCCGCCCAAGCCAAGAAATTCCTCGTCAGAGCGGGCACCATGATCCAAACCCTCGACACCGGTCTCGCAAACCTCTCCTCCGCCTCCTCGTGGGGCGCCGCCAGACTCGGCGAAGGCGAGCTCCGCCGGCGCCGCGACCTCCTCTCGAGCGCCAAGCGCGAAAAGGAAGGCCTCGAGAACCTGCTCTCGGCCATGGTGGCCAAGTCCGCCGTCGACAAGACCGTCGCGGATAAGTCCGACAGCACGGCCCTGCTCGGTCCTTCGAAACCGGCCTCCGGCCGCGTGCTGGGTAAGGAGAGTGATAAGACGCGCGCGCTCGATAATCAGGGTGTGCTGCAGCTGCAGAAACAGATGATGCAGGATCAGGATGACGATGTGACGGTGTTGGCCCGGGCGGTGGCGCGGCAGAAGGAGTTGGGGGTGCAGATACAGGAGGAATTGGCGGTGCAGAATGAGATGTTGGGGCTGTTGGATGAGGATGTGACGAGGGTGCAGGGGAAGATGGATGTGGCGAGGAAGAGGATTGGAAAGATTTCCTGAGAACGAGTGAGCAGGACGTGGAAGCGCAAGTAAGCAAGGAGGGTATCTAGCACGAACCCACAAGGAGGATTACTGTGTTGCGCTTCAGTTTAGGATGGTTGATTTGATAATTATGATACCCCTCAGCTTGCTGTATACTCTACAAAGGGTGGCCTCAATGTATCAACTGCTCGAGATACGCTCTCGCTATCTTCCGTATCTATTCGTCGGAATTCCTTTGATCGCAAAGAGACCACGGACGGGGGTTGCGGGGGATGTAGGGACCGTGGATGGAGAAGTCAGCCAGCATGAGAGAGCTGTCGATGAACCGTAGTACTAGTAGATCTATCAAGTGTATTAAGATGATGATCTAGACCAACCAAGCAATTTGCCCAAGCTTCACAATGGTATCTCCGCGCGCTGGTACCTACATGAATACAAGAAAAGCAAGACCGGCATTGCACCCACACATTCTTGATATCCACATTACATGTCCCCACGAAGTCAAGTATCGCGCAAAAGAACCAATCCCATCATTCATCCCAATGCGCATAACTCGGCTGCCACATCTGTCCCGGAAAACTCGTCGCCGACATCACCGGTTCTTCATCCTCAAACTCCACCTGCTGCACGTGGCGGGGTACATTCCTGGCAGGACTCTGCGGCGGAATACTGCTCCGCTCAATCTCCAGCTGCCGTGACTTGCGCTTTTCCTCGGGCGTTAGCGTTCTGCCAGACCCGATCGCGCTATTGCGAGAGTTATTATTGCGGACATTCGTTTGTAGAGGGGGGAGTGATTGGCGTTGTTGGGTTGAGACGAGACGAAGGGAGGACTGAGAAGGAGATGGCGAGTGGTGGGTGTATTGATTGGTTCGTCCCGAGGATACGCGAGGACGAGGGTGATGCCAATCGTCTTTAGGTGGCGGAGGCGGCGGAGGTGGAGACTCGGAGCGCACAGGTCCCTGGAATGACCGTCGACCGGTCGCAGGGCTGTTGGATGGGGGGGCAGGTGCATAAGCTTTAGGAGGCGGAGACGACAGCGCCCCATTTGATGGCGGCCGTGCTTGCTCTTGGCGGCTCTTGGATCGGGCGTGAGTTGAGAGGCGTGTCCAAGAACTGCCTGACGTCTTGGTTTGGTGCTCAGGACGTCGAGGAAAAGCTTCGCCGGTAATTGTTTGGTTAGAAGTTGATGACCTGGGCACACTAGAAGATGAATTCTGAGTGCTGCGTTGAGGGAAAGTTGCAGAGGTTCGTGGCACTGCTGCATTTTGGGGCTGTTCGACTGGTGACATTAACTGGCGGACTCTTAATGCTGAGTCTTGTACATAAGCTGGGGCGTCTGAAGCTCTGGAGTATGATTGCCGGGTTTGTGGCGACCCAGAATTAGGCGAACGATATGCACCAGCGGCTTGAGGCGATCCTCCATCCTGGCGACTGGGGGCATAGTAACCTTCATGAGTTGGCTGAATGTACTCATCCCGAGGCGGTCCGTAGTCATATTGTTCGAGCCTTTGTGGCTGGACTACGTTGTATGGGTCGCGCTGTTGCGTCTGATTTGGAGGAGACTGCTGGAAAGGTTGGTGAGGGGGACCCCGAGACTGCAGAGTGGAGCTCCGTCGTTTTCGACCTCCAAAAAGCGTCTGATACTCGTTAGTAACTTGCTTGCACAATGGAACTCAGAGTACTTGCCCCAATCACCGAGAACCTCCTCTTCTTCCCACTGTCTGGTTCTGGCTTTGCCGATGTCGACGCCCTTTGTAGCTTCTTGGCCCGTCTGCTCGACACACCCTTTGAAGAAGTGTCTTCTTCAGTGGGCCTTGGTGTCGTTGGACCGACTTGTTGTGCCACTTGTGTAAAAGAATCTCGAGGTGAAGCATCCCGAGGTGCCATCTTTTCCTTGCTACGGCTATCTCCACTTCCACCTCCTATATCCCCGCTACGAGAGCGGAAGATGCTGAGTCTTTTGCTCCTCCTGTCTCCCATGGCAGGAGAATTTCTGGGCGACGAGCTAGCTTGACTATCCGCCGCGTTTGGCAAAGGGGGGTGATCTGATTTCGATGGGGTGGTGAAGGCTTTGAAGAACGCAGAACTTCTTGAGCCGCGCCTAGACCGTGATTTACTTTCCGAACGTCTCCCTACAGTTGGTCCACCACCCACAACCATGTGTTCTGCTGTCTGTTGACGTGGAGTAAAGTTGTCATCACGCGTGAGCTGCGCACGGTAATATTGCGCAGGCATACCATTACCCTCGGCAACTGCCCGGAAGGCGGGGTGCTCTAGGATATTAGGATCTAGGGATGGACGGGAATCTTGTGATCGTCGTATGTCTTGTAGCTGTCTGGGGAACGATGGTGAGCGGCTCCGGGATCGTTCCGTATCGCTTGGTCGGTCAAAATCATGATCAGTGCCGTAGTGAACTGGACCAGTCCGACCTCTCTGCTCTAGAGCACCATGGTTGTCCGGCTGCCTTGGCGTCAAAGGTGATGGTGGATGGTCAAAGTTTATGCGACCCATATCACTGTCGATACTCGGGCCTCTCCACGAGTAGTCTTGTATTGGCACTTGAGGATTCACGGAATCACGTGTCAGAGATACCGGTCTGCCATTTTGGACGTCCGTGGGTGAATGTAAAAGCTGCCTCTGGGATGTTTCTGACTGGTGTGGCATTTTTTCCCCTTCAGGAACCGGCGAGTATGCATCGAGGCCAGCCGATTGGTTTTGAGGATTCGGCAGTGTCGGCAATGGAGTCTCTGGAAGGCCATCTCCGCTATCTGCTGTATAAAACGTGCCTTCGGAATCCTGTGAGAATCTTGGAGCGGCTTCAATCTCTTGGCCCCAACGATCGTTGCTCGAAGTCTGGGCAGAGAAGCCGGACTGTGGATGGGAAGAGGATCTAGGAGATGATCCCGCGTCTCTATGATGCTGGATGCTGGTTCCGTCAAATGTGACTGGAAACCCAGCCGGTATAGCAGGTTGACCAGCATCGGTGAACGTCGCTTGGGTGGGTGTCTTATTGCTGCTGGTAGCGGACCGAGGGGTCTGGACATCTTTAGGAGACCCAATGTGTGAATTTACCACTGGCGTTTCTTTGTGAAGACTTGGAGCATTATCTCCGATTGTCGCTGGGATTTGCGGAGGTCGACTTTGCCTCTGACTGGTAATTCCTTTAAGGTATAGACTAGAAGCTCTTGGAGGGTGTTCCTGGTCTGTAGGAGCGGACTCTTCGCTACGTTCATCATCGCCCTCCTGACTCTGTGTAAAACTTTCAAGAGAAGGCATATCTCGAGGCGATTTCTGCCCAGAAGATGGATGCAATAGCTGAGATTCTAGAGATAGTGTTTGAATAACTGCTTCATTCGGATTGACGTGCTGGTATGGGGGTTCCTCAGCGGCTGATTTGGGGTTTTCGCTGGCAATGGCGGGGTTGTCTTGCTGTGGTAGAACGGTGGGATGGGGTGTAATTACCTCAAAACCGGCACGCAGGTCCTGTAGGGGTTGAACGTTGGACGGGGTTGCGGCTCTGCTAGCACTTTGAACGGTAGGCCTTGCTTCGATAATCCTTTGCTGTTGCTGCATTCCTCGGGGCTCAGGGCTATAGGGTTGGGGTGGAGCGAGAGTAGCCTGACACAACACAAGTATCAATCACTGCATTTGGGGGAGCAGACGTCAGTCACATAGAAGAAGGAGAAATCTTAGTGAACGGCGATCGATCGGTACTCGACCGAGATTCTGACATCCATTGTTGCTGATACAAATACATGTGCTAAATGTTGACCCTCCCCCTTGCTAAGGCACTGGGTGTAAAAACATTGAATGGGCAAGAATCAAAGTATGGACCACATGAAAAGGGAAAGGTTATACCTTTTCCGCACCACTGTTGCCCCTGAGCTTGCTCTTGCCCTTGGAGAACAACCCTTTCGCAGCAACATTTGCCTTTCCTCCGAAAACGCCTGCTGTGTGCAATAAATCTTTGCCTTTGGCCTGAACTTGCTGACTAGATATTTTACCACTCGACCCCGCGGAGGGCGAATGTCCATATGGAGAAGCATTGCCTAGAGCACCGCCGGTTGCAGCACCTTCTGGCGCTGGCTGTGAACTGTTTGCATATATCTGATTAGAATGACCTCCACTTTGCAGTAGCCCGCCGAGCTTTGACCTTGAGGGAGAGGGCTTGTGACCCTGGAAAGCAGGACGACGTGCAGAATTTGTCAGTAAATCTGCATGCTCGGGAAGATCATTTGCTGTGATAGCAAGCCATTGCGCAAGGCCAGTATTCAGGTTGGCGAACTGTTCTCGAGTTTCATCGTACGCTCGGATGCGATCAGAAGCGGACTTCAAAGCAAGTATTTCCCGGAAAGCTGCCATCTTTGGTTGGGCATTGGGAGGTGGCAAAGGTGGGAGCTCATCGTCTTGTGCACCAAAGGTCCGAGAAAACTCGTGTGCAGGAGGCTCGGGTAACGAAGGCTCGAGTAAAGGCGGCTCTAAGTCTTGCCTCTGTTCACTTTGCAACATTGGGCTTTGTTGGCCCATGTAGTTCGTGCCATCATCGTAGCCAGAGTCCTTTTGCCCTGCGTCTTCCTTCTCTAACGATGACGGCGCCACCTCTAAGCTAGGGTTATAGTCCGGCAACTCTTTCTCAGACCCTGCTGTCTCATCATGTTGACCTGAATCATTTCGACTCTCGGGAAATGATGCTTCTCGGTCAAGTAGTCTCGAATTGTCATTTTCAAGCGCATCTGCGAGGTTGGGCATTGTGGACAACTGGGAAGTTCCAGGACGATCTCGGGGTTGGAAAGATTGACCCTCAGGATATACCGTAGACCTTAAGAAATCAGACACTGGAGCATCTGGAGCTTGAATGACTGTATCCGAATCTGCAGATCTTGGGAAGTCAGACACAGGGGCATTTGGAGCTTCGTGGATCGTATCTGGATCTGCAGGAATGGGCTGTGGAGATAGCAGTGGTTGCTCCCATGAGAACCGATGTTGCAGCACCTGAGGACTGTCTCGAGAGCCTTCGTCCATGTTGATAGGACCAGGGGGTGTATCCTGTTGTAGTCGATTGGGATGCAGGGGTTCACCAGCGAAAGTGTCTGGTTCGACGTGACGTGGACGCAAAGGCTCACCAACGACTGCGGCGCCCTGCTCGCGGCGCGCAGTCGTGGCATCTTCCAGTCGGTCCGGCTCGCCGCTAAAGTGACTTGTATCATCGTCGCTGTTAGCGTCATTCCAATAGCTTTCATATTCTCTTGGAAGGACTCCGCTCTCATGACCAGGACGTGGCAAGCTTTGATGTGTGGATAATCTTGAAGCATCTTCGTAATTTGAGTAATCCGACTGCGCAGTCGTCGGCTCGCTAGCAATCATGGGGCTCAATTCTCTAACGATCTCTCTGCGTAACCTGTCAGACTCGTACTGAGGACCCCCTGTACCAGTGCTGAGTGATGGCAACATCGATGGGCGGTTTGCTGGCGCGATTCCTTCGCTCCGACTTGCCCAACCGGGGTGCTCTCGATTTTCGGGAGGTGAGAAGTAACTTGAGGTCTCGGAATCTTTGGTGTGATGAAGAGGGGTATCCTTAAGGAGGGGAGTGGGTGCCGCAGTCGACGCTTCGTCGTTCATAGGATCTGACAAGTATGATTTTGTAGCCTCTGGGTTGACCACCGTGTTCAAAGGAACGTCATGTCTGTGAGGGGCTGCTCCAGAATCTTTGGACGTTCTTTCGTCTGATTGCTCGTCTGACAAAGTTTCGGCAGTCGAAGCTACAGGCCCGTTATGTTGATCCATTCCGACAGCTGCGGCAAAGGCACCGACCAGTGCAGTTCCGGCTGCTGTCACAGCTGTGAAGGCTTCCTCAGATGCGTCCTTGATCTGTGACATGGACGAAGGAGCTTGCTCCGCAGACGAGACGACATCCTCTCTGGGTTCACCAGTGGGTGCAACTGAATTAGGCCGGGTACGGTTTATGGTAGGTTCCGGCCGTCTGAGCGCCGCTGCTGGGGCAATTGAAGCGGACGACTCCCATCCACCAGGTAGATGAGGTCGGAAGCTCTCCATACGATCAGCTAGTGGACGAGAAGGAACAAGATCGTCTTTCGGTATGGTGTTTCCAAACACACTGCTACGCGGTGTAGCTGAGTGTGCGGATCCAGGTCGACTGCCGCTTTCAAATTTGTCTGCCAGATCACGAACTCTACTGCTGCTTCCCGAGTCTGTACGAGTCCGGAGGTAGTTCTGAGGATACGGAATAGGTTGATCAAGTTTTCCGGAAAAGTTCTTGGCCATAGGTTGAGTGTCCACATAAATGTCGGATCTGCCTCTTGACGCTATTTCGGTTGGGCGTGTTGGAATTGAGTCCTGTTCAGCAACCTCAGACACGTTTGAGCTATTATTGGTACTGAAGCTTGGGTCAGTCGGAGTCGCCGCAGCAAGCTCGACTTCTTGCGGTTGTCGTAATTGCCGATTGACTTCAAGCGCTGGTGTTCTCGCAGGGCTGTTGTCTGGACTCGGAGTGCTTAGATCTCTTCGATGACCTGGAACGAATGACAGTGAGGGTAAGTCCGTCGACTGCGGCATCGTTGCTGGTGACGGCGACGGTTTCCTTGTAATCTGTTTCGGGGTGCCTAGCGAACCCGAAGACATTGGCCTTGAACTGCTTCCTTCGGGTGTATCGACTGTTGTTGGAGTGGTCACGTCGTCAATCCCTGGAAGCCTGGGGTTCCAATTCTCCGCAGCCGTACTTGGGCCTCTGCTTATGATTGGGCTCACGGCACTGGTACCCCCGCTAGTACTACGTCCAACTGTAGAGCCTGCCGCAGAACTCGGAGTAGGCGGTACCTGATCTTCGGCTCTATCAAAAGCTTCATGTACAGCAGAAGTAAATCCCAGAGATGGCTGGTTTCTCAAATCCTTCTCTGGTGTTGCTTTAGTCTGTTCTTGCTGGGCCGGCGCGGAAGTGGTGGCTCCTGCAGAGTTCACGAAGAGCTCTTGCGACGGCTCATGAGAGCCACTTGTTGAACCGAAGAAAGATTCGCCAAATCCGGAGACCCGACTGACATCAGGAAGCATAGGCTGAAGTGAACTACCGGCACCTTGGGAACCAGGATTTGATTTGCGATTTGGCAACTCGAACTTCTTCGATGTCGTAGGACGTCGCTCTTCAGGCTTCAATTGCTCGTTTATGTTCACTCCCTCTAAGCTGTACTCGCTTCGCCGCTCTGTAACCGGATCCAAAGTTGGCTTTAATCGCTGGCTGACCTCGCTGTCCTGTGAATTCCCAAGGCCTGGACGCTCGTTTGTTTTGCCCATGATAGCAACCATGCTAGGTCTTGCTGAGTCTTGCGGTTGACGTTCCTTCTCCTTCTCCTCTTGCATGCGCCTGTATATATCTGCAGGCCGAACAAAAGGCAATGCCTTTGCAGCACCACTGGCAGCACGTTCATCTGCATGTGGTAAACCGTCCTCTGTATCTTCTGTTCCAGTCGTTGGTGGAGCTGGTGCACCAAAGGGTAAAGAAGGCGCAGCCTCCTGGCTCAGACTACTCTTGCGCGGTGGATGACTAGGAGAAGATCTTGAATGTGGCGAAGGCGACCCACGAGTTTGCAGGGGTGGTGGCATGGCTGAGGGAGAGAAATCACGTCTGTTATGAAAATCTAGTGCTGAGTTGGTGCTCGCCATGGACTGCGTTCTACCGCCCGTATTCGATTGTCGTTGCTGATCAGGATGTATGCCTTGATAACTTCCAGCTTGCTGTTGGGGCTGGCCTCCATATTTTGCCGGCTCATCTATGCTTGGACGACTCGGCGTATGCACAGAAGGCCGAGCGGGGCTAGGCTGCCCTTGGAGACGTTGATTGGGGTAGTTTTGACCCGATTGGAAGTCATGCGCTGCTATGTTCTGGCCTTGATTATGCTGAGAGGAGGGCGGAGTTCCCGAGCTAGCGTTTCCCATGCTTTGCGGCGGTCCGCCAGCTGAAAAGGCCCGCCTTTCGTCTTCGGGGTCGAAAGAATTCATCCTCCGCATCGCGGGAGCTTGAGGTTGGGGATTTGTGACACTGCGGCTGCCATACTGCTGCTGCTGTTGCCGGCTTGGCGGTCCACCCTTATTCCCATATATTCTGGTGTCGACTGGTGCTTGGTAGGGATCTTGACGGGCTGAGTAGGGGTCTTGGGGCATCTGACTCGCTGACTGGCCTCGCTGTCGGAGCCCTGTAGGTTTTGCTTCTGGCACCGGCTCTGGCTCTGGCTCATCGTAGCCTCCATATTCGTCGTAGTCATCGACATCACCCCAATCGTCACCGTCATAGGAATATGATTTGGCCTCCATCCATTTCTTCGTCTTGGCACGATTGACGTTAGTATTGAAGCTTTTGGGGTGCCCATCGACTGGAACTTGTTGTGACATTGTTGCCGATCTCCTAGACCGCGAAAAGTCATCGTTAGGGGTGTGCTTTGCATATGAAAAGGTTGCGGGTGGCCACTTACAGCAATGGCTGGGTTGGACCAATGAAAAGTCTTGTATTTGAGAACACCGCATACCAGCGCTGGGCTTACATGAAAGCCTCGACTCCTGCTCTGAAATTAGACCGCTGTATTCATGGAGAAGATGACCGCAGTGAGCTAATTCACGGTCTCAATTGTCGCATCTGTTTCTGGGCGTGGTTTGGCGACTGCCGCTTCCGTGATCATTTGCTGATAGCTAACGGAGGTGAAAGCAAGGAGAGAATCACTCCCCTCTCTCGTAAACAGTGCAATGGCCGCTTATATTTTCTCAAGATCTGGATCTAATAATTTTTTCACACGAGGAACGCATGGCATTATGGGGCGCAGCGAACTTTTGACAGCAGCCAGGTTTCTAGGGTCCCTCAATGGCGCTACGGGCCGACAATCCACCGAGAGTGGCTCCTTACTTGACAACGTTCAATCTGTACAAAGGCTGAATATGGAGCTTATGTCTACTTATACAAGACCACTAGGCCCTGACAAACACCGAAGCAACGAGAACACCCCCAACTCTCTTCCTGTCCAGCATTCTTTACTGGCGTTAGATCTGTTCCTCATCAGCACACCCCTCCCCTCCGCCCCGCCTCCCTCAATAGCTTTCAGGTACTGCGTCTTTTGTCCAAGTCTACCTGGATATCAATCAGCCAGATTTGAGATAGTTTAGAACACAAACTCAGCTGCGGCGTGAGTGTCTCACTCAAAGATGACCACAACTTCTATACAAGACCGAACAGCCGAATTCAGAGCTGTTCTAGCCCAGGCGCAAAAGCGCCAGTCTTCGACAAAGATTGGCGCTCAGAGACAATCGCTACTTACTGAGTCACAAAGGAGAGCAGCCAATGGGTCTCCCAATGGCGATATCAAAGGGGCAAGAAGAGGCGCGCGGTCAGAATTTGCCAGAAGAGCTGCGGAGATAGGGCGTGGTATCACGGGAACAATGGAGAAGCTGGGCAGGCTGGCTGAATGTACGTGACATATTCATATTACTCCCCGAATCAAGGACCTTGAGCGACTCAGTTCAGGGCGCTTTGATCAATCTACCATACATATGAATCTGTACTGACTCTTGAGATGCAGTGGCGAAACGGAAAACGCTGTTCGACGACAGGCCTGTTGAAATCAACGAGCTCACCTATGTCATTAAGCAAGATCTCTCGTCACTCAATTCGCAAATATCCTCCTTACAATCACTGTCGAAGTCACAACAAACTCAAACTTCAAGAAATGGCGCAGAACAAGAGGGAGAGCATAACAAGAACGTCTGTACTCCCATGCATATAGAGTGACCAGGGTGTTTACTTCGAACTAGGTCGTTGTACTGCTGCAAGGCAAGCTTGCCGGCGTAGGAGTCAACTTCAAGGAGGTCCTAGAAGTCCGCACGAAGAACCTCCAGGCCTCTCGATCGCGCACAGAAAACTTTGTCTCTTCCGTTTCAGCACATTCTCAACCACCGCTCAATCCGGAGCAATCTGCATCTCCCCTATACAATACTCCTACAAAATCCAGGACGCCACAGCCGGGCTACCAAAATTCGAATCACGACATACTGAATCTTGATCCTGGCTCGTCCTCAGCGCTGATGCAAACAGGTGCGCAATCGGACCAACAACTCTTGATGATGGAAGAAGCACAACCGCAAAATACGTACATAAATATGCGAGGTGAAGCAATAGACATGATTGAGCGCACTATCAATGAATTAGGGGGTGTTTTCGGGCAACTTGCGGCTATGGTATCTGAGCAAGGGTTGGTGTATCTTCTATACAAGTTTGAGGAGGATGCTGATGTTTTTACAGCGAACAGATACAGCGGATAGACGCCAACACAGAAGATGTGGTCGATAACGTCCAGGGCGCGCAACGCGAGCTCATGAAATATTGGTCGAGGGTTTCTGGTAACAGGTGGCTTGTGGCCAAGATGTTCGGCATTCTTATGGTAGACTTCCATGCTTTCAATGCTTCCATTACGAGTGACAGTGCTAACCGCTATAATAGATCTTTTTTCTACTATGGGTTCTCATTGCTGGCTAAACGGCGTTTCGCAGGTTGCTGTTGTATAAGCGATGGCGTCTGGGCATGCATTGTCTTGTGGCATCAATTGGTCGGAAGCGGTTTGTATAGACTACCAATAATTCGTCGGACTGGATGGACGTGACCCTCCAGTGAAAGGTAGAAAGCCTACGGATTGACAGCATATAGATCGGTGTTCAGTAATTAATTGTCCTAGATCCGGACAGCCCGGAAAGATTGTTTCCTTATCAAATGACGTCGACTTTGCATGCTGCACTTCGCCTATAATCACCTCATACTCTAGACTACCACCTGCCAAGCCAGGAAAAGGAGGGTGGCATTCTCTCTCGTTGCTAAGCTTTTGCTCATGCCAACTCATATTTCCCCAAAATTCATCTTCATGTCTGCTGCTTCAGTTTCATTGGTTCTTAATTTCTTTACCTTCATCAACACCAAGCCACTTTCCGCCTAATGAGAACGAAGTGACTCCCAGCCCAAACTCAAGGGAATCTCTCAATCATCCATCAGCCAAGCTGAAACGGGACCTCCAGCAACCGTTTGGACGCCTCCCATGAGAGCTTGCGTCATACGTTGCTAACCATTTCGGACCCGACGGGCAGCTTTTCCTCGGGATTTCAAGTTCAGATCTGTATCGGATTTTACCCAAGGGATGTACGTGTACCAGTAATGGATCTCCGAGGAGGAGCGCGCAATCTCGTAAGGACTATATCAAAAACCTTGCAAAGCTGTGGGCGGCTTGTAGGCCTGATGACATGAACCATTGGTGTCATGACCAGAAAGAAAGGTCAATATCATCGAAAGCTTAATCGGAGACAGGTAAAGATGGCGTGGGCAATCGCTACGGTGGAAAATATCAAGACTGACACGGTTGACAGGCTGGCGTAGGCCACGGTTGTAGCAAAGGTGAGAGGGATCGTAGAATGTCAGGAAAAGTGGCCCTTGCAGCGGTAGGAATCCGGTGAATTTGTCGACCTCAGCACTAAGGACGAGAGTCATGGTCCAGAAAAGGCTTCGTTTGGACCCTCCTCAGCTATTGGTGGCAAAATTATATTGGCCTGATACCCATTAAAGTTTACAACTCAGAAGAGGCCAACACTCGAAAGTGCGACTTTTGTTGACAATTTGCCTGCAGCCGAGATGGAAGATGAGATCAGGTCTTGATTTACAGTCTGCAGTAATTCAAACACCTTGAATCTTGTGCTTCCGTGGCCTCTTTGGTACGTCTCTATCGAAAACGACCAGGGATGGCTAGGTACGAGCCAAGCAATGGTAGCCTACGAAAGAATGCATCGCACGCAGTATCTTGTCACGTGACCATTTCCATGGCGACAAATAGCCGCCGCTCTGCTGCTATGCGGAGGAGCATTATTAGTCAACATAATGACAAAGACTCGGAAGTGAATGAGGCGAGCTTTCCGATGGCGCGATCTTTCTCCCCGCCTACATAGACAAAAGACGCCGATCAAAGCTATTGATTTCTCAAAAGACTAGTTAAAATAAGTGAGCACGAAACGAGTCACAGACTTAATTATGACAGCCTCTTCCGAGTACGTCTACCCGTCGCCGCTCAAAGGCTATGAGCATCTGCCTCCACTATCTGAGTAAGTCGCTTTCCGAAGGATCGACAAGGCTGACCAATCACAAGCGAGAAGAATGATGACAATAAAAGCTTTGTCAATCCAAAGACGAACGACCTGAGTAAAGCCTATGAGGAGTTTGTCAACCCTATCGGGCGTGGTTTGTTTGACGAGAAATACTGGTTCCCAGAGGAGAATATTGATTGTTGCCGGCAGGCTTTGATGTACATATCTACTTCTTCCAGGTACAGAAACGTTTCCATCCCTTTTCCATGCCACAACTACGCTCGCTGTCCACTCGAAGACTACTCAGCCCCACTTGTCCTATTTCTCCCCAATCTTAATGGCCACAGGAAAACAAAGCCCAAACCACCTTCGCCCACGAGCTGTGGACCCGCATCCGCCATGAATTCCCAGAACTCCGCATCTACCGCGTCTGGGACCGACCACTTGGTCCTCATCCGGTCGGCATGTTCGAGGTCGACGTCGTGACACCGGCTCAATTCGGTGCGTTTGTATCTTGGCTGGTGATCAACCGAGGACCTTTGAGTGCGCTTGTGCATCCAAACACCGACGACGATGAGGTTGGTGCCTCGTCTTCACGGACTTCTGGACCACTACTATTGGGCTATTGTTGACGGGAGTATTGTAGAGAGATCATACCCAACGAGCGACGTGGTTGGGGGACAGATTGCCATTGGACTTGAGTCTGTTCAAGCAAATGAGAGAGGCGAGTATGAAGTCGGAGAATGTGAAAGGGGGGCCAGATTGAGGAGAAACATGCCTAGGCGTCAGTGTTCGTATCGGTGCCGCCGTAGAATGGCAGGAGCTGAACGCCGGATTCTGCCGTTTCATGACCATCGTTTCGGCGTCATTCAGACAGCATTCTAGCTCTACCATGTTGTGTGTGAGTGAAAAAGTGATGAGAACAGATGAAGGCGTTTGTTATGCGCGAAAGTAGCTACTGGGCCGATACCTTACTTCTCAAAAAGGAAACAGGCGTGGCCGCGAGGATGCAAGATTAACATCGACGCTAATGACCAAGATCTCCGCCTTACTTCTCTGGGTCATACTCTAAGCTAAATCTGCCCCTTAATCCAATAAAACTGTTCGTATTGATATTTCCTCGTATTCATCCAGAAGTGGCAAATTGCATGAAGTTTGACGGCCGAGCTCTCAGGGGAAATTTTGATCCTTCTCAGATTCAAGGGTCCACACAGACACACGCACACATCGTAACAGAAGATATTTCTCTCATCAAGAAAAGGAAGAGGAAGAGGAAGAAGAAGAAGAATCATCTTACATCCATATCCGCTGAGCATCATTCCCCGGAACGATTCAGAAGCTGCAGGCTACAGGTACCCATAAACCTTGTGATCTTCACGGTCCAAGTACCCGCCGCAATAATGGTACACTTTTTCGTCGCATGGTCTGGGGAAGTCCAGGGATTTGACTTGGCTGTCAATCTCTTTAAATCCCTTGGCACCATCTCTTTTGGTAGCTTAGAAACAGGAGGCCAATCAACATCGACCATGGAAACCCCTACCACCGAAACCGCTTTGGCTTACGGACTCCGGGACTGTCACGTTTTGATTAATCATTATTATGCGTCCCACCTGCGCTCTCCCTCCTTCTCTTCATCGCCTCACCGTTTTCCTTCGACAACGTCTGTCATTCTTTTACCAGCAAACCTTTGTTTGCGTCCTGTCTTTGACATTTGCCATAATACACACTCTTTAGACAGTTGGTATCTTCGTTAATATATTTTAATACATTCTTCTCATACCAGTAATTACAATCACAATGTTAAGTATCAACCCTCTAGCCGTCATGGCCGCGGCCGCTGCTCTTCTTCCATCTGCGCTTGCTACATTTGACGCGTCTGCGAACACGAACATGGCAGTCTACTGGGTGGGTCCAGGACCTGCAGAACGGCATGATGGTTGCTGACAACCATCTCAAAAGGGTCAAGGGCCAAATCAGGAACCACTCGAAGTCTTTTGTGACGACGACAAAATCGACATAATCCAGATCGGTTTCGTAAATGTCTTTCCTGATCAGAGCGGTGGATATCCTGGGACCAATTTTGGCAATCAGTGTGGATCCGAGACGTACGACAATATCAACGGCTCTTCTTCGCTCCTTCTCAGCCATTGCCCTGGCGTAGGCTCCAATATTACCTACTGTCAAAGTATAGGCAAAAAGGTTCTTTTGTCCCTAGGTGGTGCCATTCCGAACAACCAACATCTCGACAGTGATGTAACTGCGGCCGGATTTGCTACTTTCTTGTGGGAGGCATTTGGGCCAGAGAACAGTTCCAAGACAACTCCGCGACCTTTCGGCAATGCTGTTGTTGACGGCTTCGACTTTGACATAGAAAGCGTTCTTGTCTCCGGAGAGGATGCAGGGGATCTGGATCGGGGTTATGGCACGATGGTTGATACCCTACGGACTCTCTACGACACCGACAAGTCAAAGACATATTATGTTTCCGCAGCCCCTCGTACGTAATTTTATATTCCGATTCCCTTCTTCCGAATGAACGTTGAGTCTGGAAAAATGCCCTGAGAGTTTTTACCCTCAAGACCTATTTCAAGAGTCGAAAGTCCCTCTCGAACAAGCAGCGCTAAATTCGAATTCTGTATCCAGAGTGCATAGTTCCGGACGCCCACCTGGCTGATGCGATAAAAACCTCACCGTTTGACTTTCTCTTTGTCCAATTCTACAACACACCGCAATGCTCGGCTCGAGCATACTTCGACCATTCCTATGGAGGCACAAACACAAACATTTCATTCAGTAGCTGGGTAGGTTTCGTGCAGGGTCACTCATTCAATCCGAACACCAAGGTCTACCTTGGTCTTCCGGCGGCGCCAAATACCAGCGTCGTCTATGACCCGAAAATGTACCTCCAGCCTGAAGAAGCCAATGAAATCATCAAGGCGTTGCAGTGCGAGTACGAGCATGAGTTTGGTGGTGTCATGATCTACGAGGCAACTTTCTCCCAGAATAATCAGATCCACGGTCAATCTTATGCGGTAAGTTCTCCGATGTAATTCCTTCCATTTCAATAGACCGTTTTGTTTTGAATTTTGAGACCAGCTGCTAGAGCAACAAGTCAAGTCTGGGGCTCCAAAGCCAGGCAAGTAGTCGAAGAAGTAGCAACTCTACTGCCTGGTGTTTGTGACACTATGCACGACCAAGGCATTCGATCTCAACTTGACAAATTCTGGGGGACTAAGAGCTCTACGAAATTTCTATAATGTGCTTCGTTTAGTCATTGCCGCTTTTAGTTGTTAGATGGCATGGGGCTCTGGATCGCAGCAAATGCCACTCCTTCTGACAGCTTGCCCCGACGCTCCTCAGAATTAGCTTGTCGCTCATGGTTTGACTCGGAGTAACAATGCTGACTCCGGATTTAGGATGTGCTCAAGGGCTACCTGGAGAACACCGGATGTACGGTCTCGGCACCTGTGACTTCTTCGGCGACCGTGCACTCTTCTCGTGCTATATCTTCCACTCACGTCGTATCAACAACCCATGCTGTATCTACTACCCCCACCACAGCTTCAGTGCACGTTGCAACCTCTTCGGCAGTTATTTCGCCTACTCACGTTGCGTCATCCGTCAGCGTCCCTCGCTCAAGCTCTTCGGCCGTCAACAGTTCTATCTCAATTTCCCCTGGGGAGACCTCGGCACGAATTTCGACTAGTGGCATCTCACTGCCAGCCGTATCAAGTGGAAGCTCCATTACAACTTCATCAGGTGAAGCCGTTGTGTCGATGACCGAAGTGAACAGTAGCGGACTCCCGTCCAGTGGTTCTCCAAGCAGCGGTCTCTATCAAAACACTACTTTTAAGACCGGATCCTTTGCATCTACATCGGTTGTCACGTTGTCAACGCCGACTCCGATTTTACCTGGGACTACTATACCCCCAGTGCCAGAGTCCACAGAGTACACCAGCTTGACCACTTACACCACTGTAACAAGCTGCCCAGTGACCATCACTGAGGTCCAGAGCGGCACGACTTCCATCATTGTGGAGACCAGCTTGATCACGAGCACGATTACTACTTGCCCTCGCTGCTCTGAGGAGACAAAGTCTGCCTCGGTACCTGATTTCTCTTCCAGCACACCTGGTTCCCCAGGCGAAGTTGGCATAACTGTACCAGTTCCAGTCCCGTCAAGTTCGGCATCGCTTTCGCCTAGCGGCGTACCACAGTCTAGTCCTAGCGTCGTACCCGCAGACCAAAGTAGTGGATCTCTGCCAAGCCCAACAACCTACACAATCACAAAGATTGTGAGCACTCTTACAACCACTTGTTCCGAGGCGACCACCTTCTCTCTCTCGTCGAGTGGCAGGGTCTACACTGCTACTGTCGTATGTCTTTTATAGCTCCCCCTCCTTAGATATCTACTGACGATGTTTAGAATGAGACTCTCACCATTGCTGACTGCCCATGCACACTTACACAGAAGACCATTGGCTATTCCGTCCCCACCGGAGCTAGCCCTCCTCCCGGGCGCGTTCCTCCTAAAGGATCCGACAGCGCAGCGGCTAACTTCCTTGTTAGTACCTCATACTTCGGAACCCCTGGTTCTCCGGGAGCGGAAAACACACCTTCTAGTTCCGGAGCCGATGAATCCAACAACTCACCACACGCAGGTTCAAGTTCTTCTTCAGGCGAATCCAAAAGCTCGAACGAAGGCAGCATTGGCTCTTCAAGCGGGGGATCCACTGGTGCACCGAAGGCCGGATCTCAAAGCAATTCTAACGGGGAAAGTGGCACATCGTCTCCAAGCGCGGGATCTCCTGGCATATCGAATGCTGCGTCTCAAGGTAATTCCAACAGTGAGAGCGGCGCATCGTCTCCAGGATCCGGGAACAAGGCAGGAGTACCGCAGCCGTCATCGTCCGAGCAGTCGAACGCACAAGGTAGCCCATCCGAAGCAGAGGCGGCCGGATCAGCGTCAAAGGCTGTTGCTCAAGCTCTCGCAAGCGGTGTTGCCGGGGCGCACATTCCTGTCGTGACTATGGAGCTCATTCCCGCCCCAGAAAATCCAAGTCACTCTGCTCAACCGGGGAAAACTAACCAGCATGGACAACAGAGCGGGCAGCAGAACGGACAGCAGAACGGGCAACAGAACGGACAGCAGAGTGGACAGCAGAGCGGACAGCAGAGCGGACAGCAGAACGGGCAACAGAACGGGCAGCAGAACGGACAACAGAGTGCAGAGCAGAAGGGACAGCAGAGCGGGCAACAGAACGGGCAGAATGAACAACAGAGTGGGCAGAGTGGACAGCAGAGCGGGCAGCAAGGCAGCAGCGTCCCGTTCTCTGTAAACAATGGCACAGCTCCCGCGAGCCCGTCAGGAACAGCACCTGCGAGTCAAGGTACCGGGAGTGGTAGCCCCGCTATATCCTTTCCAAAGGAGTTCAAGGGTACAGCGATTATTATAGCGAAGTAGTTTTTTATTTATCTTACTATTATTATTATAATAGAGCGAGATTTAATAATATTAATAAGTCTAATATAGAAGATATAATTATAAAAGATATAGTAGCCTTTTTCTTAATAAAACTTCTATTTCTTTTCGTATTTTTAAAAATAGCTAATTCGAGATAATATATACTTTAAAATTACTTTTTAAATTTCTTATTAATTAAATTATCTAATTATTTCTAAATAAATTTAAGATTTATAATTTATTCTTTATCTTAATACGTATATTTATATTTAATTTTATTCTTTTTTTATTATTCTATCTTAATAAGATTATTATTAATAATTTAAAGTAATATATTATTTACTAGCGCTAAATTATATACTTTTTTCAGCTTTTCTAATAATATTAAATTAATATTTCTAGTCTTAATTTATTAAACTAGCTAATTAACTTAATTTATATTCGATAGAATAAAGAGTATAGATAGAGAGTTATTATTAAATATTATAATTATTATCTCTAAAGATAAAGACGTAATAGATCTTAAGTCTAATATCTTAAATTTTAATTTATCGAGAATAATTTATAGTTAAATTAAAAATAGCTTACTCTCTTATTATATATATCTAATAATTATTTTCTTTATAATATTTATTCTTACTATTTAAATAAATCGAATAAAGTTTAATTTATTTATTAAGTAGCTATTCTTAAATATAATATTCTTTATTAAATATCTATAATACGTAGTCGTTAAAGGCTGAAAAAACTCGATATCTAATGGCTAAAGAATATATATAATATAAATAGATAGATATAATAGAATAATATCGTTATTAATATAAAATTATATAACTTTAATACTAATATAAAATATATACTCGTTATAAATAAGAAGACGATATTTTTTTTTAAATATTTTTCGAATTTATAGTTTAAAATATCTATAAAAAATAAGTTAAAAGCTAATTACATGAAAAGAATTAAATAGAGTATATCTAATAAATTACTTTAAGTTTAATACGTTATTTATCTAATTATTTTCACTTAATATAATAACTAATTTCTTTTTCTCTAAGATATTAAATTAAGTCTTTATCTAAATCTTATTTTTAAAAATAATAAATAAAGAAAGAAGTCTTTTATTCGCGAATATATATTCGATAAAAGTAACTTACTCTCTACTTTTATTCTAAGTCATATATATATATATATTATACTTTTATATATTATACTTAAAATATATAACTTATACTTTATTAATAATATTAAGAGTAGACTCTTTCTTATTTATATTATATATATCTTTCACTTAAATATTATACTTCTAAATCACTAATTTAATAAACTAAAACTATCGTAGTAGCTTTCTTATATTATAAGTTATAATATATTCTTTATTTAAAAACTAATTAAATCGACTCTATAGATCTAAATAATAATTTATAAAATTAACTATTTAATTTATATTTAATTCTTCTTTATCTCTCTTTATTACTAGTATTTTACTAGTTATATAATAAATAAGATTAACTCTAAAAAATTAGCTTTACTCTATTACTTATAAAATCTATATTTTTAGAGCTTTCTTTTTTATAAAATTTAATTATTATTAATCTTTAACTACTTTTTAATAAGAACGAGTATTAATAATACGTTAATTAAGAGTAGAAGAAGTAACTTTATAATATAATATAATTAATTTAATAATAAACTTCTTTTATTAAGAATTTAAGCTATTCTTATAAATTAAAAATAAATTTAATTATATTTATTAAATATAATCTTTAGATATTTCTTTTTAGATATCTCTTTAAAAGATTTTAAAGTTTTTAATAAAGTTATTAATAAAGTTATTAATAAAGAGAAAGAAAGAGAAATATAACTTTTTACTATAGTAAGACTATAAATTAATAAGTTCTTTTCTTAGCCTTCTAAATTAATTACTTGATAATTAATTAATATAGCGAGACTTATATATATATATCTATTATAGATTATAAAGACTTATAAAAAGACTTATAGAAAATAAAAACATAGAAAGATTTATAAAAAGGTTTATAGAAAGGCTTATAGAAAGATCTATTAAAAAGAAAGACTTATTAAAAGGCTTATAGAAGACTTATATATATTTATTTTAAATAATAGAAGATACTCTATTTATAATATTAATAGACGATTAATAAAACCTCGAATATCGAATATTATATTTTTAATAATTTAAATTTATTTAAAGTCTTTAGAAAGTTCTTTAAAGTCTTATTTTTTTATATTTAAAAATCGATTACTTAAACTCTTATTATTTAACGATTATTTTATATAAGATCTATCGAGTACGCTATTCTTATTACTTTATTTATAAAGATCTTTCGAAGATATATCGCGTTATTATTCGATCTTACTATTATTATCTAATACTCTATAGCGATTTTATAAATATAATATCTTAAAAAGAAACTTATTTAATATTAATTTAAGAATTAAAGATTACGACTTAATTCGATTTAAGAGTATTTAAATTAATTAGAATATATTATTCTACGATTTCTTCTTCGCTTAAAAATATAATATTAAATAATTACTTTATAGTAAAATATATTTATAATTACTATTTCTTTATTTCTTTATTAAATCTCTTTAAAATTAAAGCTTTATAATATTATAATATTAGATATTAGAACTATTATATAAGATATATCGTAATTCCCGTCTTATATAGCGTTTTAAAGTATTAAAAAAGAAGTTTAAAAATCTATTTAAAAGTAGATTAATAGAGATCTAGTAAATTTTAAATATATATATATAGATATTAATTATAAATTAAGATAAACTATATACTTATAATATAACTCTCTTATAATTACGAGAAATTAAATATTAAGTTAT